TGCCCTCTCTCTTTTTTCCACCGCGGAGGAGGAGGAAGTGTACGTGTCTGCGCGCCGTGCGTCTTTGCGCGCGAGTTCGTGTACGCCTGTGTGCGCGCGGAGCTCCTCAAAGCTGATTTCTCTTCTCCACGAACAACTCGGATGTTGGTTGTTCAGCTCATCGGGCTTTCATGTGGCGAAATGGCTACAGCGCCTCCCCACAAATAACTAGCTGACACTCTGGAGAGTAGAAACAACTAAAGCCGCGGGGTTTCCCTGCCGAGCTCCGCTGGGTCTTAAAGACACTCTTTCTCGGATCCACCGCAGACCGACCGTACCCCAGACACAGCCCGGGGGGGGTCAAACTGGGGGCCAGGGCGCCACCCGGGGGCTCTCCTCCAGGAGGCTTAACAATACAATTCTTAAACCTAAACTGGCCGGAAGTTATCCTAGTTAGACAATGTTAAATGATGCCTTTTGATTTGTCTTAACACTCAGTTGAACTTCCAAAAGTGACAACAATCTCAAACAATGTGTATATTCAGGACTAACATGTTCATGTCTCTGTGGCTACTTCCATAGCAAGGAGGCATTATAACACAAGTGGCCTCAAAAGCTACAAAACCTTGAGTCTGTAGATTTCTAGAGAGAAACCATAACCGTGGCCCCCTGTTTAACCCTAACCCTGACCCTGCTCTGACCCTATTTAACCCACATATTTTCCCACATATCAAATATAGATGAAGAAAGTACAAGGGACACAACGTCTTATGTTAAAACATTTATTTTATTTTAATTTCGCCCACACTGTTAATCAGAAATAATATTACCAAAGCACTAATATGAAGAAAAATACAGTTATTTATAAAACATTATGAAATATTTGGTATCATGTAACATGTGCTAATAATGCGTATAGTCTGCAATAAAATATCTTGAAAATATGCAGAAATTTTGTTTGTATGTTTACAGCATATATCTTATTTTTGGGTTTTGTTTGTAGACAATGAGAGAATACCCGTTAAATTCTATTGAAAGAGTCTGTATTTTTTTTTTTTTTTACTAGTGTGTTATATTTTAAAAGAAATTGATACAAACTGCTGCACAGTAATGCCAGTGGTGTTTTCCTCCCTAAAATTTCCCTTTAAGAAGTCCACCAGTTAACAAGTGGATGCATTACATTTTGCACTCCACACATACACCTTGAAATCTGCTGTTGAATGCAAGCCTTGTCAGTCTCCTGAGCAATATTGACATAGACATACCAATGTAAAGTTGAGTAAACTATGACCTCCAGCTCAGTCATCATCCAATGGGAAACAGCCACAGACATAAAAAGGTATTATATCTTCAGAAAAAAAAACATGAATGTATAGTTTTCTCTGACAACTTGATCAGTTTGATGATTATCTTCATTGTTTTGACCTTCCTGGCTTTTGATTAACAGTATGGATTGCTTATAATATATCTTGCAAAAAGTGGGTTAATTAGATTGAGTGAGTTTATCCGTTGCTAAATCCCTGGATATGAGCTGAACTCAGGTGTGTTTAACGCTGTCATATTGTAACCAACCTCACAGTTAACTCTACTGTATGCCTGGGTTACGCATCCACTGCTGCCATGCAGGCCGTCTGCCCTTGGCTATACTGCATATTTCCCCTTAATCAGTGAAGCTCTAGATGTCATGCCCCCCATCGCAACACAGGTCACAGCTGACTAAACGCTGTCATTATGGAATGCGCCTGGTATTATGTGCAGTTGAGCCTTTCATTCAAGGCCTTTGTTGATTGATGGGTTTTTGTTTTGCAGCAGTTTCCCGGGGATGTCTCTGTGCACAGCGAAAACTCTGTTCTGCATGGGACACAAGTGAAAATCAGCATAATTGCACTAATTGCAGCCAATTTCTCGCTGAATGGACCCCGCTGTCACATCTCACAACAAGCAGGGGGACAAGAACATCTCATGGTCTCCCAGATGGAGATGAAAGGGAATAGAGGGGGAAAAAAAACACCCAGTGATCGTTCTCCATTCAGGCGGATGGAAGGGCTTGTAATTTAAAGGAAAAAAAAGGAGAGGAGACGAAACACAGCAGAAATTGATTTGAGGATCTAAATCAAGTACCCAGGTCACGAGGCCACCTTGAGAACCAGGGCCCCCAATTTCCATTCAGATCTTAAATGTCGCGATATCCTGCGTGACAGCCTCTCGGCTTCCCGAGTGTCTCCAGGGAGTGAACCGAGTGAACCCCAACAAAACGTCTTTGTCAACATCTGAGAGCCATGATCATGAGTGTCAACAAACACTCCGAGGGGCATTCCTGTGTGCATTCCTGTGCCTCTCCAATGAAATAACAGGGTGCATCATGTGTTTGGGCCAAACACAACTTTAAAAAAAACTACCTCCACACAACCCCCATGATACAACACAATGGAAGGCCCCAATAGGAAACTGCGGCCAACAAGCTTTATTCAACAAGGACACAGCTAATTTGTTCATTCACTATCAAGCCCAACATTTCTAGGAGGGGAACCTCCCACATGATTTTCTTGTCCCATCAAGACAAGGGTGTTATCAAACAAGTACGCCTCTCTTGCATTCAAACGCATCTTGCAATTACCCATCGACCACTGCTTCTCCATAACCTCTCTCGTGTCTCCATGTTTAGCCATCATGGCCCATCCTTCTCGTTCTATCATTTGCTTTGCTTTCCTTTCCAGATGTTCTCCATTTTTGTTATTTCTCTAATGAATCTGGATCCATCATTTTCTTTAGCGCCTGCCTTTGGTTGACCTCAATGTTTTTCTTTATTCATTTGACCTACACTGCATCTTGTCTTTATCCTTTTTTCATGTACCTTCCTGTTCCTCAAGTTATTTCCTAGAGCCCATCACACTCTCTGTCCCCCCTTATCTATATCACTCACTGGGTGGGCTTCCTGGGAGTTAAGGTTGACCTTTCCACTTCACTTTGACCTTTGACCTTGTTGCTGTAGGCTCCTGCACTTAGGCCACAATAGCACCTGCCACTCACCGACTTTCCATCCTCTCTGCTCTGCATCCCACCCTCCCATCACCACCCTTCCCTTCTTCTCCTCACTCTCTCCTTTGTCAGCCACATACCAGGGTTATATAGGCTATTCTCGCAGCACACACACTCTCTACATTCAGTGGAGAGAGATGGAAGAAGGGGGAGATAGAGAGAGTGCCATGGCCAAAGAAAACGTTGGTATCCTGCATCCATGAGGAATGTGAATTCTAATCTCTATGGTACCTATTCAGTAGTGTTATCATTTAAAACACACAGTTCAAAACTACTCGAACAATGTGAGAAGAGTGTGTCAGGTTCGAATATCTCATGTGTAGGCATTCTCCCACTGAGGTCAACATATACTTGTTTGATTGGTTTGCATGATTTATTTTAATGTATGTATCAATCAGTGTTTACTAGAGTTCTCCAATTGTCTTATGTCCCAAATATGACCCAGGTCAATGTTATGCAGTATTACACAGTCCATATGCAAGAATATCTTCTAAATAACAGGATTTAGTGGCGCCCAGTAGCTCACCTGGTTGAGTGTGTGCCCCATGTACTAAAGCTGAGTCCTTACCACAGCGGCCCTGGTTCAACCTGTGGCCCTTTGTTCCGTGTCATCCCCTCTCTTTCTCCCGTCACTCTTCACCTACTCTATCAAATAAAGGCAACAAAAAAAGCCCAAAATAAATAGGAGGATTTAATTTCTATGCTCCTTTGAGCTGTGACCCACCTGGTCTGGCTTCCTGTTTTAAATAAAGTACTCCTGTGTATGGTATGGACTCCTTAAGACATAGCTATATATTGCCATCTGGTGGTAGCTGATGAGATTAAGCATAGGAGGTTGCAGTTGAATTCTGTCAATATTTTCACATTCATGTCCATTTCCACGATTACAGGTGGAACATTACGTTTTATGTGTTCCAAAGTTATTTATTATTATTATTATTAAACTATTTTTTTTTAAAGATAAGTAATTAAAATATTGTAAGAAATCAACTAATTCATCCCTTTAAGGACCTTCAAACATCCTTGAGATAAATCAAATATTACGTGAAGAACATGTGTAATACCTTGAGAATATATGTGATGTCCTCATATAAGGGTGTAAAAGATTGTTTCAGTAACTTTGAATTGGGACTCATGATCCAGTTTTTTCTCTAGCCTGTTTCTTACATTTCTCAAAAAGAGTGACATCATTTTAACAAATCTATCCATTCTTGTTTTGCATGACTGTATCCTCATCCATTGTAACGAATGTGATTGTACTGAATTACTGTAGCAGTTCAGTACAATCACATACTCCAACTGTCCTGTTTGTCTTCATATTTATACTGAAAGTTTGTGCTGTGACGACTGACGAGCCAAGGATCACATCATCCCATAATATTAACATTTCAAAAATAAAAACTGGTTAATCTTGCGTCCTTTGATTTGGCAGTAAGTTTTTTTTATTAATAGAATCAATGCTATGCAATATGCATTTCATGGGAAAAGGGGGTGTCTAGTGATAGTCACTGCAGTCAGAGAGCCACCTGTGTCTAGCTCAAGCTGGGCCACCATATGGTCAATTGGCTTTAAAAGACTATTAGACAGAACACAGTTATGGCAACAGATTACAAAACATGTTAATTTCAGTTTCAAGGAACTATTGTTTTTGTTTTTTTAAGGAAAACAGGTGATTAATTTCACACAACTATGCAAATTTACAGAAGCACACACAAGTTACTGATTTGAAATAAACTGTTTTGGATCTTCAGGGGAAACCAAAAAGAAAAAAAGATACTTCAAATAAAAAAATGGTTTATATGATTTAATCAAATTGCTGAATTGCCATCCTATTTGCTTGCATTAATCACCATATACTACAAATCCCAACCCAACAGCAATCAGATTTCCTTGAGAACAAAGGTGCAATCTCTGTGGAATAGACAGTAGAAAAACCCATGTGAAAAACAGACAAATATAAAAAGACTCAGACAAGTCAGAGATCCAACTGCTTAGAACTTTTATTTCGAGGGAAATCAGGGTTAAAATTAAATTAAAATATAAAATTTAGATGGGAAGGTCTGTCTTTAAAGGGAAGGTGTTGACACAAGGAGTAGGCAACCCTCCAGAAGGAGGGGAAATACAGGAAGCTACAAAATGAAGTTTGGGGGATGAGCCTGATCATTCAGGAAGTTATGTATAAAAAAAAAAAAGAAAAAGACGAGACAGATGCAGTTAGTTATTATAAACCCCACCCCCATCTGAAATGTCCTCATATGCAATCAGTGCTATAGCTCTCTCCTTTTCCTGATTTCTTACAGGAAGTTTTAGATCCTTTGTCTTCTTCACTCACTCTCTCACCATCATAATCATCTCATTCTGTCTTAATGTAACATCTTTTCCTGCAGTTTTGAAAAAAGTAAACAAAAGTCCTTCAAAAATAAAATGCAGCAACCACATTTCATGTTCTACTATTACATATACAGTATATATATATAAATACATACATAAATATCTTACATGTACAACCAATTTTGAAAAGGGGGGGAAGAGAGAACCCAAAAGACTTATGAGGACTTGTGGAGGTGGGGGGAGCGGGGCAAGGAAGCCCAAGGTTGCTCATTGTGAGGGTAGTGTGTCTTTGTTTTTGTTTTAGCTTTACACACACGCACGCACACACACAGCCTTTTGGGGGAGGGGGGAGTGGGAAGCATTCCTCAGTTTGCCCAGTAGGGGGAGCTGCCGTAGCTGGACTTGCTGCCTTGGGTCTTCTGCTGCATGCTGCTGGACTGACTGCGCTGACCAGGACCCTGTGGACAATGAGAAATATGTTCAGTCCATCATGTCTAAGACCAAGTACCTAACAGGTTTATTTAATTTCCTACGAGATTTGTTAGCCCGTTCTAGCTGAAGGAACCTTCTGAGGTTTGGTCCCTGACCCCTGAGGTAGCATTTTTGTAAGGCCCAGGAACCATGAAGACGGAGTTGTCAGTGATGACTGCTAAGCCTTTTTAGTGCAAAAAACCTTCTTGGGACTACTTGGACGAAAGAGGCCCATTAATTGCTGAATAATGCACGGAAGCCGTCTTGTTTGGTTGACCACCTACGTCAGCCAACTACAACAACAGGCAAAGCTTTTCAGAAAACATAGGTGTCTTGTACAATGAACAATATGTGGCTCTTAAGTTTACCTGTCCATCCTGTGTGAGGTGATGGTGCAGCAGTTGGGAGTGGGGCTGTTGGTGTGGTGGCAGGATGTGCAGGAAGGGAGCAGGGGCGTAGCCAGGAGCACCCCCAGGGTTCAGGGGCCCCGTTCCCCCCAGTGCTGAGGGCAGGCTGAAGGGGGGCGGTGTACCCGTGTGGAAGCCCTGCTTGTCAAATGACTGACGAGAACCAAGAGAAGACAAGGGATTAAAATAAATCAATTACACGCAGGTTAAGAAACTGGTTATTCAAGATTATTGTGCTGCTGTGATCAAGATTATTTTAGAAAAGATCACTCAAGTGTGATTTTAAGACTCATAATCTCACAACCAACTTTGACCTAAAGACAAACATACAACAGTCACTCACCTGAGTTTTGCTGTAGATTGAACCTCCCATATCAGGTACTCCTCCACTGGTACCTGACCCTGACAATCCCGGTGCTGAGAGGAGAAAGAAAGAGAGGGACAGGGAAAGAGATAAAGAAAAAGATTGGAATTTAAGAGGGAAGGGAGGAAAGCAAAGGAGGGAAGAGAAGAAAAATAGAGAGGAAAATCAAGGGGTTAGGGGGGGAAGGCAACAATTGTGTCACTTCACTGCTGAGTGAATATTAAGCACTGAAAGTTCATTTCCATTTGTTAGTAGGAGGGGGGCCAGCCAGTAGGAAGAAGCGTATTAAGTGAGGAGGTGCAGAGGCATGTTTCTCACTTTTTTCACCCCTTTGCATGTATCGATTGATGTGCACATCAAAGTGCAATCACACACATGCATATACACACCTTTCTCCAGAACACTCTCGACTGTAGAATCATCTGCAATTGTGAGTACATCCATTTTTCCCACAGGAAAATGCCCACTGACTTTGTGTGTTGTTAGAGTGTTTACACATGTGTTGTGTGTGTACCTTTCCCAGGGCCGCTGCCCGCTGCCTTGGCCTGAGACTGGGCAGAGCCTCCGTACCCTCCCTTACTGTATTCCCCGTGGGCTTGAGCCAGGTCATCAAAGGCTGAAGGAGGAGGAGTACAGAAGAAGAGAGGAGGCAGAGCGAGCAGAAGAGTGGGAGGGGGTAGGAAGAGAAAGAAGCAAGGGAACAGATGAGGTGAACAGAAGAAAAGAGGAAAGAGGATGGGAAGAGAAGAGAGAGGGGGCAGGGGAGAGAGAGGCAGTAAGGTAACCTGACTAAAATGGCAGCGGTGTCTATATTGAGCCGTGTCCAACTTCAGCAGGGGGTTTAAGCTATGCATGCAGCACAAGCAAAAAACACCCACAGGCCCAATTCCACACACACATGCAGGATTTGGTGTACACGTTTAAAGGCCTGGAAGTTGATTTCTCTTTTGCCTCTCTCTACACTCTTCACACACAGTTTATGCCAAGGTCTCTGTACACACACCCTGTCTCTTTTACAGTGGCTATACTTATAAAATACAGCCATACCAAACTGTTGCTATACATGAAACAAAAAATAATATGGTTTTGTGCTTGTGTACTTTTGTGCACACATCACACAAAAGTAAATGGCCAGATGATGCACTACTGTCACCATAACTAGGCCAACTGTTGAAGTCAATCAAGTAACCTGCTCAACTACTTTTTGTGGCAGGTTGCTGTGACAGTTTGTGGTACTGTGATAGTTTGACAATTTAAAAGCTGAATTAAAACTTTTGGATATAATCTTCAAAAACCTTTTACAGTCACTTGACTCTGCAAAGATGTTAATTGTCTGAAAACATCAGCCAGAGCAGTGACAGAGCCTTCTTGTTTTGACCTGGTCTTACCTGTGCCATATGCATGCTGTCCGTAACTGGGCTGATGCTGTTGGTGGTACTGATTGGAAGGGTTGGCCAGGCCCATTGCAGGTTGCTTGGCCGAAGCAGGAGGCACAAAGACGGTGGGGCCGTACTGGAAGGCTGAGGGAACTCCCGGCACACCAGCGTAGTACGGCAGACCTGTGAGATGGCAAGTTAGTTGTATAGCAATCTGCTTTCACTGCACTTGCATCATTCTTTTGTCTTTAAGCAACAATAATGAGAAGGGCTCTTTTGTTGTCGGGCAGTGCCACATAATCTCAGTGTATACAAACTCAAGGTGAAATAATCAGTTTTCAACTGCTTAATTAGAAAATAAAATCATTCCCTGAACAAGTTTTGGGCTTTACTGGCAGAAAGCTGTTAAATTTGAAGAATTCTCTTTCCTGCTTCAAGTACCCCGACATATATTTTAACAGACATTCCAACAACATACAGAGGATGTGACATTATGCATGCTATTGAGTGCTGTCTCTCTTTGCTTCCCTACAGTATGAACAGTGTGCACCACTAGCTAAATCTTGCTTATAAATGGAGTCAACTAATTCCTACAAATAACTGACACCCACCAAAACACAGAGTAACAGGTCTTAACTTAAAACTAACATTACTGCAAAGCTTGTACAATATATTGTGGTTTTAAATGAGTCTCATTCACTTGCTTGCTAATGCAAACGAATTGCTAACTAGCATAGCAAAGCAACTTATTGTCATGGGTTGAAAACGTCAGCCAAATTATTCAGACTCCCAGGGATAAGCTGGCTGGCCCGTTTGCAGGGTACTTTGTCAGCTGCTGTTGCCAGATAAAATTATATAGCGTGGCTGGGTTGCAGCTGGCTAGCTTGTTCATAAACATCATTGTTAACTAAATACTATCCGAGTGGATGGGGTTGGCCGGCTGGCTTGGGCCCGGAATTAGTTGCTTCGTGGTGTTGGCTGAAATGGTGATTTGCAAACAGCAAGCTAGTTAGTATAATTGAGCCAATGATACAAATAAAACAAAGGTAGTAACATTATCCTAAACTTTCCAGCACTCAGTCTAGTATATGTCACTTTGAGCTGGTGCCCAGGATGATGCTTGCTCTCGCCTACAGACTGTGTACAGAGTGCAAGTGAGCCCGATCAACAGGATGCTGACTGCAGTTCACTGAACAGCCACCAGTGTCACTATTAATGACAGTTTTATGAAAGTTACATAGACCTTTAAATATAATTTTGCTTTTCCTTACCAGTGTATCCGTAGCCAGGAGGCAGAGGGGGGTTGAGAAAGGCCTGGTTCTGTGTTTGCTGACCCTGGCTCTGTCCCTGGCCTTGCCCCTGTGTACCTCCTTGCGGAGCCTGTTGGGGCTGCGACTGCACCCCAGCTGTAGACAGGCTTGTTGGGGGAGCCGGAGATGAAGAGTCATTTCTTCCAAACTTTGTCGCCTCACCTAGACAAAACAATGGTCAAGAAGACAAAACTGAGGTTGAAAAAGTCTAAAATCCTTTTTCTGGTCTGTTGAAAAGCCAACATGAATTTACAAAAAAACCACCAAAAAATAAAGCACAGTGTTGTGTTGAAACATAATGCAAGGGCAGTATCAGCACCAAAACTGCAGTCTAACACACAATTTGACTTACCAGAATATGGGTTATTGGTCAGGCCATCTCTTCCAGGCATGGCAGCCGTAGTACCAGGGAATGTTACACCATAATAATCCTATGTGGGAAGAGAATTTTAAATTAAATTAATAATTCAAATGTAAACTGTAGCCCCTTCCCATTTTGTTGCTTTTTCCATCAGTACATTTTTAAGACTACTTTGGAAATGGAGGGGTACTGTGATACAATAAAAAAGAGGATACAGATTATGATTGGTTACTTTCTTATGGTACAAGGAAAGTAATATCCAGTGAAACTAATTTGACAGTCATTTTCTAATTTAAATAAAAACAAAAAAATTATAATATATGCAATATGCAGCAGGACAAAGTCAATCACAACAGACTCACCATGGGAAGGCGAGACTGCAGCATCTGCAAGTCCTCATATCCATAGATCTGCTGTTGATGTAAAGATAATGGAGGAAAGAACTAATGATTATTTTGTAGCATGTTCAAGTCTCCACTTGCAAACTCCATTTTAACTTAATCCTCTACACAGCTTTAATCAGCATCAGTGCGTCCCATAGAAGTCATGTTTGATCAGAACCTACTAAAACACAATCATCATCACTGAAAAGCTCTGTAGAAAAAAGGCGTAAAGTTACTGCTGTAATTTTCAATCAATGTACCCACTCATGAAAAATGCAGGGCTCTTTGATTTAAGGTGTACAGACTAGATTGATGACAGAATGAACATGCAGTTCTGTGTAGGCCCTTGAGACACAAACACCCATCATCTATTTTTAGTGATACAACTCGTTTCCCCTTTAAAAAACCCAGGGGACTAATTAACACACAAACAAGTAAATATATGTATAGCATATAGTTACCGGGTAAGCAGGGAGCAAGCCACCAGGGCCCATGATGTACTGGTTGGCCAGGAGAGGCGGCACTCCTTGGGCCAAGTTGGGAGGAGCTTTGCCTGGCAAAGACGACAAACAAGGATTTTTTAAAAATTTAAATCAAGTAATTAATTAGATGAATTTGTTATGATCCATACAGTCTTACAGTTGAGTAACAGCCTGATTAAATTTACTGTGTTGAGGATGGTGTATATAACATTACGTTCCTCTGTTATGGTAATATGATTCCTGTTCCTATGAGCCTACCAGAGGTGGTGGTGAGCAGGGGTGCCGTCCGGCTGCCAGCTGAGAGTGTGGTGTTTGTGCCATTAGGAGTTAGTCCCGGTGCTCCAGATGGATGCAGGCCATTGGATGCTGAGCTGCTGACAGCCAGGGTAGCTAAAGGACTGGGATGGACAGCTTGGCTGGACGACGACGATGAAAAGGCATGGAGATTGCCGCTACTGCTGCTCTCCTCATTACTTATCTGATGGAAAAGGACAAGAGGAGAGAGGGTGTGTGAGAACCAGCAACTGTTCCATAGATCAAAGCACGGATGTCTTCTTTAGTAAAAACGTTTGTTTTGGGTCCAAATTTTTCAGCAAATATACCAAACACTTACAGTGAGGGAGGAGCTTGTGGCAAGGACTGATCCAGATGAATGAGTACTGGTCACGTGACTAGAAAGAGAGTACAATGCTTCTGTTAGCCTGTTTAAATCTGATGAAGCAACAGAAGTACTTTGCACAGGAAGGTGGAGGATTCAGTGAAATATATTTCCACATACAGGATTAAGATATGTGCTTGTAACCATCATTATCTCCAGACAGAAAAAGGAAAGAAAATCAACGTGCCCTATAAAATGAACCATCCCTTACCTGCTGAGTGAGGGGATGGGTGTTGAGTGGGAAGGTGTAACCGCAGGGGAGGGGATGTGGTGGCTGGGGCCACTGTCACTCGTCATAACAGGAGACTCCGTTTTCACTGTTCTAGACGTTGATGTAGCTAGTAAAAACAAAAAAATAAGAAAAGGAGATAAGATTAATTTACTATACATTTTTGTGTATGGTTAACAAACTGACTATGGAAGGAGGAATAAAAGAATGAAACTATGTTGAATGAGAAAGATAGGTTGAGTATGAGCTGGTCTATATCAAACCTCATCCACTTTCACAGAAAGTACCCTTTCCAGTTCTTAACAGATGCATTTAGCAATCAATATTCATTATAATGGGATTTTATTGGCCACTCCAGTACTGTTCTCTATAACTGACAATGCTGAGTGTACTTACTGTCCTGTGTGCTCTGCGTCTTCATGCCAGTGTAGCCATTCTATAAGAAATGATACATGTCTGTTTTATAAAATCAGAAATAACAGTGGTCTACATCCTTTTTGTCATTTGGTCATTTATGCATGAGAGAAAAAGGTTTCTCCTCACTGTGAGAGCAGCAGCTGAGGCATCTTTGCTCTGAGAGTAACCCATGTGAGGTGGCAGGGACCTTGGGCCACTGCTCTCCACCCGACTGCCTGCTGTAGGAGCTGTAGAAGAGGGTGGAGTGGCTGCACTGGGAAGACCCAGGGAGGGGGAGGGCGTGGCACTCGGAAGGCCCAAGGATGGTGAGGGGAAGCTGGGATCTGATACGGCTGAGGGTAAGGTGGATAAGCTGCTCATGTGTTCACTGTTCGCAGGACAGAGAGAAAGGAATATAGGGAAAGAATAATATAATCATTTCCTAAACCAATTTAGCTCTTTAATACATTTTGTGCCCATGGCTGCAGTGAGTGCTCTGTTTTTTGCAGGACTCCGTGAAGTCCACTTGAATGGTTATTAAGATTTCTTGCCAGGCAGCTAAACAAATACACATATACAAAATTAGTGTGCCTCAGACACACTACTAAAATAACCCACACACCTCATAGATCCGGGCTTGGAGAACAAGCTGCTTTGTGGCTGCTGAGTGGGAACAGCAGAAGGGACAGGCATGGGAGCTGAAGCTGGAGTCTGAGTCGGGGCTTGCTCCCTGGCCGACTCTGTATGCGCCATGTCTACCGTTCCACTGCCAGCCTCAGACCCAAAGTCAAGAGCTCCAAACTGAACATTCAGGCCAGATATATCTGCTGAGCCCGGCATCTCCACTGCTGACGACGGAATCTGAGGTAGACAAAGAGGGAATTAAGTACTACTGTGTAGATACATTTCATCAATTTGATTAAAATTCAATTTGTTTTTGCAAAATGTGTAAAATGTTTATAGAAATCAGGTTAAAATCCACAAAAAGTGACTTTCAGTCAGCAATGAACGAAGATGATAACTGGCTAGTATCCTTTTAGTCAAAATTCAGAAAAAAAAACTACTTTATTTAGTCTGTCAGAGCTAGCTGGCTTGTCAAACATGTGAGAGACTCAGTTTCTACCAGGTCTTGCTAGTAATATACTGCTCTTTTGTTATTACACATTTTTGTCTGGTAAAAGGTTCAGATATCAGAAGAGCTTACCTTTGAGGGAGGAGGTACTCTGCGTCTCTGTGTCTTTAGCTGCCGCTGAGGGGCTTCTGTGATGGGAGGCTCCATGCCTGGCAGCTTCACTCCTGGAGAGGCTCCATCTCTTACAGGAGGGATGGAGGACTCGTGACCTGAAGGAGATTGAAGGCAGCAGTCCCATTGACAATGTTGTTTAAAACACAGGAATACAATCAAAATGATTGTCAGAGCTAGACAGTGAATATGGGGATACGTCCACAATCTTACAGGACAAATACTGTTTAAGTGCTTGCACTGTCCTGATTCAACTATAGTGTGCTGAAATGTGTCTTTATCAGCTCTGTAGCCATTATCTTAGCTCCACTGTTTGACAAATATTTCCTGTCTTCTTTTCATATGTGGTTACAGGCAACAAACATGGCAGGACGACATTATAGTGTTTGCTCTTATTTCTGCTATTGTGGTTATTAAACAGCTCAGTGGGTCATGTACACAATCCTCTGATGCTGTACTATTAATCCAAATATTAATTAGGTGAGTTGCAGCTCTAATGTCATGTGGGATAGTATGCAAATACACCTTTAATGGCTAAGAATGATACTGTTCTGCAGTCCTACCTGGCGGTGTGGGGACCTGTGGGGCATGCGAATGAGACAGGCCCAGAGGCTCTGTGGTGTGAAGGATGGAGGATTGTTGTTGCCTCTGAGCCAGCTGGCTGAGCACCGCTGATGGCTCTGGCTGAAGCTTCATCTCCACTGAAAAGAGGATAAGGGGATAAATATAAATTCATAGCTATACTGCCGCGCAATGTAACTTTTGCATTGTTGTGGACACTAACAATTAGTTTAGATCTAGTCAAGTCACATCTTATATTTCTTTTCAGGGTTGGGATTTACTTTGAGACTTACAGTGTGGGGCAGGGCCATTCTCAACTCTTTGAGCCTTGATGTCGACAGAAGGAGATGAGGCAGGAGCAGGGTTTTGTATTGGAGGTGGCCCTGCATCTTTGGAAACACTGCTGTTGCTGGTGGTGCCCGACGTCTGACTGGCTCTCTGACCAAGCCGAGGCCCATTGAGCTGCTCTGGTGTCCTCATGTCAGAGGCAGATGTCGGCTTAGGTGCATTCAGGGACCCAAAACCAGAACCTAGAACTGAGGACTAGAAGGAGGAGAGAAACAAAATGAGAACTGAATACATTGATCATCACATATCAGCGTGTAGCCACGTAAAGACGAAGTGTTTGCACATGTGTAAGTGTGTGTATGTGTGGCTGTCTGTACCAGTGCAGCATGCGCGTAGGTGGTACCAGCAGAGGCGGCATGGGCGTAGCTGTTGGCGGTGGCGTGTGCGTAGCTGTGTGTTGTAGTGCGTCCATTGTGGTGGGAATTGGTAAACACCAGACTTTGGCCCAAATCCTCGGTTGAGGGCCCATCGACTATTGCCACCAAGTCAGAGTCCACAGAACCCCCTACAGCCACTCCAGGCTTAGGCAGTAGGCTAGCCAGGTCCACACTGAGAGGCAAGAGACAAGAGTGCAGGAAGAGTGTGAGAAAAAGAGGTTTGGGGAGGAGAGCCAAGGAGAAGATAACCGGACAGATTAGGTAAAATGTTATTCTCCAAAAAAGCCTGTTGTTCTTGGTGTTTTTGGGCAGAGGGGCTTACTTGTGTCCAGGTGTGATGTGGTTTGTTGGAGCAGTAGAGGCAGTGAATACTTTGGTCTCAGACAACTTTGAGAAAAGACAGGAAGAACAAACAGTCATCACACAAACACATTATGTGCTGTACTGTATATCAACAACCATTTAAAGTCACATTTTTATAGTTAAACAACATAAAATCTGACTAATGTCAATAGCCATTAAAACATTAGGCAGGCCAGCACAGATTTAGTAGATTAAGTGCTGACTTACATCCTCATTCCAGTCTTCTGAATTCCAGTCTTCCAGATTGCCTCCCCATGTTCCTTAAAAAAAAAAAAAAAAAATACACAGCAGCAAAATTAGTTAATGTCCACCACTACTCATAGTCTAAACGATCATTCACCCCAAAGCAGTGGTATATACCACCATGACTGCATTACTAGAACTATAATTTATATGCCCCTGAATCTAATGCGTAGATTAATTTTAGGCTGATAAACCAATACTGAAGATAACCAATAATTTCTGATTTTTAAAAAGGTTAAAAACCTGTAGTTTATGCACACCTATGGGTAAGAAAGGCTTAGATGTTGTAAACAAAGATGGATGATTTAATATCTGTCAATTTCAGCTTGAGTTTTACTTTATTTGGGGCAAGTGAACTTCAAATGAGGGGGTTACTTTCAAGCTGACAATTAAAAGATTCCACAGCAGAAGTAGGAAATGGCATACAATTGTGACATCTTATGTTATTTTCCTTACCAGTTCCCTCAGCAGGTTCGTTGCCGTCCCCTTCCCACGTCTCCTGGCGAGCTCCAGAGTTAGCCGTGTAATCAGCAGGATTGAAGGTGCTGAAAGAACAGAATGGAAAGAAGAGACAGGTTGGGATGGTGAGCCAACATAAGGGAAACTGAAGAGGATAATGTCTGCTCTGTTGTTGCTACTGAATGAGGAGATTCAGAAACTTAAGTTTTTCCACACATTTGTTTTTAAGATATGTGCTTGTAATCACCATCACCACCTCCTCATCTTACTTCAGGCTCAAGATTTAAACTAAACACATGTTCTTACCCCATTCCCTGGGTGGAGAACCTGTTGCCAGCAGCTGCTCTTCCTCTACCGCGAACCCCTGCCCCTGAGGACACACACACACACACGACAACCAGTTGACCTCAGGTCCCTTTTAACCTCAACTCTTCATAAAGTGTTTTTTAAGACAGTTAAAGAATATCTTGAAGTGAAGTTTCACTTTTGGTTCAAGGTTTTAAGTTAGAAGGACCAGTGTGTAAGATTTAGTGGCATCTATTGGTGAAGTTTCAGACTGCACCTAACTGAACACTGCTCACATCTGTATTTGAAACCTGGGAATGAGAACGGGCTGTTAAGTATGTAGGAGAAAGTATGGCGCAGCGAAACTCGCCAAAAACACTCGGGCCAGTGTTTGGTTGTCCGTTCTGGTATAGAAACATGGCGGTTCAACATGGTAGTCTCTGCACAAGGCGTAACTTGCAGTCCAGAAGGCACAAACACAGGCTTTAGATAGGGGCATTTGTGTTTTTGTTCTTTTCTCCTTGGAAGCTGAAATGAGAGTTGTGATCTGCAACTACACTGCTGGATGCCACTATATCTGACACACTGGACCTTTAAGATATTTAACATTCAACATTTACATGCATTTATCTGCTTTTAAAGCATAACCTGCCATCTGACTCTTCTCAATCATGCCCTGATTGCCCTCACCTTTCTTAGGTCACTTGCTGTTACAAAAAAGCCAACAAGTCCAGTCAAATTCTAATACTTTACACTTTTCCCAATCGTTTTCTATGAACGACAACCATCCCCCACCACACACGTACATACATACAAGCAGCTGCAGGGACTGAGCACATTCCACACACGTTAAGTGCTGCAATACTCTAAATGCTTCCAGACACAAATAGATATGCTGCCAGTTACATCACCAAAACATGCACAATAACATCTGTGCCAATGCCCTATCTAAAGATTGTAGTTAACAAATAACAGACCATATTACAATTAGCAATTCATGGTCATGTTTGAAAAAATAAAAAGGGGGAGGAAAAAAAGGGACTGTAGGGTTGCCCAAAGTACAGTCAGTGGTATTTCCACTACATCTTACGGCTCAAATCAACTACTTATTTTTGGTACCTCAACTTCGTTTTTTCACTGTAGATAGTACTTTGGATGGTACCACTTTTACAGGGATGAGCATCAGAGCCACGCTATTACAGTAGTCAGTATCTTTCTAGATTGATAGACCTTGGAAATGTTTTGGTTTACCAAACAAACGTCATGTTTACTTTAGAAACGCCCATTTTAGATTTTGAAATCTCTACATTAATGGATCATCTTTGCACAACCAAAATTTAACAATAAGCTTTGAAGAGGTAATTTTCTGTTTCGCTCACCTCTGCCCCGCCCCCTGCGTCCGCGGTCTCCTCCTCTCTCTCCAGGAGCCACCTCAAACCCATTCTCTTCTAACCGACCTATAATCCAACAAAAAACAAAAAGGATATTAAGACATTAAAAACTCATTAATACTGAACCAAGAGAAAGACCTCTTAACTGTAAGGGGAAATTGAACTTGAACAAATCAGGGCAAAGTTGAGTTGACAGTTCCATACAGTCAGCGTGCTTTTAGCAATGAAAGACTGATGTATTAAAATACAGAGAACACCATTTTAACAGACTGACAAGGAACATACATCTAGACAATGCAGGGTCTTCATCCCTAGGACCTGACAAACATCTTTCTACTCTTCCTTACCTTCACGCCCGCGGCTGATGCCTCTGCCTCTCCTGTTGGACCCCCCACGTCCACGACTGGCCTCCCTCTCCCCTCCTTTCTTCTCCCTGCTCTCCTTTATCTCTGAGGGTCCTCCTTCTTTCCCAAGGCTCCGCTTCTTCCCCACAGTCTCCCAGGAGTTCTGACAAAGGTTAATCAAAGAATGAGGTTTACTTTATATAATACATATATATTGTGACTAATATTGTACATGGTTCAAAGTGTTTTAGTCAAAACAGAGGAATTGTTATACGACATGTGAACACAAGTACAATGTGCATTAAGGAGGCTCCAATCGGGGTTTTTGAGGCCAGTCACCAGAAGCAGTATCGGCCAACACTGATCACCAGATCTATTTAAAGTTTTATGTCTATAGTGTACGCACACACCTACTCTTCTGTCTCACACACACACAGGCCTGCACCATCCCACCTTTCTGCCCCCCTCTCTCTCTATACACACACACACACACACACTATGCGTCTGCTCCGTTACTTTGTTTTGAATGTTTTCGTAGCAGCAAGTGAACTGTGCATTAATGAGTAAGCTCGTTAATGTCACCTATCAAAAACGAAACTGTTGCTTAACCTGTTCCGTGCTTGTAAAACATCCCACCCAAGTAAATCTGTGAGTGAATAACTTTCTTGAGGAATAAAACAAATGTGTATTCTGAATGGCATTTAGAGATCGCAGATCACGATCGGTGACCAATCAATGGCAGTACCCTTAATATGCATGTATGAATAGTGTGTGTGTGTACATTCTTACTGTGTCAGATGTGCTCTCCAGCAGGAAATTGATGGCTCTGTTTACATCTTCGTTGCAGTCGTGCAGAGCTACCATGCACTCATCCTGGGTCTTCCCAGTTACCTCAATCAGCTGTGAGTGTGTAAAAAAGAAGTGCACAGCAGTAAGTTAGATTGACATGTGACACAATCATAATAAAATATGCTGGTCATTAGGGATGTCACGATACCACTACCAGTGAAATTCGCCGATAATCAAAACTACATTCGATACCATGGAAAAAATGTCCCAATCAAGTTTTTTTTTTGCCCCCGATCCCTGTCCAGAAGAATTTTTCTCTCCCTTTAGAAGTGTCCTGCAGAATTTGTTGTTTCAGCTGAGCTTTGGCCAACCTGAGTGTTTTTTCCTTGCCTGTACATCTTTTGCATGGATTACCACAATAAATTACTCTTATTTGCTTTTTGTTTGCTTTGGCTTGTAGCAGTGCGAGTACGCAGCTCTCTGAACAGAAGCTCAGCCCCGCCCATGGCGTTGTTTCACTGCGGGGTGGGGCTGAGCTCCTGCACACACAGTGACAGAGACACAGACAGAGGAGATAGCTGATGACTGAGCACTGTCCACAAAAGTTTTGCAATCACCTGTAAAGCTGCACTTGTTGCCGTCTGACATGCTTCCTGTGGCATTTAATGGCCAACTAGACACAACAACTTTATAGGTGCATATGAGAATTGCATCATCTGTACCTTTGGTAATGTAGAAAAACAAGTTCTTCAGAATTTTGGTATCGACTTGGTACCAAAGTATCGGTTCTTGTGACATCCCTACTGGTCATCCAAAAAGTATTTGTCTAAATGTGTGCATATGCACAAACACATTACCTGTTTGACCTTGTCTTCAAAGTCAGCATCATTTTTGTCGTAGATCATTTGGGCTAAACGAATCTGTTCTGCTGTGGCCTGATAAACAAACAGAGTCCAGTAAGAAGCAATAAAACCCACAGTAGAACAAATTATATTTGGACTCATTTTCATATTGAAACGACACATTAGATCACAAGACTGAATGCAATGACACTTCAGTCCTGGTGAAGGTAAACTATGTAGTCACCTTTTACATTTTACTTTAAATATCTTTGATTGTACTAAAAAATAAAACAGACCATTATAGTTGAGCAGGACAATTCCTTAGGTCTGTGTGTAATCTGGTATGTACAATGGTGAAAACCTACCTGTATCTGTTTCTGTGGCTGTGTTGTTTGTGTGGTGGTGGGAAGTGTTCTGTCCCGAGCCCCCCGGGCTTGATTGCTGACCACTGAAGTCATCATATACAGTATATACAAAACAATGTATGTACAAAATAGAAAAATCTGGGGGGAGAGAAAGGGGGGGAGAGAGGCAAAGTGAAATGACAGCCACCTATGAGAGGGTTACATTATGCATCACGATTCCCAGAAAGATTTAACACTAAATAAAGGTCCAATGCGAATACAATATACTGAATATAAGCAGACTGAGACTCACTGTTGTCAAGTATACCATGTAAGACTATAACTCCATCTGTCACCCCCCCCAGTTAAATTTAGCCAGCCAAGAGGGGACTGTCCGGGTGTCAATTTACAATCCTCCCTCAGTCTCACACACACACACAAAAAAACATGATCATGCACTAGCAGCCTATGTTATGGATAGTATGAATTATACAACTTTTTCCCCCAATCGACGACGCCGGGATAGCGACAGTCATTTGCTAGTTGATTTAAATGATTAAGTAAGCACAAAGAAGCCTGTGCTTTGTATCAGGCTAGGGCTAAACGGAGTCCAAGGAAACTATACTGGATTAGATTATATTACATACATACAGTAACTGGTTGTTAGCTAATAATACCACCAACTAACAACTCAGCGTGGGAACACAACAAACGCGATCCACCGGTTTAATCACACTATTGTCTAAAAAAAAAACCTGACATAATTGGCTGACAGGGGGGGGGGAAATAAAACAAGTTAACTGTATAAAATAGCTGCCGTTATCAGTGTTTTCAGTCGTCCGTTTCTACCGTAAGTGATGACTGATCCGTAATCTTATTTAGGAGGACGTTAAAAGGAGCTCGACGGTAACACGAGCCGCACCGGCCAACGTTCAACATAAGCGTTAGGTCGCATAGCTCGAGCTAGCTTCAGCCTGGCTAACCGCTCGTCTTTGTTCCGTGTGCGGTACACACGATTCCCACCGTTGCTATGGTACATTTACTGGAAATACCAGCGTAGCAACCACACGATCAATAACCTGTGATTTCTGTATGTTTAGCCCCACCGACACAGGAACCTAAAAAAAATAAAAATAAAACAAAAACAGATATGACAAAGTGCGAAGATGTTACCCTTTTGTGTGAACCAGGAGAAAAGCTAACTTCACGCTAACCCCAGTAGCTGTTTTATCTCAAGTCAGCGACACATTTTAAACAAAAACTGAAACCAAACGGAAAAAAAAAACAAAAAAAACACCGCGTGTGACATTAACGTTTACAACGGCTGGTCCCCGGATACGTTCGAACCCAGAAATGTAGCGCGGGTGTGAGACGGTGTATAGTGTGTGTGTGTGTGTGTGTGTGTGTGTGTGTGTGTGTGTGTGTGTGTGTGTGTGGGGGGGGGGGAAAGTTGTCTGAAGACGCGTGGTTCGTTGATGTTGAGCTACGGCAGATAACAGAGAGGCTAACGGCCCCGGCATGTGAACGGCCCGTCGGCGTACAATGCAGCACGGACACAACGCTGGCTAGCTAGCTAACGTTCACTAGTTATAGTTAGATAACCGACGAACAGGACGAACGGTTTCTCTGGACCCCGCCGATCGACTTTACTGAAACTATATATGTTTTGTTTTAAATACACGCTATGAGGCGCGGGTCTTAAACTGCTTTTAAATCGATAATATTAACACAACAAATCTTTATTCTTTCTTTTACCTGCTAACACGCTTCGCTCAGCCAGCAGCAGCAGCAGCAGATGCTGTCACGTGACCCACCGCGCCGTTGTTCAACGTTGTAAAGCCGAACCTGCCAATCAAATTCCTCCGAGCCGGTCAGGTGGTTTAACGCCGTGCCCTGACGTGCGCGGTCCTGTCCGGGAGCGCGCTTCGCTCTAACATGTTTTTCCAGCCTGAATTCGGGTGAAAACTAATAGAGAAAGCTTTGTTTATGTGACTTATTCCACATATTTAGCAAAAAGCAAACACAAATCGAACCTTTGAACTGATATAATATATAAATGCGATGGGTCATGCTTTAATTTTTGTGTCTACGAGAAAGTCAAAACAGGTTGTGTAAGTTTCTTTAGTGATGTTGCAATACTAGCTGAGGTGAGCCTCGACAACCTGTAGTGTTTAGGCTTTGTTTAGGCTGGCTTCTTCTCTAATTTAATTCACCCTGCTATCACCCTTAGCCCTCTGTGGAATAAAGGACTAAAGCTAGATTAATGAGGGCAATTTTGATAGACTGAGGTAAAAACAACACATCTGTACAGTATCTGACTCAGAAAAAACAATCATCAAATTACCTACTGCCTAAAACAAATATTTCACAACACAGAACACGTCATCTGATTATCATTCAAATTTATTTCAACCCTGAGAACTGTGTTTCTGAAGCTGTATCAACTCATGTGAATACACAAATAGTCTCATTGCTTTACAAGTGTCACAATCTTTTATCAGAATACTAAAACAATCTTGCAATTTATTCACAAAAAAGTGTGAATAAATTGAGAACCAGAACAAACAATTTGCCACCTGCCAAGTAAACAGCTCATTAGACACATGAGCTTAAGTTAAAGCAGGTTAGCAAAGCAAGTTGGTTCAGTGTATTTTCATTCCAGAGCCAGAACTTCAATCAAGACCATATTCAACAGAAGACCAACCCTAATCAGGCTGGGCTGGTTTGCTGGACAATCTGGTTAGGTAAAACACAGACTAAGATTAGACTAAAACTACAAACTGAAAGATTTGATCAAGGTCATATCTCAAAATGATCACATGCTGTGACTTTCATGTAAAAAAAAAAACAACAACTCAATATTAGTAGTTATTAAGACCAAGAAAAAAAACCAAAAAAACAAGAAAGACCAAAGCTGAGGAAAAATATTAGTCAGAATATCAGATTATAAGATACAATATACAGCACATAAATAGCAGCTATTAAAATAACTTCATTTCTAAAGACCTGTCATCTGCACTTACACAGCAGTGTAATACATCTACAGCTAAAGATGGATGTAACAAATTGTGATTAAAATAACTAAATATGTATGAATTTCATAATATACTATATGGATCTGAATTGGCATCTATACAGCACCGAGGGGAAAAAAAACCCCCACAAACCTGCATCTAGGAAAGAAACACAAACACACGTACACACAAGTACACACACACACACACACACACACACACACCAATCTGCAGACCATCAAGTGATATATGTCCTGTGAACTCTTAAAGCTTAAGTTTCTTGAACCGTTTATAAAATAAAAACATACTACCAATACTGTATCTAGTGCACTCATAAAGAATGGCATTTCTTCAATGTATGTGCATAAAAAAATGCAAATATTAGTGCTTAATATATTAGTTTATTCAATTAATTTAATCACGATTATCTTCTCCGTGGTTGTGTGGTTGGTTAGAATGACTGGTCTTAAGATATGGCTGCAGGTGAGATATCATGCTGTGGACACACTGAGCCTTTCTCTCCATGATCTCTCCCAGCTTGTGGACATACTCCCCAAATGCCTGTTAAGATAGAGAGACAGAGAGTGAGGACAGAAAAAAAGTGTGCAATCAATTTAATTGCAAAAAATGAAGGAGCTAACACATGGCTTTGAGTTATTCTGACCATGTTAGGCTGCTGGCACAGAAGCGTCGCCTCTTTACGACATAAAGCTTCCATCTCTTCTCGCTGCATCCAATGGGCCTGGACAACACAGGACCTCAAACTGGGTTCAATCAGACAACAAGATATTATTAATTATTGATATTTTATTAAAACTAATGACCACTAATGTGATTACAACAAACGCAATGTCACGCTATAACACTCATTAAGGATTATTGTGTAAGCAAAGTTGTGATATTTCTGGTACTTACTGGTCATAATCCAAGTCTTTCAGCGTAGACAGACGGATTATGGGTCTAATTTGCTGATTGTTGGAGCTCTCTTGAATATTAGATTCTGTAGGACCATTTGGTTGGAGTGAGATGTCTGAGTTTGGAGAATGGTTTGGAAGTTCTGTTTGACACTGCTTTGGCAATGTGTTCAACTGGCCCAAGACACTTTCTGACTGTGGTGTAGAAATGGAAAAATCATGTTTGTTGTGCACATTGTGTGCATATTTCTGTGGCAATTGGGTGGCACCATTTGTCATTAGACTGTGTGAGCTAAGTGAACCAGTGTTCATAGAGTGCTGGATAGAGGATGAGATGGACTGCATGACAGAAGTTTCCATAGAAGTACATGTAGAGGGCTTAAAGTGGGTTGCAGGGGCTTTGCTGCCCATGACTTCAATAGCTGGTGTGCTTTGGGGTTTGGGAGGGCGGTGGGTCTCTTTTTCCACTTCCCTTCTATTATCTTCTCCCCTTTCATTCTTAAGCAGACAGAATGATGTGTTGTTCTGTTGCCCTTGGAGGAACGAGTCTGTGGCGACCTGTTGATCCACTTGAAGCAGGGAGATGCTGAGGGGGTCCATGATATAGCTGAGAGAATTTGTAGAAGTCTCTTCTTGGGGTAAAATGGACATTTTGGCTTTTACTTGTGAATGGTTAATCTGATTTTCAGATAATATATTAAGGGGCTCCCTAGGTATTTTACATCCATTCTGTGTGTTGCGAGTAGGGGGACATAGAGTGACTGATTGAGCATTGGACAATTCTCTTCTATTTGCATTAGCAGCAAACCATGGTTCCTTTGCCCTACAGCTGCTTGGCACTCCCTGTTGGGCATTTTGCAGTGGTAGAGGCAGGATGTCTGAGTTGTATCTGGTATGTTTTAATTTAAGGGGGAGACCACTGAGTTCATTAGGGGTCAGGAGTGTGTTGGTATGTTCACAGGCTGGGGAGAGGGGTCGTTCTGCTGGAGCTCGTTGATGGGATGACTCAAGAGGCAAGTGGTTAAAGAGGCTGTTGCTGTCATTATTGCTGTGCGTGGACACTAAACTGTAGCCATCAGCTCCTTCTCGCTCCCCAGTACTCCTGTCCGTCGGGACATCTGAGGCATCTAGTCCTTCCTCCCCCACTTCTGAAACACACTTGTAAGACACTAGTGCCTCTACATCAGCTGGCCTTGCAGCTGTCATCTCGTCTGCCTGTTCTGTCTGCGCTCTTGCCACCCAAGCCCACCTCCTTTCTCCTCCTCCTTCCACCCCAGCTGGCCTACAGTCTTCACTCTTTACTCCTACCCCTCCTTGTGTACTTGTTGCCTTCAGTGACCTCCTCTTCTTAGTTTTACCTCTGTTTTGTCCAAATTCTGCCCCAGTTCCCTCCCAAGATACCCTCCAATCTTCACCAGTACCACATAAATCACCATGCCCAACCTTATCCTTATTTTTATTGCAGCTTGGGGAGGTTTCAGTTTGTAAGCAAATCTCTCCACTGGGAAGGGGTGATAACTGTCTTCTGCTACCATTAGCCCTAACCTCAACCCTGGCTCTGTACACATCTAAAATATCTTCCAAACCATGACACATAAGGGGAGACAATGAGAGGTGGGAACAGTGTTGGAGAGAAGAAGAGAAAGACGGGGAGACAGAGGAAGAGAGAGAGGCCTGATTACAAGAAGAGAAAGACGGACATGTAGAGGATGAGAAGAGATGGTCAGATGAAGAAGCAGATGAAGGCATAAACTGCTGCAGCTGCTGATGATACCATCTCAGGTGCCTCTCCCTCTCATCTCTTTCATCAACCTTTTGTAAATCTCTTTCCCTTTGCCTTTCTACTTCACCGCAGTTGTCTCTAATGCTTTCCAGTTGTCCTCTCTGTTCTATCCATCTTCTTTCCCCCTCTCTTCCCCCTTTCAAAGTGCTTTGGTTCTCCTTTTCTCTATGGCAGAATCCAGATTCCCTCTGTACCTCCCACGAGTGAATCTGCTCATCTGTTGCTTGTTCTAAGACCGGCCCTGCTCTGACATTGTGGCCCTCAGTTGATTGACCTGCACTGTCAGTTCCTTCATACCTTTCTCTTCTTCTACCTTCCCTCCCACCTGCTCCCTCCCTCCTCTCCATCTTATCACTTATTCCCAGAAAACCTCTGATTGGTGTAATTTGTCCAAACCCCTTGCTTGCTCTTGCTTTTGTACTTGTTTCCTCTCCCCATCTGCTGTTCTTGGGTGTGGAGCAGAGAATTGAGCCCCCTGGGGCCAACTTTGTGGTAGGTGTGGTGGGGCCAAAAGTCTCTCTTTGTCTCCCTAATTTTGGCTTTTTAGGGGGACTTTTCCCTCTGACGCCAACACTGCTGCCTCCACTGCTGCTGTTGCTGTTGGACAGGTTACGTTTGGGGGAGGGTATTGTCTTGCCTCTTCTTCCTCCTCTTAGTCCTCCCTGTCCCCTCAACTCCTTCACCCTACGAAAAAACCAAGTAGATGAAGATTACAGCAACTAATATCCAACCTTACCTTTCCCACACACATAGTACACAGACACTTACCGATCCGCGTATCTCAGTGTATTAAGTGTGTGTTCAGTTGCTAAGTGACCAGGTGAAATGTTGGCAATCATGCATGTCATTGAGTCACCAACAAACGAGTCTTTCAAAACCTAGAATGAGAACAATGTAGTCCAAAACACAGAGGAGTTTAATGATCAGACTAGACAAAATAAAATCAGCCACGATATCTATGATCAGTAACAGAACCATTGAAAAGTTACAACAAGTCTTAGTACCTGAGTCAGTTTACTTTGTCTGAAAGGTGTGTGTGATTGCTCTTGATCAAGGGACCGGATACATTCTTTAAGCTGAGAAAAAATAAATTTACAAATTAGAAAATATATAAAACCACGCCATACCTTCACAAATGTCTTTAACTTTATGTTTAATCTCTGAGTGTTTGAGCATATATATGTGTGTGTGTGTGTGTGTGTGTGTGTGTGTGTGTGTGTGTGTGTGTGTGTGTGTGTGTGTGTGTGTGTAGCTTACAGCCAACAGACTCTGGTTAATCTCCGCCCCCTCCATGCGACTCTGCCTGTCTGGTTCTTTGGTATCTGATGCCCTCTCACTTCCTGCCAGGTCCACAAACCACATTCTACAGACAAGCACACACACACACACACACACACACACCCCTTTTTTAGTTCAGTCATTTTACACCAATACTACTAGGCTTATTTGATCTTTAAGGAGCTATAATAAAATAAAACACATGTTGTCACTCACCTACCAGCTATCTGCTGGTTTGGACCTCTTAGCTGAATCTGAAGTAAGGCATGGGAGCGAGAGGAGAGTGGATTCACTCCACTCATCCCCTGTGTGCGCTCCTCTGTACCCTGTGAAATCACCTTTGTGAGCACAACAAAGAATGCACGAGGAGGGAGACGAGAGAGAGAAAGAGAGATTGAGATTTCAAAAGATGTTGAAATCAACTGCAGTATTTACTATTTCAAACGTAGAAAATCATAGAATTCTTTATTTAAGCTACTCAAGAGTCTGCTGGTGCATCTGTGAAGATGTAAGCACAGAATTAGCCAACTGAAGCCTATGTATATGTATATATGTATCTAAGGTTTAGGTTAAACACAATTAAAACTTAAAAGAACAAGGATTTTTCTGTCCTCTGCCAGCTCTGGCCAACACAGCATTGACATGAGGCAATTTTCAAAGAAAGGGGCAAACCTCCAGCAGTGATCGAACTGAGTCCACTCTGACGTCACGCAGCCCAGCAATGTGAACCACCTTCTGTCCATCTTCCCTGGCAAATAACCTTATGAAAGAAAAAGAGAGAGTTTAAGAGGGAGAAGAAATTGAGAAAGAAGAAAATGAAGGTTTATCATAAATCCAAGTATTGAGAAGAGGACATCCTGGTTCACTTTGATGATGATGTTGCCAAGAAGTAAACAAACACTGCCACAAACACGCACCTTTTCCTGTTGTCCAACAGGTCATACAGCTGACCACAGTAGATTTCAAAGAAGCTGACATACACCAGCAAGGGCGAGCATGTGTGTGTGGTGGAGAGGTGAGCAAAAATGTCCCGAACTGCCAATGAATACAACCCCTGTCTCCCAGGAGATGAACCCAACATGGTGTGAGTCTTCCCTGCACCTGTCTGCCCATATGCAAAGCAGGTGGCCTTGCCCCTGTGGGTGCATACAAAACACAGATAATGATAGTTAGGGAGCACGGATTCATAGAAACACAGAGCCAAAATGGCTAGAAGCATGTACGTCAAGCCCCAAACCTGATTCATTTGGACAACATACACAACTCCATAAATACCACTACATCAGTGCTACCCTACCCATTGAGCATATGCTGCACCAGGGGATATGCTGTTCTTTGATACACCTCCTCATTGGTGCTCTCCTCCCCAAAAACCTGGTCAAAGTAGAACCTGTGCTGCAAGGAGCAAGAGCAAAGGGGCAAGGAATGAAATAAACGAGGAAAAACAAGGCATTGATCTGACAAGGTGACTTTAACATATAAATAAAAATATAAAGTCCAGTATTTCATCAGAAAATACTAAGAAATTACCACAGTTTGAAAGTGTGTTTATTTGGTGTAATTTTAGTCGTACCTACAGTAGAAATACATGATAAAACGTAGATTGGTCATTGTCTCCTCTCTGGACATACTGTATCTACCTGTAGTATGTACTGTGTGAGATCCACAGCCTCTTTGCTTTCATGGACAATCACACAGTCAGCAGTTGGCGTTGTCACAACATCTTCCTCTCCTCCCCTCCACTCTGTGCGTGTCAGAGGTCTTTTCCTCACACACACACTGATGCGCTGTCCCCCTGGTTGCCTGCAACACACACACCAATCACAGAAAATCAAAAGAATGATCATGTCCAAAGGAAACAATGCCCATACGCAAACTTAATGCAAACTAATTCAAAGAAGACACAACCGCAAAAAGCATGTAAAAACCTCCCCCTCAATGCAAGTGTTGTAGCCATTTGGGCACTTTATAGCTTTCTGACTGTCTTTCATGTTCCCTAAATGCATTTAACATACTGTGGCTGTCTTCACTAAGATATTAATTCACAAATAGGGAGCTAGCAGTAAGGACAATACAAACCATTAGCACTCACTTTTTGTTTGGCGCAGGAGGGGAACACAGTGGTAGTCCATAGTTGTAGCCAGCTGTTGTCCTGGATTCATAAACAGGTGTTGCCTTAGTCATGTGTTCAGAAGCGTTGTTACTGCTGATTTCTGTATAGAGTTTTTCCTTTTTAGAGATTCCTTTTCTATCTTTGTGCCCCACTGGTTTGTTGCTAAACCTCTTTGATGCCACTGCTGAAGGCCTGGGTCTTGGTTTGCAGGATGAGGCACACTTTGGTGGTGATCTTGTGTGGGAGCTGTACACAGAAATTCCTTCCACGATGTCTGGCTTGGTTTTTGGTACTGTGTGATGATCAAATTGATGACTATGGACATCTGGCCTGTGGTTGTTGTTCCCTTTGCAGCTACATATCACCGCATGTGCAGTGTCAAGCTCAAGCTGCACAGGTAAGGCTGATCCTTGGCCTGGCTCATTGCTTCTATTATGACTTGCAGAGACATGAACAGTGCCTACTGGATGAGAAAGTAGCTTCTGATGATGATCGATGTTTTCAGAACTAAAATCAAGCCGCCTGCGAACACATGATGGTTTGGAAAAACTCGATGCATTTAGCTTACTCGCAGCAGCACCCTTCTCATCCTCATCATCATATACATCTTCATCAGGATCTCCACAACCATCATAAGTAATGATACTATCTGCCACAGCGTAGCCTTCATCACCACCGCCAGTATCTGCATAATGATCACGATCTTCATATTCAAGGCTCTCCAAGTCAAGAGTTTTGACCATTTGGACAAGCTGGAAGAGTCGAGTCCTGTCCTCCATAGAGCTGATTCCCAGGATGGGGTAGTCCTCCATGGTCAGCTCGGAAAGGTGGGCTGCGCGACGAACACCCACTGAGGTAAACCTGAAGGACAGGAGACAGAGGGAGACGGATGGTCAGAGGAGGAGAGGATTGGGAAAGTTTGAATTTGGATGTCCTGTGAGTTAGTGAGCTTACCTGGCATAGTGACCCTGCAGCCCAACTGCCCTCAGACACTCATACAGGCAAAGTGTCATTTCCTCCTCTTCTTTTTCTTTCTCTTTTTCTTTAACTTCACTCCACCTACCCTGGGAGTGGCAGACACGTGGATTTAGTCTCTCCATCAGTTGGTCACAAGAAGCAAAGACGTGCAAGAACGTGTACAACTAGAGTAATTCTATGATGACAGGCTAAACTTAAACAGAAAATTAAAAAACAACTACTAACTTGAATGGCCACAACACCAGCTCCTTTCTGTAGCTACACTCCCTCAGTGATTTCTGTCAGTGGCCAATCGTTCATTACTACCACACCATACTGTTGTGGTGGCAAGCAAAGCACAGGACACTGGTATGATGCTGAAATTTGACACTTGGTCAGGATGCACGGTGAAGTCATGTCACACATTTCTGTAATGTAGCAAATATGATAAATATAGCAGACACAGGCATGCGACTGTTGCTTCCTTGACTTACAGGAGATTGGCTGGCAGCTGCAATAGTCCTGACATATGGTACTTGAATGACACCCTCTGCATATGCACGAATACTGTGCTGTGCTGTTCATTACTGTGTTTATGAAACAGTACACTGCTTCAAATCCCACTCCTAGAGGTCCATATTTCCTCCAGGCTGAGCCACAGTTCCTACAGTGAATTCATGTTGGCATTTGATTGTCAGCAACTGTTAATTCTGCAAATTGAATTACACAAAGACAACCTGCAGTGCAGTTGAAATTACATTTAAATCCATCCTAACTACAGAGCATAAAGTATTATGCGAAGAGGGTTGTTGACACCTGATCTTTTGGAAAAGTTGTTGTGCTTTTTAAATTATTGATAAATCAAAAGAAACATCATAAATTCTTTTAAATAACTGGGTGCCTGTGCTAAGTAAAGAATTTTAGGTATGAAAAGACAAACTGTAAAGCTGTAAAGTTTCTACAAAAAGCAAAAAATAAACAGAAAACTTACCTGATTCACTGCAGACTGTTCAGCAACAAAAGACAAATGAGTGAACACGACGGTTTACCTGATGAACTCACAAAATGCATAAATATTTTACAAAGTTGCTACCGTGAGTAGTATCACTATTTCCGTACACGAAGTAGGTCTCCATAACAACGCAAACGGTTTGGGGAGGGCGCTTTGTTTTCCCGCTGTGGGTGAGCACAACTCCTCCAAACACAGTCCTTGGTAGGCAGACCCACAGGGGGCAGAAATTATGAGAAATGTTATCAGACGTAAATGCAGAAACACAGCCGGTCGAATTACGCTCACTTCGGCATGAAAGAGGGAGATAATCCCTCAGAGGGCTTAATGCCCACCAACAAACCTGCTGAGACAAAAAGCCTTCTCAGACTAAACCATTGAGACATTTGCCCCACTGGTGTTACAATATACTTTATGGAGATCTTAGTAATTGACCATTGATGGAGATGCACTTTCTGGGTTTATTAATAATAAAAAAAACCCACAGGTATTATAATTGTTATTATTATTTGACATAATAATAACAATACAGAAAACTACAGTTGTAAACTGGTAATTGGGTTGTTGTGAAATGCAGTAAAATGTAGAATCCGATTAAATAAATAAAAGAAAAAATTATACATATACAGGCTAGATAAAAAAATAAATACATAAATTAAAATATTTCAAAATATACACTATTTAACACTCTTAAACAAAATCTAAAGATCTCCAAGACTAGAAACATTTATTCGGGTTTATTTTTATTATTTATTTTCATAATTACACGTTTATTTACCCTCATAGGTCCTAACTCCCTGCCATAATCCATTACTATATTATATACCTCAACAGCAAATACATCCTGTACACAGAGCCATAGACTATAGAGATATATATAGATAGAGATATATCTCAATATGGCTCTGCATGTACATGTCTACGTTGTGTATACTTGGTACACCCTGTGTTTGCAATTTAACGAAGAAAAGTGGAGCCATATAGGAAACAACCTTTAAACCATAAAGGGGAAGGAGGCCAAGGAAACCCTGTTTATCCGCCCGTGTTTCACAGGGGACAACATTCGACGTAACACACAAACACTTCCTCAAACCTAGCAGACCCGTGGTTGTCGTGAAACGCCGACGAGTTTTGGTTTGCATTTTATAATTTGATACATGTCCAAATAAACGTAGACGGTCTGTTTCACACAGATAAGGCACTAAAAAATCCGTGCGTGTAATTTTAACGAGATAAAATCTGATGTTCCGCCCAGGACATGAAGCTTAATTAGCCTCATCAGCAACCAGTTGCTAGGCTACCAGACCCAGCCCGTGAGAAAGACTGCCATGGCAACCAAGTACAGAACCTATGGGTGACGTTCAGGGTCAGGTAGGTTGATCTAATTCATGAATGGACAGTTCATTATAAACTTATAGCTGCTGGTAGCTGATTTAAGGAGAACTACTACTCATGACAGTACTACTCAAAATACTTTTTATATATTCATGCAGCATGTTATCCCATTTAAGTATTATATATATACTTTATATATATATATATTTATATAAAGTATATATAATCTGTAACACCTTGCAGCAACATCAAGCTCATTCACAGGCCTGCAGCTTAACCCGGTCCAGTGACAGATGGATTTTAGGGGTGAAACTTAGATACTTTACTGCGCTGATGAAAATTAAAAACCTATAAGAACCAGTTTCTGAACATCCATGTGGTTAATGAAGGTGGTGATAAGGAGCAGGAGTGGGACTAATTTGAACTCAAAACCTGTGCCATATGATGATTTTCATGTGAATTGCGTTGCGTCCTTCCTCAAGAAAGTGAATTAAGTCTAATAGCTCAGCTTAAAAACAACATTTATTACTAGTATCTATCTATTTTGTTATTAATCATATCTTCAAAACTGAAATTACTTTCAAAAATGTTCTCTTATCATATCAGGAAACCTGCTGTAGGAAGTAATCAACATGTCGTCTGAGGAGGAGACTTCTCAGACTTCCTCTTCTTCCTCTTCTCCCCCTCTCTCCTCCTCCTCCTCACATCCCCCTCCATCACACTTCATCGGGAAGAAGGAGGACATTGTCAAGGCTGGGCGCGTGACCAAGCTGGTGAATGGATGCAGAGACGTACTGGTCGTGTGGCACCAGGGGCAGCTACATGCAATGGACATGCGCTGCTACCGTAAGAGTGTGGAGGGGTTGTTTGTGTTGATGTAACGTATAAAGCTACACTTGTAAAGCTTGTCCTTGCCTGTCCATCATCCTAGTTTTTAAAATGTGGAATTAACTTTGTATAATGGCTCATCACATGTTTGAAACACTGATTAAGAAACACTGCTGCTCTCTATAATGACACTTGTTTTTCCACTGACAGATTCAGGTGGGGCGTTACAGTATGGAGACATTGAGGTAAGTTGTGTACTATTTTCTCTGAATATACTCATGAATGAGTTTTTATAAGCTGTTTACAACCACATTCTTGTCAGTTTTCTACAAAGCTCTTGTTCAAGCTTTCCTGTGTATATAATAGCTTTTAAATACTGCGTTTTCTTATTAGATTGCCACTACAGCTGTTCCTATATTGTCTCTCTAATCATCTTAATTCTGTGTTAAAATCAGGAGTTTAATGGGCGGCTGTGTATCGTGTGTCCGTGGCACAAGTACAAGATCACACTGGCAGAAGGGGAAGGGCTTTATCAAGCTGTGGACGATCCTACAGTCAAACCCCTGAGAACTCACTGGCGCTCCAAGGGTGTCAAACAGAGGATTCACAAGATCACTGAGATCAACGGGGATGTATATGTAACATTGAACGACTCCAGCGAGGCCGTCGAGTCAGACGTCTACCAAACTGAGAGATATAGGACTGTCTTACTCAAGGCCCAGCCAGTACCTAAAAACAAGAAATAGAGGTGTTTGATTATTTAAAGAATACTCAAAAGGACTATTGGAGATGTTTTGTTTGTTTGTGTTTCACTGGGAAACCTTTGGTCGCATTTATAATTGTTTTCAAATACTGTTAACAACAGTGTGAGCTGAGTCAATCTAGGACAATGAAGGAAATATCTGATGAATGTATGAATATAGGACATTTCAGCAGTAGTTGCAGGAATTGTCCAATCCACCTGAATCTTATGCCTACAAATATACGTGAAACTTATGCCTTCATTTCACAAAGAAACTCAAACTACTGTAACTCTGAGCTTTTTCTACTTTGTGTTCATACCTTCTGTTTACATACACTGTTCATTACTTTGCTCTTGCTCTGATGGACACAGTTTGTTTTAGTAGGATCAGAAACATTGAACATTGAACAAATCAGCAGGTATGATGTAGAACTGTCTGGCATATATGAAATTATTCTAGCTTATTATAACACCTGGTTTTGCAGGGTTTTTTGGGGACTTCTGCACAATGTTGTGGTTTATAATTATTAAAATGTGTACAAATATACTGTTTATTTTGGGCAAAAATTATGACTATGTGTCCCATTGTCATGGTAAATGATATGAGGAATATTATGAGTCCTTTGTGACATCTGTTAAGCTAAATTCTTCTGAACACAAGTCAAATTAAGACAAAATATAAACCAAACTATCAGTCAGAAAACAATACACCAATATTATTCAATCATGAAAATAATAGTTAGTTGCAGCCCCGTTTAAGTATTTATTATATTTAAATATATAAGTGTTAGAGGACTATACAGACCACTGTCCTTGTAATGGCCCTGCACACCCCTGCAGGTCAACCAATCACTGTGACTAATTAGACCTCTAATTAGATCAATGCTAACGAGGATAAAGATGTAAGTTGTCCCAGCCTAGATGTTCAACAAGAAACTGGGGCAGATGTCAACCAAGCACATTCTGCACAGGTCTACACAGCCCTCTAATGCTTTAGAATATAACAAAGTACATTTAGTTATGTAAGTAGGTTACTATTATGAGGTACTTAGCCTTTTTCTTTTTACTACATTTATTAGACAGCTGTAAATTACTTTCAAGATTTAGATTTTACAACCAAAACATTAAATCAGCTTGTAAAATATGATGCGTTGTTATAGATTAAACAGTATATAGAAGTCTAAATGAGCTCTTCCTCAACCAACTACAACAGTAAAAGACTGCGTCCACATTACTGCATCACTCACCACAATCCAATAATATAATATATAATAATAATATAATGAAATAATGTTATTTAATGTTTTTACATTGTTTTATTGTTTCTTATAGTTAAAAAAAAAAGCTGAATACGTCTCCTAAAAAAGTCTATTCAGGCAGAATAAGTCAAAACACTGTATTGTGTATTAAGGGCGTGTGGGGACTTTAAGTGAAGTTACTCGATAGTAAACGCTACGGGGGCAGCAGAGGGCCAAAGCAAGTCGCAGCCTGATGACGCCATATTCAGGCTTCACTAGGGCTGAAGTGGTGGGTGAAAATGGCTGTATTTAAAAAAAAATAATAATAATTTTCAGTTTCTACTCAATTATAAAGTGTCAGAATAATCAGATTTAAACATGTGTGTGAAGCTTCAGGTCAGAGATGGAAGCTAACAGGAGATAAAGCTGCAGGACAACAACACTTCGCACTTTTTGGTCCCTCTTCGTCTCAAGCAGGAATATCTGCCGCGATGGCATCGGGTATGTGTTGTTTAAGATACACATACTGAAGGGTCTGATGTTGCACACTAGACGAGCTGGCTATCTTCTCCACTGAGCTGCATGCAGTTAAATCGTCTCCTTGTTTTTTTCTCCAGAGGATGAAATCAATCTGCTGGTCATCGTCGTGGATGTAAATCCGATTTGGTGGGGCCAGCAAGCTCAGCGAGAGCCAGAGGTAGTGCTCTTCCTCTGACTCATGAGTGGTTTTCAGACTGTGTGTTTTTTGTTTTTTAAATGTGGGGTTCATTTGTCCTCTTGTCTCTCTGTACAGTTCACCCTTTCAAAGTGTCTGGATGCAGTTATGGTGATGGGGAACGCCCACATGGCCATGACCAGGACAAACAAGCTGGCTGTCATCGCCAGCCACTGTCAAGACAGGTTTTATACAGTTTCCTGTGTTGAAAAGTATTCAAGTACTCTTATTGAAGTGCTATACTAATTAAATCATTTTAAAGTACTTCACTTACTTCTGTTCCACTACGGCTTGAAGAGGGACATTACCTTTATTTGACAGCTTTTAGGGCTAAAAGAAAAACAGTATCAAACTGTTAGCTGTCTATATTTTCTATATTTTAACCAAAAAAGGCAAAAATATGCTGCCAACACATTAATCCATCGATATATCACAAATAAATAAAGCTTTAATAAATCACTTTTTCATTAGAAGCCACCTTTTTTAATACTTTCAAGTAAATTTTGTTTCCAGGATTGAAGGGCCGACTGTCTTGGTGAATGTAATGTTTTGTTCCTGTCATTGCGTATATGCACATTTCTCCTCTTCCTTTTATTTCAGTCACTTCCTGTATCCCAGTAAGAGCTGGCGAGGCGGGGACAGCGGTGCTGAGGATGCATCCTCCAGCGGGGATGGAAAATATGAACTCCTGTCAATCGCTAATAACCTTATTGCTGAAGAGATCAGGAATGTTATGTCAAAAAGTGAGTACGAGGCTGTTTTATGTGGGTCAAATTAACATACAATATATACAGTGATTAATGTACTGCGTCATGTGTTTAATGATGTTGTTCGTTGTTGGTAACTAATTAATATTTACACTGTGTCTTATGTGTTTGCAGCTGAAGTGAGGGGAAATTCAACTGATACTTTGTTGGCTGGATCCCTTGCCAAAGCTCTCTGCTGTATCCTTTCAATAAAAACAGTTTACAGTTTTCAGCATTTACGACATGTACTGGACCTTTTTATTAAGAACAGGAAAGTGACTAATATAAGAATAAATTCACATTAATGAATGACTGTTACAAGTTACAAGAAGCTGAAGACATAAAGAAGGGCAAGGACATTTTATCTATAGCCTGCAATGTTTTGGGTGTCTGGATGTTTTGTTTTGTTACGACTGTGATAGACATTATTGTTTTTTATTTTATTCTATAAAATCAAATATATGTACTGTAATTGTGGAAGTTTCTAGTTTCTATATGTGCTCATACTGTTGGAAGTGATGTTTTTATGTTAGGACTTTCTATTGCTTAGATAATTTCAAGTTTAAAGGAACGTCTGCAGATTGTTTTTCATTTTCTTTCTGTACACTGCAGCGAGTGTGGCAGAGACTGAGCTGAGGTGTTTTCCAAATGTTCCTTAATCCTTTAATATTCAGATATTAACAGAGTCTCTAAAGACAATGAAGGTAACTAAAATGTTTTTATTGTTAAACTTAATAATGCTCTTCAATGGGTACAGTTTTCAACTCTATTAACGTTGCCTTTTCTTTTTTTAGTTGGACGGGATACAAAATCAAGACTATTGGTAAGCCCTAAATGGTCTAATTTCATGAGTGCTTTTGTTGTATTTTCTTACCACTTCGAACAGAACCTCTGTATTTTACCGGATAGGTGATAAAAGCAGCCGAGGACTGCGCCCTCCAGTACATGAACTTCATGAATGTCATTTTTGCTGCCCAGAAGCAGGTAAAATCATTAATCTCTCTTCTGTTTTTTTTTTTGTTCTGTTTTTCTTCTTGTAACTTTTATTATGAAAAAATAAACATTTGTTTTGTATTTTAAAACAGAACATCCTGATAGATGCCTGTGTGTTGGACTCAGACTCAGGTCTCCTTCAGCAGGTACATTTTTCCAGCTTTGTTAGGACATTAACAGGATTACAGTCTGTATCATGATAGCAAATACCATCCAACAGTTGAACCAAACTACTCGTGCATTGATATTAAATAGCTTGTAGAACAATTTAAAGAAGGCATACGTTCCTGGCAAGCTGCTCTCACACTCACATATTGATTTTTTTCAGCATAAGGTATGCCAGGGATGGTGTAGTGATACTTTGACTGTATTTTTCTGTCCTAACCTGTGTATATATCCAGTGTTTTTACCTTCAGATGTTTGTTTTGTAGGCTTGCGATATAACTGGAGGATTGTACCTCAAGATACCACAGAAACTTGCTCTGGCACAGTACCTTTTGGTAAGAGTGCAGTCCACGTTTCTGAGAGCATCATTTATCTTCCTGTAGAAAGGGCTGCTTTGTGATAATGATGGTGTTTTCTGAACAGTGGGTGTTCCTGCCTGACTCTGAGCAGCGTTCACAGTTGGTGCTGCCACCGCCTGCACACGTGGACTACAGAGCGGCGTGTTTCTGCCACCGTAACCTCATCGAGGTCGGTTATGTGTGCTCGGTTTGTCTGTCAAGTAAGTTTGATTCCCAGTTAAGAGAATAACTTTAATAGTTGTATATTGGAAAAAGCTGCAGTTACAGTATGTTTTTGTGACGCTTTCTCTTCGTCTTCCCTTTCAAGTATTCTGCAACTTCAGTCCCATCTGTACAACTTGCGAGTAAGTCTTAATAAATAATTAAATTCTACATTTTACACTGAACTGAAACTATACAATCTGACTTCGTCTGCACTTTGTTGGCTTTCATATGATCTACAATAATTTTGTTTTTTAGGACTGCCTTCAAAATCCAACTACCACAGATGGTCAAGCCCAAAAAGAAGAAACTCAAGCAATCTACGTGATTTTTGCTGGGGATACACAAATGTAGTGAATTTAGTTTCCTTTTTGATATTCAAATTACACCATTTTGTTTGTTGGTGATCTGTAACAAGCTTCAGTGACATCCTGGAAATGCCTTTGTGGGAAGCAGAGACATATGAACATGTTGACTTCACTAACATTGACTGTCTTTACATGCGCACGTAAGCTGATGCTTTACCCAACTGTTGTCAGAATAGTACTTAATAATTCCAGGTTAATTTAGTTAATGATGCTAAACACAGATAATCCACTCAGGCTATGTATAAATGACTTATTGCTTTTGATAAAATGTAAGATGGAGAATTTTTGGGATGTAAAGTTTTTTTATAATAAATGTTTGTCACACAGCTTTTTGCCATTCTCATTTTAATGTGGTCTCAAATAGCTGTTCAGATTCTTCAAGCTGAATCAGCGATTATGAAGGTGGAAATAATTTACTTGAGTACAATGAATTGTGTTCAGCTTCCAAACAGGTGAAGATGTATTAAACTTCAAGAAAATATTTCAAGTTCACGCAAAACAGAAAATCTTAAATTAAAAGTGGAACAAACATTTTGGTCATGATTCATCATTACTGAAAATAAGCATTTATTGATGGTAGTAGCAAAATAATTATTTTCCAAAGTCTCTTGTTGTTGCTTTTTAGTGTCACTTCAGATCACTGCAATATAGTTCAACAGCTACTCCACATTTCTGTCATTTATATTCTCTCAACTCTTAATGTATAGTATAAGGTAGCAATGTTTACATCCTGTATGAAGGAAAGTTCAGTTTCTGATTAAGATATTGAAAAAACAAACAGATGGAAATGTCTGCAGTATTTACAAATTCAGTTTGAAGTGGTCCAGGGGCAACATGTAGAGGAAGGGGTTTCATGTCATGGCAATCACCGACAGATTGGAACAATGTTACATCTGAAAAAGAAAACAAGGACAAGATAATGAACGATATGAACCACGTTATACCTGCTAATCCCAGCAGGCAGCTATTTCATGCATTTTAAAAGTGGATGTCAACAGAACAAAGCTGCCTTTCACAGCTTTCTTTGCTTCTAAATATTAGCTACTGTACTAGAATCAAATAACTCTCAATCCGAATCCGTGACTCTGATTGTGTCTGTAGCATTTACCCGAGCAGACCTCTGCCTGACCATCGCTGTGGAGTCAGGCTCATTTGAGCTTTCTGGCCATCCCGGACGACTGTGACACGTAATGGTTTCTGTAACAGAATATTACACTTCAGATATTACGTGTGTTCAGCAAAATGTAACCTACTGTAGGACAGTAAGAAATGACTTGAAGACTTTATTCTAATTGTAACAAAAGATATGGAAAAATCTACTTCTGATAAATGTGATAAAAAGGTCAAAAAAGGTTCATTTAGACATCGAACTGCATCACAAAACTTTCCACAGCACAATTAAGGTGCCAAATGACAACAATAACATTTGTTTTAGCTGTATATTGTGTCAGTATCTTACCCCTTCACTGTGTTGTACCACAGAAGCAATATTCTGGAGGTTCTGAAAGTTCTCCGTGTTCACAGAACCAAACTCAATGACTTCATCACCAACTCTGAGCCCCTTTGGAAAGAAACAATTATTGTAATCACAGCAACAAAAACAGCTATTTTTGTTCCGTATAAACTCCAAAGAACAGTGATGGTTTATCCAAAACAGCTGTCAAAACACAAAAGTGTAGTTCACATCACTCACAGCTCCACAGGCCGGTGAGCCCTGTGTCACAGCATCCACCCGTGCAAATGGCGGCGGAAGAGTGACCTGCTGCTCCATCGCCTCGCCCATGGCTTCTGTCTCATCCTGTTCCCGCTTGGCTTTCTCACGAGCATGCAGCTTGTGCAGGGCTTCTTCTATCTCCACCATGATGGCCTTGTGGTCGTTCTGCAGGCCTGAAAGACACGATCAAAGCATTAGCTTAGAAAAGAGATTATTTATTTTTCACACATTTAACTAGATTAAATGAATAATCAAGAAAATAATGATCTTAGATTGTAAATGTAAATAATCTGATATATTAACATATAAGTATCAGTTAGTATCATCTTTATTATCGGTCCAAGCTTGATGAACTGCCTTTATGTCATTTACCTCTCTGACAGAATGTACTGACACACGTTTTACATTTAGAAACATAAATTATCTGGAAAACCTGAACTTGTTTCATGTTGGCTCACAAACAAGTTAACCAACCTAAATGTCGTCAACAACAACAACAACAACAACAAACACGCTGCTGCTCACATGAAATATTGTGTCTTGCTGTCCTGATCTGGTAAACATTAACATCAGCTCTGGGGTAACCCTCATCGTCCACCAAGGGGCCTTGCACTCCGACACCTTGCTGTAAACATAAAGACACACAGAGACATGTTTCTGTTATCTAACGTGAGCCACATCCACTGGGAGCTGAAGCCTGCGGCCTCGTGTTGACTCAGCGGAGCCTGAATGACCGACTGACAGTAAAACTCACGTCTTCCAAAACATCGTAATAAGCTTTTATCTGCTCTTCAAGCTCGTCTTTCTTTTTAACAAGGTTTTTAACATCCTCCATTGTTATTTCAGACTTTCCAGAACTGTTTTCCCCCGTCATCTTCATCGCTGCTCAACTGACTGCGTACATCCGGTTCCGGTATTTATTTATTTATTTTATTTTTATTTATTTATTTATTTTATTGATCAAATTTTAAAAAAACATTGCATTACATTGTAAAAGTCACAATATAATACAATAAAATATAATTTTGACCCACCAGCATTAACAATATAAACAAATACATATAACAAAAACAAATAATAAATATAAATATAATAAATAATAATACATATAAATATAATAAATAACAATACATATACATTTTTAAAAATAATAATAATAAAACACAGACAACATTAAATGTACGAGGGAGTTGTAATATTAAATATACAGTATATAACTTATCTATCGTATCTATTTTTCTATTTATTCGAGGTGTCCTAATATCTTTCTTGTTTGATAATAATTAAGAAACAAAGAGTCAAAGAGATTTTGTAATTCAATATAAAACAGGTAAATATTGGGTGTGGTTTGCATTGTACTTCCGGTAGTGTAAATTCATCTGACTCAACGTATGAAAACATTTTATATATATATTTATACTTATATATATGACTGCACCTGATTGGTCGATAATAAAATAAGCAGTTGCAATGTTGTAGCCACAATCCTTCTTTCATTCATTTATTTTAATTTGTTTATTAAATAGATACTAAATGTTGCTGTAAATGAGCCAAGAGGCTATTTTTTTATTTGTAGTCTGTCGACAGATGTTACAATGTCACCATCAAAACAGATGAAAATTAAATAATTAAAAGTTATCACTTATAAACATGCAGAACAATAATAAAGAGAATAATGTTAAGTGAGTACTGTTTAAAACATACAACAAAAAAACATGTAATAGTATATTCACTAAGCAGTTGAAAAACACGTTCAAGATAAAGTTTTTTCCTTTAATATCGGAAGAGAAGAAATCTGTGGTTGGTCCCAAAAAACCCTTCATTAAAGATTTATTTTCCACAATCCATCAATCAACATTAAACATAAAAAATGTCTACCACACCTCTATTTCACTTCTCACAGCAAAGCACTCCTGTCAAATGTTCAAATCCTCAAACAGACATTTACACTCCATTGTACTTCATTGTTCAAGAACACATCAAAATCAATTAAACACAGGATATAACCATTTACATACCTAGTATTTTAATATTCAACTGCAGAACAAATGTTCTACAAAGAAAAACACAAAAACACACAATATTAAATCACGTAAGTCAACTTTAATATAATATTAGATACAATCAATGATCATAACATACACTGCTTTAATTACTTCTGAATCTTTTCAACAGCTGTAAACAATGTGTACCTCCTGCACACCAACGCAAGATGGTAAAATGTGTTATAAATTGTTTTGCACCAGGTTTCACAGACATTGAAGGCAGCAGCATGTTGAGAACAATGTTACACAACTCTGAAAAACATGGCTGGACTAAATACACCCCGCACTGACTTGTAGTGGTCTTCAACGGCCATATAACATTTTCTCCTGTAGCATAATTTGTAATTTCACAGTGGTCTATATATATTTAGGCACATTGGTATACAATGAGAAAAAAAGTGAATATTAAATAAGCACTCTTACAGTATTAGGTGTACCCTGAGTGCTTCAAATAATAATCTGGATCACATCTGTTACTATAAATGTATTGTTAATGGCCTTCATCCTGAAACAGGATACAAGTGCAAATAATTGATTAACAAAGTCATTAAATAAATCCTGTGTGCTCTGTGATACTAGTACTAATAGTTTTCCTTCATGTTCACCTTGTTAACAAATCCCAGCTTTCTGTTGTTGGAATATAAATCTGTGTTTGTTTTGCAGTCTACATAAATTAGTGCTGATGATTAAAACGACTGAAGTACCAGATTGTTATTTATATAGCTAACAGTCTGTATCTTTTGGACCTGCATTAAGATCCTTGAGCTCCAGCAGCGACTGGTCTTTGTCGTCCCCTTGCATTGACGCATCATCAGACGAGGATGAAAAACCCGGTGAGAGCTCAGCCTGAGCCGTGAGCTCCTTCTGCACTAGAGCCAACTGGGCTGATGCCTCATCCAGCTGTGAGTGAACAGCTTGGACCCACTTTTGTAGCTGCACGTTGAGAGCATCCATGCCTTGGTCCAGCTTCTCCTGTCTGCCTTGTAGCTCGTCTAACAGGTGCTGTGTGTCACTGGCAACCTCCTTCCTCTTGCTTCCTTCAGAGGGAGCACGCTGACGCAGCATGTAGCCCTCAAACTCCTCTGGACTGAGGCTGAGTGCTGGTCCATCCAGTTTCTCAATGAAGGCCACCGCACAAGACTAAAATAGGGGACAAGGGCAGAGGCAAGAGTGATCAATCGACCTCATTAAACAGCATCCTGTAATGTACGCTGGATGTGTAACTTAAAACTTACCAAATTTGTGAAATAATAGCCGCTCTCTCCTGCCATCAGACTGTGAGGGAGACCAAAACGAATCACGTATTGCATGTTGGAGTGTAGACGAGGTGGATTGGCCTTCAGCACCACATAAATCAGGCCTGACAGGAAGTCATCGGCATTAGCGGGCTCAGTGTTGGAGGTGGAGAGGGCTTCAAAGACATGCTGACTGCATTTGGACACACATGCCAGTTTGTCTTGAGGCGCTCGTTTAGCGTCCATCTCAATTATGGCTGTTAAGAAAAACAAAATGTCAAAGACTAGCATTTCAGAAATGATGTTTACAGCACATGGGGAAATATACCACTTTCTTTCATGAGCTTAAATGAGTAGTTTTGGGAAATACACTTATTTGCTTTCTGGCGGAGAGTTAGATAAGAAGACCAATACCACTTTTACATCTGTCCATTAAATAAACGGCTACAGCTAGCAGCCCAATAGCTTATAACAGCATAAAAAGGCATGAAACAACAGCTCTGTCCAAAGCAAACACATTCTGCCTTTGCATTTGTTAAATCAATACAAAAAACTAAAACCATGTAAAAATGTCTTATATCTTCCAGTGAGATGAGTTATATTGATTGATATTGATTTCTCCTCCAGAAAGTGCATAAACAACATGTTAAACTATTCTTTTCCGTATTAAAGCTGTGAATCACCTGTTATAGCAGGCAGAAAGGGGTCGCTGGTGACTGTAGTCTTTTTATCGGGGAAAGGTACACTCAGCATCTGTGGAGTAACCCAGTTTAAGGAGCTGCAACGTAAAGACATCGGTGTCAAACAGGGCTTTAGGTTAGATGTTTGGATCAAACACAGCACAGGTGACTTACCGTATCCTCCTCTGTAGAGCCAGGTCCTTCTGTTCATCGTCACAGCTGTCGTGGCAGAAAACCCATTTGTGCAGCCGTGTCATTATCAACTTCTCCACATGCTCCATTATCTGAGTGACCTGAGCCTCGGTAAAACCTGAAGATAAAAACTCAAAAGTCAATTAATGTCGACACTTTTTCAGAATAAACAGCCCAAGAAGTGTTGAAGTGATCTGTACTCACTGCTAAAATATTCAGCAAAAGACTGGTAGAAATCCTGCACGAGATCTGACTGCTTCTGTACCGGCAGATCCTGAACGGACAATGTGTGATCAGAACAGCTCTGGTATACAAAAGAGAGCTTATAAGAAGCGCCATGTTAAACTTTTCAAACAGATAATTACATGGTAAGCCTCCACTGTGTTGAGGAAAGCTGTACATCGGGACTGCAGGCGCTGGGAGGAAGGGCTTCGAAGTATCTTTAGGAAACCAGTGAAGTCCCCAGGCTCGAGGGTCTGGTAGGCTTTTAACACATTTGTAAAGCTTTCAGACTCTAGAGAGACAGAAAGTAGGGGTTATTCAAGATTAATAAATTAAGTGTTTAAATCAGTGCATGAAACAGTGAATGAAAAGAACACACAGGTGTCGAGGGGGCAAAGATGACCACAGATATTCAGGTTAAATCGCTGGTAGCAGGTTGGTTGTGAACCAGTAGTGATAAGACGACCACACTACCCATTCATATGCATATGGAGGTCTACCTGTATAATATCTAATGAAGGAAAACACCTGGTATTGGCCAGATTTTGTTGTCTGATGATTTTAGATTCATGATGTTTCCTGTCTAAGGCCATACGGAGGAGGATTTCTAAATGAGCTGGTTTACTGGAAATTGGAAAGTTTTATGTGAAACAATCTACTATTGATACATAGTCAATGACCAAAAAGGTCAGCAAGTAAAAGTTTCTGCTTTTATCTTAACAGACTTTGTCGGATCAAGAGACATCATAATAATAATAATAATAATAATAATAATAAGCAGTGTGAAGTTTAAGCCATCAACTGGTTGCAGTTTTTTATTCTGTTTTTGTTTTTCTGTCAAGCTCTCTTAGTTGTGTTCATCATTTTAAGGCTTTTGTTGCATCTGTTCAACAACAATAGCTGTTGTCTGAACCAAATGTGGGTTTTGGTGGGTGAATTTTCACCCTACGGCAACACAACCAAACACTCTGCAGATACTTTTATTACATGAACTGAACTGATAACTGAACTACCTTGACGTTTTGGAGGCGATGGGCTACCCCAGAAGAGCCTCCGCATGGTGTTAATTCGACGACTTTTCTCAGTGCTTTTCTTCTCCTCAAATTTGGAGAAGGTGACAGGAGTTCCATCATTGCTTGGCCTACAAAGTAATGACAACATTAAACAAATCTCAACCAAGTTTAAACCAAAAAACACTTTTGTTTTATGCCAATATTTAGAAGATAGTTATAGTAATAAAGCATATATTATCAGTACAAATATGAACTTCCTAAATCAATGCATGTCTTCCGACGTCTATTCAGGTAATCACGATGAAGTTTCCATCATGTGTTGCTTTTAAGATGCTGACAAGAACGTATCTACACAGAGACACCACCGTGTTCACATCATACACAGATCTAATTGCTCCTTTGAGTCTGAATGATCGTTAGCGGCAGTGGGTTTACCTTGCGTCTTGCCTTGTGGCTCCGGCCGTACGGGCTCTCTCTCTCCAGCACTTGGAGCAGAAGCCTTGCCACACAGGGTTTCCATAATATCCACAGGCGTTCTTGCAGAGCAGCTCCTCCTGAGAGACTCTGATTCCTCTTTGCTTGTCTGTCCACATTGTAGAGCTCTCTCGTATACTACTCCCACCTGTTGGACATAATAATAATAATAATAATAATAATAATAATAATACTTCAATCAGAAAGAGTTTTCAATACTCTGTGGGTCTGATGTTTAAATGACACTCAGTTTGTCCGAAGTTTTGTGACTGCAAGGGTCTAAATCTCAGAGGTTTAGTGTTCACTATAGCCCGGTTATGTTACACTTGGCCCTGTTTATGTATCGTGCAGACAGTGCTGCCATTAAGGGGACGAAAACAGTGATTTTGGTTAAACAGGTTTGAATTGAGATACTGTGAGATTGTACTTCTATGAAAACTACAGATACTTTCATTAACAAGACTCAAAAACACTTTGCAAACAAACATTGTATTGTGAGTATTAATAATTTACAAAAAAAGTTACTATGTAAATAACCAACTTACTTTGTTATCCGGTAAATTAAAAAGTACATTTTGCTCTCAGAACAAAAGGAAATGTTGTCAAAACACTACTACAAAACTACTTTATAATGCAAAGGTTCATTATAAGTGACTTTCTTATACACATATATATCTCTTTCATGTGATTGGCTAGGAACTACTTTACGCTATTTGGAAACAGTCAGTTCACAGCAGCTGGACTGACTGTGGAGCAGATTGAATCCTCTTTGGACTGGTTGCACAGCAGACATGGGAACTCACAGGTGTATTAATCAATGACAGCTGCATACCAATTAGAGGAAGTCCTGCTCATTGTGGAGGCCGCTTCACTGAAAGCCATCGTTACTCTTACTAGTCCGCATGTTTCTCCGGCTTAGACAAGTCAAAATGTCTTCAGAGCAACCAGTCCATTAAAAAGAGAAACAATCACAGTTCATGAGAGTTGATGGTTGGCTAATGGCGGCAGCTGACTGTCAGCTGAGGGGATTTGAGATAAGCTATCGTCGAGTGGCAACCATTTAACAAGTGTTAACCTATTAACCAATTAATTAAGTGTTTAAACTAACTCAACTTCAACCAAAAACAAGCAGAGTATCCATTAAGATGAGGTCCCAATTATTTAAAAACGCCTCCTCACCTGTCAGCTGGTGAAATCATAACTAGCCGCTTCCTTATCGGATCGTTGTTGTTTTTTCCCACCTTCCGGTGTCTTAAACGTCACAAAGTCATCGTAACTCGTACGACGACAATCCTTCAGATGTTGGAAAAATGTTCTGACCAAAGTAGGACACAGAGGAAGCGAAAAGAGAGGCACTAAATAAAGTTTAAAAAAAAGAAAAGTTGGCAGCACGACACGCAGCCAGAAAATCAGCTGCTTTCAAACCTGTGCAACCGGAAAATAGCCTCGTGGAAACTACTGTAAAGTTGGAAGAAGTGACACGATATCGACCCTTTCAAAGCAAAAGTATCACGGAAATAAATTTTAAAAAACCCAACTCCCCCCACTACAACACATCTTCTACCTAATGTTACATTTTATTTCCAATGTGTCTAATGGAATAGCATTATGCTATTAAGTCTGCCTTTGATGCCCTTTGGTTTGATGGTTGTCATGGTCATGAATGTACGTTGCCCTCTAGCGGCCACAGTGCGCAACCGTTATAAAAGTTTTATTTTGAATTTTAACCGGAAGTATTCTTTATAATATTGTATCTAACTTGATGTTAGTGGCGCGCCGTTGTACTTACTCGGTGTGACCACAAGAGGGCAGGAGCGCTCATTAAGAGCAGTTTAGTTTAACGGAGTTTAATCAAGAGTCAAGTCTTCAAAACAATAATTATAATTGATTAAAATGGTTGAGAATAATTAATATTCACGGGGAAGAACTGCAACACATTCAATTAACGTTAATTAATTAATTACTCACGTCACTGAAGACACTTGTAAGACATCCGGTTGAATACTTTCAAAATACAGTGACACAAACTGGAGCAATTATGAACTTAATAGAAATTATAACGATCAAAACTAATTGTTGTCAAGTGTTCACAGTTTGAGAGACTACACTTTCTTCCGTGGGAAAATACAGAGAGTGATTGTGGTTTTAAAATATGTTCGGTATTCATTGTCGTTTTAGTAAGAAGTGTTTTTAAAATAGCTATTATAACTACTATAATTATTAAAGTGTCCTTTAATCTCCTGCTTATGGTTCTTTGTGTTCATCTGTCTGCATGTCATCTCCTGTTAAGACATCCTCAGCTAAAAGTAACCTCTCCACTGTCTCTGTCTTTCCTTTAAATCACAACATATGCCATTAATCGCTTGATATTTTCATATTATATTTAATTCGAGGCTTCAAAGTCTGTTTCTTCAGCTGAAAATATTCCCAGATTGTCTAAATGTACAAAGATAACTTAATCCTGACAGGAGTATCCAAGTTTTCAAACACTGTTCACATGTAACACTTGTTAAAAGGGATCAGAATTACGACACTTTACTTCCATCCAGTGGTCAAATTGAAGAACAGCAAATTATGCAGAATTTAATAGAAATAAAAGAAAATTTAACAATTAATGTACAATATAAAGATTCTTAAGGTGTGTTCAGACAGAAAGCAATGTGGATTTTCACATTATTCACTCCGCTCTTGGCCTTCGTCTTTTCTCTTCGCCCTTTTGCCACAGACTCCACAAGTGCCCTCTCTTTTCAGTTAATATAATAATGGGAAAACTAAAGCAGTAACAAAAAAATAGATACATTCCCAATAGGCTACTCCACTCCTTGCCATTTTCATTTGTTGTTAAAGGCTTTTTGTGGTCTAAAGTGAACTTTCCAGTGGAAGGAGTGGCTCAGCTGGGTGTGTTTGTCACTGGTGATGTAAGGTGGGAAAGCACAGCACAACTAAGTAGGTTTGTATAGTTGTGTTGGTGTAAACCAATCCATAATCCACAAAGAAAAAGTCTATTTATTAAATATTTTTTGGACTGGTCTAAACATCTGAAATCATGTCAAATTAGCAGTGCAATGAATAAAGGTGGGGTGCTGGGGGTAATTGGGCTCCTAACCTTAAAATCCTGGCTGCAGTACTGGTAGTGCTCGGTTAACTCTTCCGCATACACAGTAGTTTAGTTTAGATTGTATTTTACTTTAGTATATATTTATTATTATATGTTTCTAAATTAAAATTAACTAACTAACTAACAAACTAATTTCCACTTTGACAACCTGGGGGCATCTGAGCGACAGTGCATCATACTTTATGGGATATTTGCATGTTTTGCATGTATAATCTCTTTTTGGGAAAGTAACAGGTAACTTCACTCCACTGATTACAGCTATCATTAATCGTGCTTTTAATTTGAAATGCACCTCCAGAACGCTCTCTCAACGGTAACTAGGCAACAAGACGCTTCGCAGACGCTAACGTTAGACCAGCTAAAACTAAACAAAGAACATTTTATCTTAATTTAAGCGACAGAACAAGGGGAAAAAAGGCTTAATGAAGTTGTTAAACAGAGAAAATTAATCATCCAAGACGTGAAGTGTGTGTGTGTGTGTGTGTGTGTGTGTGTGTGTTAGACATCATGTCAGATACTGAAGGTAAGGAGGAGACTTCAGGAGAAGAAACAGAGGCTGAGTCACTGAAGATGACCGGACAGTCTCAGGTCTACACTGCAACCAGAGACACACTTTTCCCAAAGAAGATAACTCAAACTAGGACACACTCACTGGTAAATATGTCTAAATGTGTCCAACTGGGCGCTATTTGTATATTAACCCCTGCAGCTGCACCTCAAACACAACATACTGCTTTAGATAAAAGGGTTAATGAAATATCTGAAAACTGGATTAAAACAATACTGCAAATGTGCTCTTTATTCAGTCATTAGATTGGGTATTAGGGATGAATCCTTCACTTCCTACCTTCAGTCTGCAAGACCACGATCAGCTGGTGGTCCTCTATGCTGGAGCTCATGTTGGGATCATTTACAATCACACCTCCAACTCCCAGCACATACTTCAGGTAAACATCAGTTTAGCCACAGTCTATAATAAAGTGTATAATAATATGTTATATATTCAATGGTGTAAGTGATCTGTGTAGACAAGCTGCAGGTATATTTTAATAGTAGCAACATACAAGTAGCAGTGTTGATTTAAATACTGTGTATATTGAATCTTCTCAGGGTCACTGCAGTCCCATCTCATGTATGTGTGTGAGTGAAGACAGACGCTGGATTGCAACAGCAGACCTGGGCCCGAAAAGCACCTTGATAATATGGGACTCCTACTCTGGGTATCCCCCTGATTCTACGTGTATTAATGCATTTGTGTGTGTGTTTTTATATTAACCTTTGCTTTTGATGCTTAACCACATGTACGATTGATATTGCAGCATTCCTGTACACACGATGTTCGACTGCCACCCCGAGGGGGGTGTCACTGCGATGGCATTTTCAAGTGACACCAAACATCTGGCAACCCTTGGGGCTGAGGAAGCTCAAGTGAGTATGACAGCATGGCATTTTTATTTTTTATAAATGCAGGTTTTATTAGTAGCACCTGAATGAATAGAAAACAGACACAGGACTCCCAAACGAAGGTCAAGAGTGTGACACCACCAAACACTGTGACAAAAAGTCTCTTATAATGACATGATAGTGTAGGTCAGATATATATTCATACATTTAGGACCTTTGAACATTATGTCATGGTTTTATTTTATTATTTTTTTAGGATTAAGGGTCATTTTATGTGAAATAATTTAAAGAATGTATGTATTCTTATCAGATATAATATATATATATATATATATATATTAAAAACAGCTTATAGATTACTATTTCATTCTGGATTTGACAGTATGGAACAGTACAACACTCATCCATCTATTCACAATCTATTAATCATACGACAATCTTCTCACAGTGTGTGTGTATTTGGGATTGGACAAACGACATAGAAAAGCCTTTGTGCTGTACTCAGCTCAATCCTAAACATGGTTTTCAAGTAAGTAACCTTCGTCTTTTTCTGATATTTTACATCTAAATGTCACCTAACTTCATGAATATGGTATTCAGGAGATCTAAGGTTTCAAATGTTGGATTGATTTTCAGGATTACATCATTTTTAATCCAAATGATAGCACTCAGCTGCTCAGCAGCAGTGAAAGACAGGTGTTATTTTACACCAGGGTGAGTCCTGCTGTTCCCTTTTTATTGAAATACATAGATAGCTGTGATTTTATTTTATGTTTATTGCAATAATCAGCCGGTCTCTTTTTCAGGCCGCGGATAGTCTGCAATACATTTCCCCGAAGTTTAAGAAGGTAAAGATCATTGTTAAAAATAAGAGGTGGCATCGTGGTATCAGAGATGTTTCTTTCTTTTGTGACAATGAGTGTTTTTATTAATATTTTAAAGTGTTTCAACACATCACAGCAGTTCTCTGAATCAGCCACCAGTGGATTTGATTCTATGTTTACGCAGACTTCTCCTGACAACTCTGTCAAGGTGGCTGGCAGGTCATTCAGCCAGTCTGTGTTTCACTGGAGAAACCCTCAGGTCCTTACAGCAACTACAAAGGGAAGCATTGTGGTGTGGGATGTGATAGAAGACTTGGGTCCAGACCAAAGCCTCCCCAAAGACAGAATCAAGTTCATTCTTTTACAGGACAATCCGATCACTGCTCTCACTGTAACTGACAGGTAGCCAGAAATATTCATCATTATTGTTTTGTAAGACATGTATTTATTGATTTCTAATCTCTCTTATGTTTTTTGTGTCGTTTGTTATTACAGTAGTATCGTGATTGGTGACACTCAAGGCCATATCAAGTTTTATGATGAAAAATTCAGGCTTCTCATTTGCTACAGCGACTTCAACCTGGACGCTATTGTTTCCATTTCCTTTTCCAAAGAGTGCACTGAGGCATACATGGAGGTTTGCGCTGTGGGGGCAAAGCCATTACTAATCAGGTAGGAGAAATACTGTCTATCTTCAGTCTAAACTGTTATGTGGATTTCAAGCTGGCCTCTCTTTTTCTGCAGGAACTTTGTTGTGTCCACAGTCAGTTCCACAGTAGTACACGTGAATACACAGAAAGGCATCCCTCAAATCCTTCTGCAGGAGAATTGTGAGCCTCTACATGCAGTGGCCTGCCACCCCAAACAGCCAGCTCTAGTCATGGGCAATCAAAGGGGTATTTTAAAACTGTGGGACTATAACAACAAAGTGATGATCTGCAGCAGGGTCTTCACGACAGAGAAGCAGATTCAGTGTGTCACTTTTGACCCTCAAGGTGAGCCAAAACGCTTACTGACCTTCTTTGCAATCAAACAAATGTTGCGTATAAACCAGTGGCAACATGAATCTGCAAATTGCTGCCTTTTTTTGGTCCCTCAACAGGATTATACATGGCAGTTGGCTTCGGCAGTGGAGCTGTTCACATACTGAATCCCACCACTTTACAAAGTGATCCAGAGGAGTGTTTCCATTACGCTAAAGACAGCATCCATCACATTACTTTCTCTTCTGACTCAAAGTATCTTGCCACTGCGGTGAGTGATTATGAAGTGTAACGTGTCTGGGCGTGTTATTGGCAACAGTGGTTCTGGACTGGAATTTGTGATATATTGTTAAAGCTCTTCTTATAACTTTAAATATGTATGTGTTTATTCTTGTGTTTACTGTTAGGATGCTGGAAAAGCAGTGACGGTGTTCCGCCTGCAGACCAATGAAGACTCTTTGCCTCGCTGGATGTATGTAGGCAGATACCGCTCCCACTACAAGCCCATCAAAGACCTCCTTTTTGGGGTTCACCTGGACAGCACCCAACCCAGACTGCTCTCTCTGGGAATGGACCGCCGACTGGTTAGTCTGCCTTGTCAGAGTTGTAGAGCTGTCTAGCTGACTTGTTCTGTGTTTTTGTGACGCTGTTTTTATGCCAAATGTTTAGCGCACACACCTCCTTGTGAATAATAGGTGGAGTATGACCTGGAAAACAGTGATGTGAATAATCTTCTCATCTTGAGCTCGGAGCAAATTGAGCAAAGTGCTGTGCCAATGTGCATGACTTGGTATCCTCCCCTCACCGCGGAGCAATTTCTTCTCATCGCCTCAGACCGATACAAGATGAAGCTTTTCAACAGCACTACCAAGATGTGCAGGTCTGTGAAATACTGTAACAACATTGGACTGTTTGTTAAAATGATATATATATATATCTGACTCATGGCAAGTACTGGAAAACTGTATTATTATGTGTTTTATTAAAAACAGAAAGACGCTTCTTGGGCCAACATATGGCTCTCCCATCAAGAAAGTGGTGCTTCTTCCCATGTCTAAAGAGGTTGAGACAAATTCGTATTACCTGGCGTACATCACAGAGGACCAGGTCAGTGCTGGAATTCCTTTGTTGTATTTTATTAAGTAATCTGCTATTTTTTAAGTTATTTTATCAAATAACAAAAGAAAATCTAAAGTAAGTAATTTATTACTCTTAGAAATAAACCACAAGTGTTTGTCTTTTATTTTATAAAAAGCAAGACCAAGCTGTTGCTCTTGTCGGTGTTAATTATAAATCTTTGTTCATGTTTTTGTGTGTTAAGTGTCACAAACGTATTATGTGAATATGTTCTGTTTAATCCTGTTTTGTGAGATTGACCCCGGGGCCTTTCAACTGTATTTAAATGTAGTCGTGTTTGGAGCCCAGTTTTGGTAAGGCCCACCGATTACCATCATTGATATTGCCACAAACAGTGTAATGTATTTCCAGGTGGGTCTCCAGATTTTGCCTCTGGACGGGAACCCCTACAGATCCAATGCTTTGATCTGCCATCCGACAGGGGTGTCTGCTTTTGCCTGCTCCCACGATGGCCGATTTGTTTTCACTGCAGGAGGATCTGACTGCACTGTCCTGTCGTGGGAGATAAGCTTAAAGTAAGGTCCAATAGTAACCGGAGAACCAGAGGAAATGCATGAGCAGTGTTATCATGTTTTCCAGAGTTTAACCTCTTTCTTGTCGTCAATGAAGTGCGTTGGAGGCAGCAGCTACCTTGGGAGGAAAGGACCTGTTGCCCTTTTACACTCTTTTAAAGGGAGGCAGAGATGGCTTATTCTACAGGGTGAGTTAAACGCTTCCTTGCTCTCTATGACTGCAAAGTGTAAAGTAAACAGTCACGGGTTATTCCATTAGCTTGAAATGAGCATGTTACCTCATATTGTCATAGTGCCAAGCTTATTAAAGTTGTGCATGTTATTTTTTACTTAACTGAAAGAATTTGTTGTTGTTTTTTTGGTTAAAGTAATTTTATAGAAACATTTGTGTTGTGGTTTTACTTTGTTATGTTAGTATTTCAGTGTGCTGGTGGAACATGGTTTCTCTACACAGTGAGAGTTTTATTGAGCTTTTGGATTGGTATTAGTAGTTATTAGTGCCCTTCTGTAGTATCATTGAGTTGGTCAATTTTATATTGATTTCCCTTTTACATCAGTTTGTTTGATGGTGAAGATGACTGGTGGATGTTTTTGTGGCAGAATATAATATTCAACATACAAATGTTGTCTGTAATTGAACAGCGTTGCTTATTAGGGGTGTAAGAAAATATTTAAAATATTGTATCATGATATTTTGTTTTGTGATAATTGACTGATTTTTGTGTTTATATACTGTTTACTAACTATGAGCGCTATGATGTTGCAACTTCAAACTCAGATTGTATTCATATGTTGGTGTGTTCTTTATATTATAACAGTTTTCCTGAAATTAGATTTTTTTTAAATTGCAATCTATCACCTTGCTATCGCAGTATACATTGAAATATGTTGATATATTGAATCATGACCCCCGGTATCGTAATGTATATCGTATCGCCAGATCCTTGACAATACAACGCCCTATTACTTATATTCACATATATATTATATTTCTGGATTATACAAAGCCACAAGATTAAGTTTTTAATTGTAGTTTCTCCTCCAGCTAAGATTTTGGACGGTCATTTCTGATACCATTTAAACCGCAGATCACAGATTCTCAGTTTTCTACGCTTTTCTGTCTTTAGGAGATGGAGGATTTTTTCTATTACTGCCAAGTCCGCCATCAAGGGACTGACTCAATGGAGAAACGACAAACGTCTACCAAAATCCCCCTGTCAGAGGTTCCCTCTTTAATGAGAGCTTTGGCCTACTTCCCTACTGAGCAAGAGGTACAACGTTTGTAAATCAAGTGACATATTTCAGTTTTACAGCTCAGGCCTGTATTTACAAACTGCTTTGTTGTTATTTTTGTATTTACAGATAGAAGATATGCATAACGAGGTCAAGTTCAGCAAGTATGCAGAAACAGGACAATATGTGACCGACATCGACCTGGAGGAGTTTATCAAGCTGTACGTCAACCACCGACCAGCTTTCGGCATCTCTAGCGATGAGTTTGCTCAAGCTTTTCATGTCCTTGGTCACTGTGATAGTACAGAACAGCCTATTCTGAAAAGACACGAGCTACTAGAACTTCTACAGGCTCGAGGTACGCTGCAGAAATGGATTAGTGTGTTTGTTTTTAGCTGTATTGCTGTCAAAGTCTTGATTCTCCGTTCCAGTGTCCACACACAATGTTTATGTTTCATTGTCAATATGGCACAAAATCACAAATTGATATTATCTGTGACAGGAGAACACATGACGGAGGAAGAGGTGACAGAGTGTTTCACAACACTTTTAGGTCTCAAAGAAGAGGAAGAAGAAGGAGTAGGGGGAGGTTCTGAGCAAGACAAATCTGACAGTATGTAAAAGAAACTCTCACTCACAAACCATAATCTGAGAATTAACATAACAGCTGATAAACAACCTCACTTTTTGATATGTGTGTCCAGGTGGAGACTCAGAATATTCACTGGAGTGCGTGATCCCAGATGAGATTTCTGTGGAGACGTTTACAAGTCGCATCCTGGGCTTCCCACCATTCTCGGCAGAGCAGCGTGGAAGGTCTTCCCCTCCAGAGTGATAAAGGCAATGAGCCTCAGACTCTTCTCCTCATTTTCTTTCCATAACTAGCCTAACAGAGATGCTGGATTTTTTTATGTATTTGAATTCAAAATATGATCGAAAACCTTAAGTTAGATCCTCATGTCCAGCTTTGTCAAATACTATATGAAATTAAATACATACAACATATAAAATGTATTTTTTTTTGGGCCTTTTTATTGCCTTTATTTTGATAGGACAGCTGAAGATAGACAGGAAAGGGGGGCAGAGAGGGGATGACACGCAGCAAAGGGCCGCAGGTCAGATTCTAACCCTGGGCCGCTGCAGCAAGGACTCGGCCTCAGTACATGCGGTCGCCAGCTCTACTGACTGAGCAGACCGGGCACCCATAGAAAATGTATTTGATGAGTGTCCCAGTAGCTCACTGGGTAGAGTAAGTACCACATATCAAGGCTGAGGTTCCTCATGGTTTGAATCCAATTGTTACTATAAAAATAAACAAAATCCCCCCCCAAAAATAAAATAAAATGTGTTTTGTAGGGAAAATGTAAAAGTATCTGCAGCAACTAATGGTAGTTTGGATCCAAACTAACATATTAAAACAAGTCACACAATAACACAGACTCACGGATCAAGGTCAAGTTACTCCCCTATTCTGCAAGGAAAATTAAGTTTTTTGTCAAATAAAAATGCTTCAGCTTCCCGTCAGAAAGAGCGGTCTGCAGCAAGGTAAAGAGGTTTAAATATTCTAAATATAGCGTACACTCAGACTGATTTTGAGATTTTTAGGTGGGCGTTATTGTAGGTGGCTTAAATAGGTTTTGCTGCAGCCCCCACTGAAATAAGGAGAAGTACCTCGTACAACTCCGCTTCAACTATCCCTTTTAGAAATAGACTGGATTACACTTCTCCCAACATTGGTTTATACAACTTTATTACACCAGTTGCATCCAACATTTAAGGGAGAGAGAGAGAGAGAGAGAGAGAGAGAGAGAGAGAGAGAGAGAGAGAGAACTGTGCAGTGGGGATCTCTGCAAGCATTAATTTCTGTTTCTAAATGTAATTTCATGGATAAATTATATATATAATTACATAACTAAAAAAAGGCAGCAAATGCATCCATCAATCGTTATTACAGTCTCTTAAAGGCTGGATAATGTTAGCCACATACAGAAGTTGTCGTTTACTGTCACCGACCTGTCGCTTCTGGATTATTTTGAGTCCATTGGTGGGTGGGGCTCTGACTCCGACCAATCAGAAACGAGTTAGCACAGGAACTTCCTGCTTCGGAGAGACGAAGCCTGCAAGCTGTTTTCTTTTTGGTCAGCTGGTCCTCCCCCCAGACTCTTAGTTACGTCAACTATCTAATAAGACAACAAGTTAACTCGGGGCTTCTTCTTTTTTTTTTTTTTTTTTTTTAAATGAGTGAATTAAGGACTCGGACTTTACAGCACGAGGCTGACAAACTTTACCCAGCAGCCTCACGCGCGTTGTTAGCGAGCCTCATGTAAGGGAGGTTTATTGTCCTAGCTCGCTGGCTAACGTTAGCCATTTGTCTGGTTTGAGTTTTGCCGACATGGCTACTAGAGAGATGGCTTCACGGCAGAGATACCGTCGCCCACCGACGAACATAAAGCAGGAGCAGGAGGACGACTCGGACGCCGAGGAGACTCACCTGGGGCTGAGGAGATCGGACGGGCTGGAGTCTCAGATCATCCACAGCGGACACTTCATGGTGTCCTCGCCCCACAGCGAGCACCCACCGAAGAAAGGCTACGACTTCGACACTGTCAACAAACAGACCTGTCAGACGTATCATTTTGGGAAGGCGAGCATGTCCCACCTGTCCATAGACGCTTCCCTCACCAAGCTGTTTGAGTGCATGACCCTTGCCTACAGGTGAGTTGTGACTCACTGCCATGCATTCACCTGGGAGAGGGAGGGGGAAACATTAATGTTCGCTTTGTTTAGCTCTTCAGTGCTGTGTAGATCAGTAAAAATCCTCAGGCCTGAGATGCATTGGTGTGAAATTGCTGTCACGAGTCCCCCCCCCCCTTCATGTAACTTCCTGATTGTCCACCCATGAGTCTGTTGTAGTGCAGTGGTAACCCTTTTTCACTTAAATAAACTCTCCATTTAATGTGCTGCATTCAAAATTCAGCTTTGAAGCATATAAATGTTATCAGACAAATGTAAATAATCTGCAGACATAATGCCCCTGGGGACTAATACTGTATTATATGCTACATTGTCAGATTGTTATTAGTACCTCTGTGGACCTGAATGAAACCATCAGAAGAAGTTTACAGGGGAAATCTCAAGTGGGAATACTAAGAATACATGAAATCTGAAAAACTAAACCCTAAACCAAAAAGGCTGGAGACAACTGGTTTAAATAATTAAATCATTGTAACTAGTGCACAGTAAAAATCTCTGAAATATAGTTGATTAAAAGTATAAAATAGCATAAAATGCAGTAAAGACCAGTAATTTAGCAAGTGTACATGTCATTTTCCATCACTGGATTGTGGGGACATTAGGAGCGCTTTAACATGTCTTGCCAAAATTCCCACGGGCTGTACAAGTCCTAGATTGGATCAGAGTGGTTTGACACCATTCTTTCTTTCATGACAAAAGAAATACAAATTTTAGTTTTGACTGTGCTGAAAGGCAACACTGGCATGCACAACTTGTTTAGTCATTTAACCTCATGTTCTGCTGTGGATCAGGTGTCAGAGCAGATCAGAAAAGTGTGTGCATGTCGGGCGGGAAATATGGACATTTGCTAAATTAATGTAATGTATGAGACCGTTGGTGGTTTCCTGTGTGAATGAGATTTTAACATACTGGGTATCAGCTGGCGAAGGTGAGAACAGCTTTTATGGTGACGTCTCTCTCTCTGTCTCTATCGCTGTGTAAACCAAATATTTTGAGAATTTTAGAGTCCAAATTCTTTTTGGGAGGGAGAGATAGCAGCAGTTAGTCTACTACTGATACCAAATGTGCTCTTTAACATGGCCGCTCTGACTTTGGCTGCTCGACTATTATTATTTGTCTGGAAATTATTGTTTTAAATGTCATTTAGTCAATAAAATGTCACAAATACTGACAGAATGAGTCACCACAGCTCAAATCAGTGTCCTCAAATCATTTGTTTAGGTGTTTATTCTGTAATTGTGTGAAACTGAAAGATGTAAACAACAACATTCATTCAATATTGGGAATTTTTACTTAAGAATTTACTAAAATTATTAAATAAAAATCCACATTGAACTTGACAGAGAAATGTCAGCATTACACCCAACTTAAAATAACAATTATAGACTCTTCATAACGGCACCACCTAATATTACAAAGCTTTTGTTCTCCCATCCTCCAGACCAAAGCCTTAAATTAAAAGCTATAATTCATAATGCAGCCTTATGTATTTATAGGCTTTATAGACACTGTAAAAGTGTAGTTGGTGCAGATAAAAGTTGGGTTTGTGCAGTTGACGGCAACAAGAATAAAATGCTGGTCTCACGTTACCCATAGTTCTCTGTTTACAGCTGTAGTGTTACTGTAGCGTTCCTGCCAGCTGCTCAGAGGATTCCCCCCAACTTTCCAAATGGCACCAACTTGGATTCTTTTGGAAGACTATTAATAGACCAGGAAGGCCCCTACTAACTACGACCAGTTACTGTTCTGCTGTTGTCATCCGTCCGAAACGGAGAAGTGATGAGTATTTATGTGCAAGAGAAAATATTCACTCACAGCAAGAATATTGGCAGAAGATTTACCCTATAATCCTGCCTCTGTATTGTTCATTGCACCAAGCAGGACTATCTACCTATGTATTTAAACAGCTCCCAAGGACTCGTACAGTACTCAAACAGAAAGAAAGCACACAAATGACAGCAGGAAGAAATGGAAAAGACTTGACAGGAAGGACGGACTATAAATAATACAGCACGGGAAGAATGGAAAGAGGGAAACTGAGCTAGTGCTTTTAGATTGTGAGGATTTTCCTATCAAAACAGATTGATTTTTTTCTTCTTGATCTTCCATATTTCCCGTCAGTTAAAAGGAAATGTAAGCATTGTAGTAGTGCAGCAGTATTGATACACTCAGATGTAAATTTCATACCAGTGTTCTTCGTGGCAACTTGGTTGTTTATTATTGCTTGTTTGACAAAATTGTACAAAATTGTGAACAGACGTTTGCACATACTGAAGCCACAGCCGTACACACGAAGCGCACGTGTTGTTTCCTCTGGGTTTATTTGACTCCTTGTCTCCATATCACAGTTGTAATTATCATTCTAACTTCAGCTTGACCTTGGCACATTCCTGCTTGTTTTTTTCCTTGCTTTATTTCTTGAGGTGTTTTCAGTACAGTGCCAGTGTTGATCAAGGTGACCTGTACCTTCTTTTTGTCTTTTTAATTTATTTGTATGCTTGGACTCTCAGGGTAGAGTTTAGCTTTTTTCTGTGCCTGTGGCAAGAGACAAATCCCAATTAGTGTCATTTAGTGTGAAGCCTTGGCTTTAGGAGTCAAATGAAGGCCAGTCCCATAGCGAAACAGTCATCAGACATGTAACTCATGTCGCCAACTGGAGCTTTCTTAACAAATCCAAATTAAGGCATTGTGTTATTGCGAGGTAGTAGACTGAGTGTTTTTGAATTTGTTTTGACTGACACAACTAACACAAAGGAGAGCATTATTGTTGAGATATTGGTGATGTATTTGAACAAGTTAACACACATTTCACTGTTCATTTTCTTGTCTTTTCAGTGGTAAGTTGGTGTCTCCCAAATGGAAGAACTTCAAAGGTCTAAAACTACTTTGGAGAGACAAGATCCGCCTCAACAACGCCATATGGAGAGCCTGGTATATGCAGTGTAAGTTTCATGCGGTATCCATAGACTGTATTGATAAGTTTGCAATGACTTAAAAGGTCCAGTGTGTAACAATAAGGAGGATCTATTGGCAGAAGTTGGATATAATATCTATAGGTACGTTTGCATAAGTGTATAATCACCTGAATATAGAAATTATTGTGTCTTTGTTACCTTAGAATGAGACACTTTTATCTACAGATGCCTCGGGTTGCCTTTCATGGCACCGGCATGTTGAATCACCATGTTTCTACAGTAGCCCAGAAAGAACCAAACACTAGTTTTACATTAAGGAGTCTGTGTTTTTTGCACGATCTGTGGTCACCTTAGTTTCTCCTTGGCACTTGGAGGGGGATGGTGAAGCAAGGGAGTTGCAGTTGGCAATTATACTGCTAGATGCCACTGAATCCTAACCACTGGACCTTCAGTTTCTTTAATCAAGCTGCAGTGAGGACATCCGGCTCAGATACACAAATCTGTTGTCAGAAATGGTAGAGGGAGTCCTTCATAAATCAGAGGCTTCAAATTGATAAATCTACATTTCTGCACATATTACCCACTTCAGAATCCAGGGTGTCACCAGACTTTATGTTTCCTCCCAGTTCACACAAACACATGACAGTACTTGCAACATTATCTGTGTAATCATTAGCTATTATTGTATGGAACTGAGTTCTTTTTTTTTTCAAGATAAATATTGTCACAGTCTTTTGCAACTTCCTGTAGTATATTTTGTTTACATACCATGAACAGTTTTATGACAGTGACTAACAGCAGCTCTCATTCATGTCTCATAACTGTGACTGTTCACCTGAAGCTGTTGGCTATAGTCAGTAAACTATAGCCAACAAGATGTCAGTAAAAAACTATAAATGGAAAAGCCAGATGTTAGACATAGACATAGGATGCTTTCCTTTAAAATATAGAGTTTGTGTGTAATAATCTAGATTATTTAGCATTGTGTAAAGCATGTTTTGTGAAATTATTAGTATTCTTTTGTGATGCTTTCTGGGTGTCTCGGATGGTGATGAAGAAACATTTGTGATATTTATACCTTTTAAAGCCATGGGTGCTATATCGTAATAATTTATTTTGCAAATGTAATTTACCAGTATAAAAAGATGCTCTGTGTATTACAGCTGAGGGGGATTTTGACGTTTGTTTTTTTTACCCCTAGATGTGGAGAGAAGGGAGAATCCTGTTTGTCACTTTGTGACTCCCCTGGATGGAAATATGGACTTGGACATTCATCGCCCTGCTGAGGTTAAGATCCTCCTGTGGATCATTTTATGTTCAGTCTATTAAAAACATGCTTGTTATTTAGTTTTATGTTTCCTTTCTCACTTCCTTTTTTTGTGCTGTGTGTTTGTTGTAGAGTTAATTTTCCATCTCCCTCTTTCTTCTGCAGGCTACTGCCACAGAGGGGAAATGCTGGAAAAGAAGAATTGAAATTGTCATAAGAGAATACCACAAGTGGAGAACATACTTTAAGAAAAGGGTATTATACTTTATTATTCAGCTTTTTATAAATAATGTTTCAGTTTTGTCAGGGGGGTACTGGACATTTTGTAGGTGTATCCTGTTTGTTTGATTGGTCATAAAACATTTACATAACGTGGCACTCACTACTTCTTTTTGTAGTTACAGAAGCACAAAGATGAGGACCTCTCGAGCTTGCTTAAGGTATGCAGAACTGCATCATGCAATGCTCAACTCATCAAAATGCTGTTCAACAGATGTCTCTCTCTGTGTGTGTGTGTGTGTGTGTGTGAGTGTGTGTGTGTGTGTGTGTGTATTTATTTATTTTTTAATTTATATATAATATAGATATATATAATATATTATATATATATATATATATATATATATATATATATAATATATTTTAAAAAGTGCATGAAGTGTGGGGAGAAACTGTTAGTTTAGTGCCATCACATGTTGGCTGTACTCAACACTGCATGCTTGTGTGTCATTAACTGGCTTGGTGGTTGCATTTTCAATATTCGAAGGGGCCAGAGGAGCAGTTCTCGCTGTTTGGGGAAGTCTCTCCAGACATGCTCCGTGTCTCCTTTTATCAGGATGAAGAGACCGCAGCGCGTCGTGTGCCTCGTAAGCATAATGAAATGCCTGCCCCTATGGAGATGGACCCCCTCTTTGACATGGATGTTCTGATGTCTGAGTTCTCAGACACATTGTTTTCTACGTTGGCCTCGCACCAGCCCATAGCCTGGCCCAATCCAAGAGAGATTGGTGAGAAAATCATCAGCTGTCTATTTTGTGAAATCAATAGAGACATCCTAATTAGATTTTTATTAGATTGTTTTCTCTACATTTGAGTCTGTTAACGAAGCTCTCTAAATTATGTAACATCTGAATGTGAACGTTGCTTGTGGCTGGATCTCAATATGTATCTGTCAAAATACTGGATGTCTTCCCCCTTGCTCTCCCTACCTCTGCCTTCCACAGCTCATGCAGGGAACGCAGACATGATCCAACCAGGACTCATCCCCTTACAACCCAACCTAGACTTCATGGACTCCTTTGATCCACTCCAAGGTAGCACTAAGGCACAGTAGTGACTGTACACACACTAATTATGCACACTTTAGAGTAATCATGCGCACATGTTCTAGTAACTCTGCTACAGCAGTTTGCTTAGCCTAACACAAAAAGTAGTGTGGTTTTTACTAACCTCTAGCTAACATAGAGACTCTTGTTCCAGACTTATTTCACAGCCTCCGTCCGTCCATCTTCCCCTCTGTTTCTCCCACTGCATCATCTGTCACCCCTCTACCCAGCAGCAGCTCTCAGTCACAGGTAAACACCGACCCAAGGCACAGTCCCTAACACACACCACCATGATGAGAGTTTGTGCAAGGGCTGTGTTATTTTTCCTAGATTCGAGAGTTTTCAGTCAAAGGATTTCCACCACACCTTCTATCACATTTCTGTCTTAATATGGTTACACAAAAAACTATGTAACATAATAATATTACTAAACTATATTTGCATAGCACTATTCATACATGACTTGTGGCTCAAACTGCTTAACATTAAATGTATATTCTCATGAGAATCAAACTCAAAATATGGCTGAATTCTTTGCTTGTCTTTCATGCTGTAATCCTTGAATCGCCCCCAGATGTAGTCTAATCAGCCATATTTTGTTGAAGTATGCTTCAGAGTTTCTATTGGATCCATATACGCAACTTTACTGTAGGTCCTTGTCTGACTTTTAGGTACAAAAAGATAATAGTACATTTATCTGAGAGCCATGCAAAGTTATATTTAAGCAGCATGTTAGTATAGTTAAGGGTACATTCATTAACAAGTTTAAAACAAATGAATGGATCCAGAAAATCTAATATTCAGTTTACTGGAAGCCAGTGGAGGGACCTAAAAAAAGAGTGATGTGACCTTTTTAATTTGCTGCAGTTGAAACTTATACAGATAGCAGTATCTTTAGTATATTTTGTAACATTTTTACGTTGTTCAGACTTTAAGCATTATAAACTTTGCATCTGCATGAAATGGTGGAAAACTAGGGGTTTAGTTGGTTGTAGTCAACATTGCCATTAAAGTCTTCTGACATTGTCGTTGCTGATGGATAAACCATGTAAAAGGTTTAGAATATGTAGTAAGACATAATCTAAACCAGCACAAAAGAGAACATTTCCAGCTAATATGAGCCTGTAAAGAACTGTCTCTCTACTATATCATATTGCACTAGAAAAAAGGACTAAGTGTTTGTTCCCTTTCCTTTGTCATCCCTTGCCAGGCCCAGTTAATGTCTCCCATGCAACTCACAACCAATCACATCTCCCCTCCCGGCCCCCTGCCCATCCCCTCTCCCATGGCCAGTCGAACTGGTGGCGGTGGTGCTGATGCTGCCTTTGTACAAAACTACATGCCTCTGTTTCCTGGGCAAGTGGCGCCCAGTGATCAAGCTGTAGTTTCTGCCGTTTCTCAGCCATTATCCCATGATCCTCTGGCACAGTGCCTCTCAGGTCGGGACATGGCCTCAGCGGCACCCATGGTTCCCTCTCCCTTGGACAACACCTCAGCGCTGGGTGAAACTGTAGCACCATCTGTGATTACACACACGGCTTCTTCTACTGTGACGCCCAGCGAAGCAGCCACCACCTTCAGCCATGGCTCAGACTATAGCTCCTTATCCAAACAACCTCCTCCACCTCAACTCCAACCCTTGGCTCCATTGCCTGCCACTTCTGTCCAGCACCCTCAGACTTTTGCCCTGCCTCGCCCCTTTCAGCCATCCAGTGCCAATAAAAACCGCCCTGTGCAAAGGATTGCTCCTGCTAACACCCTCCCCTCTTCCCACCTCATCCTCACAGGTCTGTTGTCTCTGATCTCAAGATTATTCATTCTGTATTTGGAAAAAGAATTGCGCATGTAACTTTGTTGATCTGGCAGTGGAGCTGTATCACTTAATTACCACAAGATAGCGCTCAAGTCATAGTCATTAACAAAGATGTTGATGTAGAATTGTATGCATATCGGAGTCACTGTAGCTGTGGCTTGATAATGTCTTTTGGCAACCACAGAAACTCTGAGGGAACTGTATTGGTATTTGGATAGATGGAGAAACATTTTTTTATGTTAATTTTGTTTAACAACATAATATCCACAATTTAAACATAACATCAGGATTTTAAACTTTCAAACCAAAAAGACCGACTGTAACTCTAATTAAAGCTAATATTGGGCTAATTATATTTACAAAAATTGGTTGTACATTCTGCTTTTAGTTGGGGATTTTTAGGGTGGGGAAGTGGGATATGCCTTTATTAGGGAGCTGGTAATGTCAGGTAGCTGGTCAGCACCCCCACCTCTGGTACACTCATGGACCAGAGGTGCTGCTTTTGTTTTAGTAGCTTATCTTAGTAAAATTCAGTTTCTAGATTTTCAGTTGTGCTACTTATAACCTATTGAGCGTTGTGTTTACAGTAAAGTTCTGTATTGATGGAAAAGTCACTGAGGAAAAAGAAAAAAATATTATTTATGGATATTCACGTGTAAATCCACATAAAACTAACACTGCGGTGCCTTATTGTCAATGTTCACCCTTTCAGCTCCTTTCCCAGGTCGTAGTAACGATGTGATTGTTACACCAACACCTCTGAAAGCAGATGTGGTCCCTAATACCGTAGTGGTCATTGCTCGTTCTCATCTTGGAGGGGTATGTTTTCAGCTCTGTGTGTGTCATCTTCACTATTTTAGTGTCTTCTTACACCACTGTGAGTCTTGGGTATTTAGTTGCCATTAGAAAATTACAAAACTGCAACATTTAGATAATTCATAAACAGGACATTAAACGTTAAAACTCAAGTGATCAGTTACAAATTAAGAAAGATCATATTTCAGTTTTGTGGTTCTCGGCCTTGTACGTCTTTTTTATTTCTGTTTGTATTGCCTATTTGTTCTCTTTTCATGTATCCTGGACTCATGGATTCCACGTTGTGTCTCAGACGCAGAAGTCTCCGCAGCCGATTGTCCCCAAAGAAAAGTCTTTTAGCCGCAAAAATCAGAAAGTCTCATCTAGTGTCGGTGAGAGTTCACTCTACACAGAAAGCACATCATAACTCCAAACCCACCATTTCTTACAAGTTACAAGTTTGTTTGTTTTTTCTTCCTTTCAGTTCACAGTCAACCGGGATCAGGTCAAGGATCACCGTGTGCGTTTGATCAAGTCCCTAGTCCCCAGTCACTGATTAGCAGCAGCAGTACACCTCTGGTAAAGAATGAACAAAATCAGGTTTGTGTCTCTTAACATAAATGGTTTGCTGGCACTCTGTTTTTGTGAGCATATTATTATTTTAATAACATTTAAGGGTTTCACAGGATTGGGCCAATCACAGACTGAACTTGATTCCCAGGCAAATGAAATCCTGTTTGTAACATCAATAATATTTCTGCTGTTCTGCTATAATATATGACACACTCCTCAGTAAGCCTTTGTGTAATATTTCCACTTCTGTTGTGTGACAGAGCCGAAGGACAACACACATATCTGCTGAGCAAAAGAGACGATCAAACATAAACATTGGCTTTAAAACACTCTGCAATCTGGTTCCCACTTTGAAGTCACAATCAAATGTAAGTCTGTGTACTGGTTTGTTTTCATAAAACATTCATAATAGATCATAATTATTTAATTGGCTTTCTCCCTTCCTCCCATGTTTGTTAACTTTGTGCATTTAGATCACAAATGCAGTCACATTGCAGAAGACAGTGGAGCACATTGGGAAGCTCCAGCAAGAGAGGCAGCAGATGCAGGAAGAGGTCAAGAGATTACGAGAGGAGATAGAGGAGCTCAACACCTCCATTAAGTATGTTAAAATGTTATATCATGGTCTGTATGAATACTGAATACTGGCTGCAGCATGTCCATTAATTCCTGATATAGGATTCCTACTAAATAGTTCCAGTGAAATGGAAATATCTGCCATTGCCAAGTCATATCTAAGGTTGGTCCTATTTACTGGAGTAGTAAACAACCAGGTTTCCATTGCATAAAAAATATTATGGGATGGGATTGTTCCAGGGATTAATCAAACCTCCTGGTATCACCAGGGAAACAAAGTTATGACTGCTGAAAAACATGAGATTTTGATTGCAATGAAACACATAAAAATCTAAATTATCTTAATTTTTTTCTTTTGACAAGTGACCATGGTATAAATAGGATAATGTCCTTCGAGGTGTCCATTATCAGGAATTAATGGACGCCACAGAGGGAACCATCCTGCTCTGGCTTTCCGTGATCAGTTAATTCCTGATAATGTACCCTTCATCTGGCATAATACATATCTCTCACTGCTATTATGAAAAAAAAAAAAAAAAGTTGCACAGACACTTAACTCTAAACTGTTTATTTTTCTCCTGTCACTGTTAAACCACAGCTTGTGTCAGGAACAGCTTCCTGTAACAGGGGTTCCCGTTAGGCGGAATCGCTTCGACCACATGCAAGAGAGGTTCAATGAATACGTAAAGAGCCGCACTCTTCAGAACTGGAAGTTCTGGATTGTATCCTTCAGTGAAAGAAAATATACTGATGTACGCTGTTACTGCTTAGTCATAACACACAGTATGGTGTAAGCGTTTTGCTTTGATCTGGAGCAATCTTTTGTCTGAGAAGTGCCTTGTTCAGATCAGACTGTTGCATAACCGAATGATCATATCCTGTGTCAAGCACTGCAAAGGCAGACTTAAGAAAAAGTACAGGTTATACAACTGAATCATTTCTAAAATCTTCCCATTGTTCTTGAAGAAAGCCAAGCTACTTGAGTCACACTGTATTTTACAAGCGGTTTTGTTTTGAATGTTTATTTACTAGTGTTGTCAAACGATTAAAATATTTAATGTCATAGTTAACTCGCAATTAATCGCACATTTTTATCTATTCTAAATGTCCCTTGATTCCTTTTTTCCCATTATTTTTTCTCATTTTAATGCTCTTTATCAACATGGAAAAGTGGATGGGCTTGCTTTGTGCAAATGTTTTTTTTTATTGAAAACAACATTGGCATATACTGTAGTGTTCAATTTCACACTAACATTCTCATGTGGAGCAAATAATCTCTCACACATACATACTGTCCATCAATAAAAGGGTGAAAAAAATCCTTTGTCACACAAACAGCCCCTTCAACAGCCCTTTCTAAGGGATCAAAACAGGGCAATACAAAATAAAATTACAAAGTGCACATGTAAGGTAAACTAGGACTCAGCCTATAGTGCAGTTAAACCATGGCTTAATGCTTAATTGACGAGGGGGCGGACAATTCGCATCAGCTGTGTGCTTGGCCATCAAGTGGTATTTCAGACTAGACGTGCTGCGATGATAGCTCAGTTAAAAACGGCAAAACACACAGATCACTTTGGTCTTGTCAATAGAACCATTTGGCAAAAGAACGTAAATCTTGCGATAAAAAAATTGACGCTGTTAAAATGGGTTTGCGTTAACGCCGTTAATAACGCGTTTAACTAACAGCACTATTATTTACCAAATTATTTTGAAAGTACAAATGCTTCCCACTCTGGAAGGTGTTGTCTACACACTGAGCCACTCCTAGAGCACCTCCAGCAACCTGTTCACATTATCTTTTGAATGTGGCCTATATCAGATTCCAGTGTGACCAGGTTACGGTCCTGAAGAGACCCACATGCCATCAAAACGTAGACATCAAAGCCACATGAATGAGGATATGACTGTTCACACTGAGAGTTAAGCAAACCACACATTGAAGTGGTAAAATGGCTACACACGTACATGTTCACACAGTTGGTCAGGCAGAATTACATTTGTCTCACTCTGTAGTGTAATTGATCCTTGACCGTCATCCATTGTAGTTCAGCATCATCATCAAGCCTCTCTTTGAGACATTCAATGGTATGGTGTCAACTACAAGCACAGCAGAGCTGTGTCAGACCACGTTGCAATGGTTTGATCATCACTGCTCCCTTCCAGTGCTCAGACCCAGTAAGTAAACAAATATTTCTCCTTAACAGATGGCACAAGCACACACACACACGTACATCACTAGCCAACCTACTCTGTGGGTGCAACAGAAAGAATCAGTAGCTGTGGGTCCTTTGCAGGCCAAAGGGGATTCTACAGCTGCATTCAGTTACTCTACATATTATCTACTGCCTATCTCTCACTATCTCTGTTTGTTTTTTTCCTGCCTTTTCTTCTGTGACATAAAAGGAAACAGTTTTTTGATAATACTGTACTCCACCTTTAATCTCACAGGCAGAAACAGTGACGATCACACTTTCCAATAGTTTTTCACCTCCCACTTAGTCAAAATAATGTTGTTCCAGACTCAGTCCAACTTCAGCAGTTACACTTTTTGGATCTGATAATTCAACTTGACGTCACCAGATTTCTGTAGTTGAGTCAACTCCGCTTCCGGATGCTCGTCCTGCGCTGCAGTATGAAGGTTGACGCTTTAGCTTTTTAATTGAATTAATTGAATCATTAGACTGTTCTGCAGTCACATCCTCAGTTGTAAGATAAGAGTTTTCCCATTATCCTGACCCAGAGTGTTTAATGCAGCACTTGTGAAAAACTCCCGGTAAATGACAAACTTGCCTACAATGTCCTGGAAAACATTAAACACAAAATTTTGTCACTCCCCCAAAATTAATGTTTTCTTTAGAATCTGAGCCTTGCCACTCATTATTTACAGTTGAGGGGTTGTATTAAGCAGCCAAATAACAATCAACTAGGAATGTGGTGAGTCAAGTACATACCTACTTTGTATCCCTCTGTAAGGATATATAGCACATATAACATATATAACACTTCAAGATGTTGTGTTTTACAGTCAGATTAGCTGGGTTGTGGTTATTAAATTGTGGTTTCTTATTTTCAGTGGTGCTGAGTACCCTTCGTCAGCTGAGCACAACCACGTCCATTCTTAGTGATCCATCCCTGCTGCCCGAAGAAGCCATCCAGGCCGTCACACACACAGATATGTAGCCTTAATCTCACAGGAGGTGAGGTCACCTGAACCTTTTAAACAGCAATCATCAAAATGACATATCACCTGTTAACCTTATAGACTTTTAGCAAGGTCACCACGTCTTCCACAGATCCACGACTTCCCTGAAAAATAAATGAAATTATAAATGCAAGCTAGGCTTACTATGGTCATACATTTTTTCTGCTGTGCATTGACTCACGCAGGGAACCCCACCTTTGACACATCTCTAACAATTGTGCAAAAATGGCACCTAATATTGCCTTTACTGACTTCAGGTGAAGATCTTCTAAATGCTTTCTTGGAAGGTGGTACTTGTGGTTTGATTTTTGAATAATACATATTTAAATTTCAGTTATTTTTACAATGTAAAAACACAGCATTGTGTTAAAAAGGGAAATATTGAGTGATTGTTCATTTATGTGTTCTCTCTCATGTGTATAAAGTGAAAGGATTTGATGCAGGAGATGAATGTGGGATTTTTTTTTTAGGACTAGCTAGCACTATAGTTTTTGTTTTTTTTTGCAGGATCTGAAACCTCCCAGAAAGACTTCACACCAGAATGTAGAGGGTTGCCAGAAACATGGTCAAGCAGACCACTCATGGGCTGATTTGTGCTTAATTAGTACTTGAAGATGAGCGTCTTTTTCCATCCCTCATTTACTCAGGTGATTGTTATTTTGCCAGTAAACTATAGTGGTTTCCTGGTGGTTTTCCGTCCGTGCTCGTCTTCCTTCGTGCTGTTTGCTCTGCCCATTTCCATCCAGTTCAACTACAAATTGTACAAGAAAGCGGTCATGTTAGGTACAGTATGTTACACACATGGGTTCCTACTGGGCAGGTCACAGAAAAATGGAGCGACATTACTTACAGCCCTCATAGGGAGCATAACTGAAATAGCAGTACAGATCATATATATACTTCATTCATATGTACAGTGTTACATGATCCTAGCTGAATACACAGAAGCTGTAGGGGTCTTTTCTTTGTTGGTCACTCAGGGCTGCGCTGGTCAGCGTAATTCATTTATGAACAAATGGAGTCAGGATCCTTCTCAGCAGGAGGACATGGTGTCTGTAAAGGTACAGCTTATATAACATGGTTTGAGTTACCAATGTTTTTTTTCTGCTTTCACAGAAGAAAATAGTCTGTCGTGTTATAAGACACAGCACACAGAAACAGACCAAAAAGCCATATCAGAGTAATTTACCTGTCCACTCAGTTCATTAGTTTTGTGTTATTGGTGTTATATTTGACGGAGCACTCTTGTGAATTAGACACTGTGCAGATTTAGTCAGCATGTCTGACGTGCATCAGCCTTAAGGTCAAATTAAGTGCCCTTACTAGTGATGTCTGCAAGCTCTTTTTTTGTGGTTCAGCACTCCTCAGGCAGACGTTGACTTTGCGACTTGGGTTTTTACTTTCCTGCAGAACAAACTTAAGTTTACTCTGACTTTTACATTAGGAAAAGGCGAGGAATGGATATTTGTTATTTGATGAATGTACAGCTTTTGTGCTGCGTTTTATTTACCTGTTTAGCAGTCATCAAAATTCCCTTTTTACGGTGTACAGCAGTGCAGCCTTTTTGAGGCATGTGTAACGTTTAGCAGCCACATTTATCCGAAAATATGGATGTTACTACATAGAGAAAATGGAAATGCGCCTCTGAATGCAGCTTTGGTTGTCATGATTGTGGGTTAAAATGTTTCCCTTTTTTGGCTTTCTTTTTTTAAATTCCCTTCGAACTGAGACTTAAAACATGATTTAACTTATGACAGAAATCCCACATGTTCCACTGCAGCTTGGCATTTGTGTGGTTTGTTTGTTTTCTTTCCTCATCCTATGATTTTAAAATGTTTATGATACCAGGTTGGATTTCCAACTTTTGTTTGCTGTTTCTGTGAGGGGAATTTGCAACAGATGATGTACAGTATATCATTGCAGATTGGATCTGCCTAAGTTGTTTCTCCCCAATTTAGTATTGTATTTAATTTGTTTTAAGGAGTAAAAGTATTTTATTATGCTGCATCTGAGTGTTTTGTGTTTCTGAAAGGTTTAATATGCCTTAAATGATTTGGAATCACAATAAAAGCAACAACAATGCAAATCTTCATTTCTTATTACTTTATTTTCAATAAATATCACTTTGTTTTTAATAAATATTACTTGAATATCAGATACTGATAAGTGAATAACTATCAAGTAACTAACAAGTTTACTTTCTCATCCATGTAATACTATTACAAAAATTAATTCTTCAATAATTTAAGGCTGTGTAAAATAAATTACATTCATTACATTCTTACTAATAGGCATTAAAATCAAAATGTAGCTTTGCTGAGCCTCTGGTCCAGAAGCTTCAGCAGACATCTGAGAAACACATAGCCATCAATGTCCTGCTCAAAGCTGGGTAGGCTGCAGTCCCCACAGGCTGTCTGGTTGCGCATCTGCAGCTCCACATCCTGAATGTACTGGCTCGTCGCCTGCAGCTCACGGGACAGTTCCGGGGTCAGCGTGGACATCTTGAGCATGTTGCAGCGGAAGGTGGAGAGCTGGTGCGCGGTGAGGGGCTGCTGCTCCGGCCCCACCAGCTCCGTGATGTTCAGGGAGTGGCAGGAGATGTTGGGAAGCAGTCCGGGCGCATCCTGCAGGAGACGGAGTGAGATTAGATGCAGAGTTTCTAAGTAAGAAGGCTACATTACTTAAGTATTGGACTTTAAATGCAAATTTTGAGATACTTGTGCTTCAGTTTAGTGTTTTAATGTGATCTTCCTTTATACTTCGACTTCTCTAAGCTACAATTCAGAAGGAACAACTTATTTGGTTACTTTGCGCATTCAGATTTTACAACATATCATCGGTTTATATCATATTTTGTATTATTATTAGTTAATTGTATTATGTCTTTTTACACATTACTCTACCCAGCAGTGTGAGGCAGATATAATTGTCTCCACTTTAACCAAATATATATATACAGTAGGCTACCGCGTAAATGTTAATGCATCAGTAATAAGTATCAAACATAGCCTACCACTGACAGGGATCATTCTGCATAATGAGGACTTTTACATCTCTACTTTTAACCTACTTCAGTAACATTGCAAATTAATACAAGACTTTTAAAGTAGCCTAAATGATCTGAACACACTGATAATTACACCAATGGAGACACTTAAAAATGTGAGCACCATCACCAATAATCTGACTGTAACCATTTCACCATAAATAGCCCTGAAACTAATCTCAGTGCTCTCAGTGGTAGCCTACCATATATTTATTTTAAACTCAGTATGCTTTTGATTGTACCAACACTGAATTATCCTACTCAGCTGCAATTCATCTCCCTAAAAGTACTTCATGGAAAATCAAAGCAATACAATATTAGAAAGCGCTTAATACCTGCAGAGAGTCCACGCTCTCCACCCCTGCATGTGAATATCCATATGAGCTGTTTAATTAATTAATAACTTAACACTGGCTAATAATTAACTATGCACAAAATAAAAGAAGCTTACAAGGTGGTGCAGAGAGGTGCCTATCTTTTCCCGAATCAACTGGATGGTTGCGTTCAAGGCCGCGGCTGGTCTTCCAATAGGGTTGCAGGCTGTTTGTGCAATGAGCACGGACATGAAGATGAGCACTACAACAGAGACATAAATGAGCAAAGTGGAGATTAATTATACACACACACACACACACACATGCACGCACACACAGACACACGCAGTCACCACTAGAGAGTTTCAGTGTTGTGCAACATTGACCGCAGAAATTAAAGTTGTAGGACTGCCTGGTTTAAAAATACAGCGGGACTCTGAACCGCACATCAAGATGCTCACCAGCACGGCAATCCATGACTCCAGGAGATTCTGGTCCACAGCAGGGTCTCTGGTTTGACGATTTCTCTGATCCATCTTTGGAGGATCACTTTTATTACGGCTCCTTAGATTAAGATCAACATCTTAATATTTTCCCTTGCGTTCACTGCCGCTAGTCATATCCTACAGGGTGCAGTTTTACATTCTGGGGCTTCCCTGTTTGGAGTCTGGCTTAGAAAAACCTACACATCCCGTAACATGACTACAGTCAACCAAAGTCTGATTAAATCTTTAAATATGAAATAGGTGTTAAAATACTCAACACTGTTAAAGTGGCGTGCTTTACCCCTTCTTCGATGATTTGATCTTTTGTGATTACTCATGTAAACAAAAAAAGAAATAGTGATAATTATGTCTAATACATCTATCATTGTGAGAATAGATTTCAGAGTTAAAACAACTTACTGAGGACATGTCAGCATTGTTAGGCCTGTTCTCTTTACTTCAAAGGACTGCTTGAAGGTTAAGACTTGGTTAAGGTTACTGTTTGAATTAGGTTTAGGTTTAGGTGTTTGAAATGGTTTGTGGTTGTGATGGTTAAGATGGTTAAGGTCCTCAGGTGTGTGTGTGTGTGTGTGTGTGTGTGTGTGTGTGATGAAAGATGAACAAGTGGTTTGATTGTTTTTTTTATTATTGGCAATTTATATTTTTAAAAAGTCAGGTTTTAAAAAAGTACTGCTATTTTCAATATAAATAAAATAAATACTGACAAACATAAATAAATATCAGATCAATAAATACACAAATAAATAGCCTACATAAATAAGTTGTCTAAGTGTTTTCTTTATATAATACAGGAGGAGTTTGTGAAACTCTTCATCCACTTTATAGTAAAGTGAATGATATTTAGGCCGATTTCTTTCCTAGCGTAATTGTGTGTTACATTTATGTGGCACTGTTGTGGGATCCTGTTTTCCTTTTGACCTCTGCTGGCCTGTCGAACTGCACTTTTGAACTGGTTACGAAATGCTGTTATGTTGCCAATGATGACGTCCTGGTGCTGCAGAATGAGAGTCCTGATGATTTTTGGCAAGTCACGCGTTAAGTAGTGATTGATTGCCCAAGTGGTCTGGATTTCCTCGGTGGCGTTTCCCACAGGCAAAGTTATGCACGTGAGAGGGTTTAATCGCATATTTTCAGGTTTAAGTAGTGTATCGTTGACCTAGAGAAAGAGATTCATTTTGACAAAATCAGTGATGGAGCACAAAGCTCCCAGGCTGTCTTTTAATAATGGGTTCAAACAGTCCCTCTACAGTGAGGAATCAGCTCTGTTGTAGCTTTATGTTGTGTTACATGAATTGGCTTTTACCACTGAACACACCATGTTCTTCAGTCAAAAATGTCAAAAATGTATAAACTTAAAGTACGATGTGTTTACTTACGTAATCCTGTTGTGCAATCTCTAGATTACAAATAAACATGTCTATATCCTTCAGGTTCTTCCGAAGTTTCTCTATGTCAATTCCTTGGGAGGCCATGAAGGTGATGTGTATCATCACGATGCAAGAAAGCAGGAGCTCTGCAGGAAGTCATACACAAAAAGATGTGATGTTGTCATCTGGATAGTAAGCAACCAAAAGTTTGCTCAAGTCTAAATAAAATCAACATCACCAAACCATCATCTTCAAAATTCAACATTTTACTGAGAGAGAATAATAGACTGGAGATGTTAAAACTCCAGCTCACGTTTTGGCTTGTGGCTTTCAGGGTCATCCAAATGAAATTAAATGTTCTTTATACTACAACTGCTCCTTGAGTTTTGAGCTACTCAGACTTCTCCCTTCTCCATGACCTTCGGGAGTAGGTGAAGTTGTGTGAGGAGAATAATAGACTGCAAGGGAATATTGCTTTAAATCTCATTTCAGATTTTAGGCAGCTTGGCTTCAGACTGTTCAGTCCCTCAGTAATCAGACAGCAACCATTAGGAAATCAACTGTTAATAAAGTCATAAAATGTCTGAGTTATTTCTTAAAACTTTATTTTGCCATCCTCCTGAAATCACAATATAATTATCAAGGAAACTCTAAAGCACTGTTACACATACACAATGAAAGTGACACGTTTCATTCTCCTACTCTAAATTATTTAATTTAAAGACATCTTACCTTTACCATGAGCCATTGTGTTGTTGTCTTTTGCTGTTGGGTTAATGCTCCTAAACTGGCACAGTCACTTATATATCGAAACATGGGATTTTTTTGTTGCATGCCATTCTCTAGTAGATGACGCCTTTGTGCCTTTATCCTACAGAAAATCTTATAGTAAATGTTTCTATTTTGCAATTGTAGGTCATTGTTGACCACAGAGATTTAATGTGGGTTGGCAAAGCAAACTGCCACAGCGAAGGTATCTGATGTTTATCAGTAGACAGTGGCAAATTCTGCTACTTGAAACAGGTTCACTTTTCATTTGTCACAGATCTTTAAATCCAGACATCCTGTAAGACGACATATATATGTATATATACGTATGTATTGGGCCTTTTTTTCTCTAATCAACATCCTTGGTACAGTGCCAGCGCTACCAGGTAAACTATCAGGTTGCCTCTCAAAATACTTAATTTGATCATACATTTCCTAGTATTTCTATCTCTGAGATACCTGGATAACAGACCACAGGATGTTTACTTCTCATGCGTAAGAGGAAATTCACCTTTAAGTATCATCATTAGTAATATTAGCAATGTTATGCATCAGCATGTGTTGATGTATGAATCCTACTGACTTTGGTGATCCTTTAGTAAGATGGTAAACATGGTTAACATTAAAAAAACATAGGTATGGGACAAGGTGTCCTATATCAGAAGTTAATGGACACGGTACAGCCAATCAGATTAGAGTATTTACCCAGACCATGCGAATAATATAATTTTCTAAATGATAAAAATGTTTACATGGGTAAATAAATTGTGACACTACAATGGAGGAAGAGAGGTCAGTATGAAAAGTATGAAATTATGTATGTAGGGAGCCGTCACTAGCCACAGCAGGGGGATTGATTACAAGAGCTGGCAGGCCTTGTGTGTTATAACATTAGAGGGTGCCAGTGAATGGGTGCAGTCGGATTAATAGAAGAAACAGTTTCAACAATTTCACTTACACAAACACTGAAGTCCTGACTCGATGCAGCGTTCCTGAAGAGAGCCTCAGCTGTTGCCAGGCAACCGACAACCATTTGTAAACAATAAACAGCAGGGGCCTTGTCTCTGAAAAGACTAACTGACCACCCATTTCCTGCAGTAGCTGCTGTTTCTCTCGTACGTTACACACATTATACAGTAAGGCATGAGCTCAAACACACTTTCTGCCGTGTTAGAGAAGCAGATTCACCGCCTGTGTCTGAAGGACTTCCCTTGTGGATACGGCAGCTGGGTGAGTTTTTGTTTCAGCTGTGAATTGGTCGCAGTGTTTTCTATATTATCTTATGTCTATTTAGTTGTTTAAAGTGGTCTCATCACAGCATATAGTAGCTTTCTTTTTGTACAAGATACTAACAAACGCAGTGATTATGTTCTCAGAGAAAGACAGGATACGGTGCAGGGGGAGCAGAGACGGAGGAGACAGACGCTCTCCTGGATCTGCTGAGCTGCCCTCACTCTCCATGGTTGTATGATGAATCGTGGAGTCCTCAAGCTCCGGCCCTGAGACAGCTGGCCGTGCTCGCACCTGAACGGCTGCACGCTGGCTTCATATATAATTACTTTACCACACTTCGCATTGTGGACAAAGGCGTGAGTTATTTTATTTCCCCTACACCCAAATGTTTTACATTTGATTCAAGCCACTCATCCATGATTTGATGCAATGATCCCCAAAGTCTTATGGAAAGCAAAGTTTCCAGTTCAAAATGGTCTTTTAGTAGCGGAACTGAGCAGCAGCAAATCTACTGACTACCTTTGCATTTTAATTTGAAGGTTCACGACAGTCATCACCGAACGGACAACACTCACAGTTTGACCAAATCATACTGGCTGAAATAACCACAGATATAGTGTAGGAATGGTGGAGACACTATAGAACAAAAACAAAGCAGAAATGTTACAGACACATACACAAACAGAAAGTGGTGTCTGTAAAGCTGTTGCCCTGGTGCATGCTGGGAGGCTTTCTGTCACACTTATCCTCCCAGGATGCTACAGTAACAGTATTTGTTATAATCCCTAAAAAACTAATGTTCCTAAACCCAAAAATCTGCTATATAAGCCCCCCAAAACTACATGATTTGAAAAGTTTTACGTAATGTTTTGAGGGATGTAACAAAACTACTTTTTAATACTTTTATTTCTAGGACAAAAATCTACAAAATATATTTCCTCTTATATCTTCTTTATCAACTTAAATAATCATTACTGAGGTAGGGTATAAACTGTGTTCTCTGATGGAGTATCACAATTTGTTTTTCACTGGTTTGAATCTTCACATATTGGTGTTGCAGTGTATCTTTACATTCCCACTATGTTGTGTTCAGGTATCAGTCATTGACGACGGCCTGTTAAAGTTCTCAAAGCTGGAGGAATTGGTGCTGAGCGCCAACAAAATCTCAGATATTCCTGCAGTAAACCTTCCCAGCACCTTGAAGGTGAGTCACGGTCCTTCACCAGCTTCCTCTGCAGTTCATCAGAATACTTGAAATTTTCACCAGTTTCCTCTGGCTAAAGTTTGTCATGAAACTGGGGGGTTCACAGTTGAATCACAAAGAGTAGTAATCAAAGATAAAACACATCACTGGCTGAAGTATGTCCAGTAGAGCAACAGTTCAAGCTAATAGATCAAAGCATATTGTGACATATTGATGATTAACTGTTTGTTCGTAAATGTGATTCTTTGAAGATATTGGAGCTACGTGCCAACCAGTTGTCTGCTCTTAACAGTCTAACCAGCTGTCCGCCTCCTCGCCTACACTACCTCGGCCTGGCCTCAAACAAGCTGCGTACCCATGAAGACGTCTCTCATCTCACAGGAAGACACTGGTTTGTTCGCACACAAACACACACAAACACACACGCGTACACACAGGAAGCCAACTGGTTTATAAGGAGATAAACTATAACCAGGTCAAAAACTCAAGTAGTAGTGTGTATTTATTTTATTGTTTGTAAGGTAAGACAAAGTATTCACACACTGATGACTGCAGTTGAGGCTGTGAGATAGAAAATCTTTTGATCCCACCTAAAATAACCACATCTTTTAACTGTGTGTGGAACAAAAAATTACACTAACTTTTCCATTTTGTCAGCTGATATCACAGTTTAGTAAATGTTTCTGTCAAAGCTGGGAGACACCATTAGACCTAGAAAGTAAATTCATTGAACCACTCTCAAGATCAACTCCTGAAATCTAATGTGGTTGTTGTATTAGTAAGCCACAGGGGAAATTACTTTCTTAAGCTTTCCTTCTTTATCATCAGTTAAACAGAATTGTAAATATCTTAAAATACTTACTCATCACAAGGAGTTTTATACCGCAAGATCTTCATGTTGAGATCAAATGTCCACCGCCACCAAGTGCTTACTCATGGTGGTACAGTCTAGACCTGCTCTATTTGAAAAGTGAGATAACTTTTGTTATGATTTGGCGCTATACAAATAAAATTGAAGAAATTGAAATTGAATTAAATTAGTTTTTTTTTTTAATCACATAATACATATAACCACTTCAATTAATAAAACATGGAAAATAATCCAAATGAATTGAAATGTTTGACCAAGTCCGGGTTTGGAATGGCCATTTGGACGCATGAGCTCAGTATGTCTGTGCTTCCGTTAACAGGCGTCATGCTTGAAAAGCACACGGTTTGTGTGTGTGTCATTAATTTAACACAAGTGAGCATTAGTTAGTTAGCTCAGTATTTCAATTTAATAATAAATTGATTGGCCCTTGAAATAATTAATGTCCAGCTGCATATAATAGAAAATGATTTAAAAGCAGCTTTATCTGTTTCATTTTTTTGCTATTCAATCGGTGTTACAAGTTTTATTTGTGAATAAAAAGGAAAAATGACTGTCACTGATCTCAGGCCGCTGCTGGTGTGTCTGGACCTGAGTGACTGTGAGTTTCAGGACCAGCAGACCCTGCTGAACGCCTTGAGCACGCTCCCCTGCCTCAGGACGCTGGTGCTGGAGGGAAACCCCTTCATTCTTGCATGCTGCTACCCGGGCTTCACCGTGGACAGTCTGCCACAGCTCTCTTGCCTGGACGCCTCATGGATCTCCCCTGAGGAAAGACATTGTTTCAGGGGCATGGCCAAGATGAGTGGTGAGACTGTGGACAGTGCTGTCAGTTAGTATGTCTGAAATCCTCTGAAAGCTGGCTCTTGTTTCTCTTTAATTTGAAGTATACAGCTCTGTTGTTTAATTTAGACAACATGGTAGTTGTTTGTAATATTAAGATCGTTATTTTCTGTACAGGTCTGATAGTGGACCGGGCATCCGCCACAGTGAGCGTGGGAAGGATGAGAGGAATCCCAGACCCGTTGTTGAGTGCTGATGAAAACACTCCGGACTTCCCTGTTGTCACCTACAGATATTTTATCACATACGAGTTCCTTAGTCATCAAACACCCATGAACCTGGTGATGTAACACTGCCACACTTTTCAGTCTGTTTACATCTCTAAATTTAACACTGTCCAGAACATCACATGTGAAAACTGCCTTCAAAGCAAGTGTGTTTTTGATATAATTTTGGATTTCAAATGGGATTTCTTTACATTGTATCATATGACAGTTTTTAGTTGACAATGATAATTCATACATGTTTGATAATATTTATTTTACATGTAAGAATCTAAAAGATAATTTAAATTATTTTGTCTGTCTCAACAATACTCACATGCCCAAAATGTACATTTCAAGTCATTTGTTGCTGTAATTGTTGCTCTATACTATACAGTATGTGGTTTCAGCAGTCTGAGTTAGAGAAAACAAGTGTGTTTCTTCTAAAGTTACAGTCCTTTTAGTATAACATTTCCTTTTTGGCATACACTCCTACGACCACACCACAGCAAGGAAACAAAAAGGGGAAATTTTTAGAAAATATTTAAGCTCTAATTTGTCACATGGGGAATTTCACATTGACAGTTGCCTTGAATCCACATCGGTTTTATATGTGCTTTATTTTGTAAGATTATCTTAAAACAATCAATCACTGTGGAATGTGTGTTTATATCATCCCTTGTTTCTCTCTTTCTTTTGGTGGTGATGTTCACAGAAATTGGATAGTGAGTCTAAATTTGATGCCGCAGCCACAACACACGTGACAGACGGAGGCTCCAGTGATGCTGACTTCAATCCAAACAAGAAAGAAACCTCCAAACTTGACAGACGTGACTCGATGTGTACTGAGGACACCTGCCGTGATACTGCACATGGTAATAACACTAAACGCATGTAACCTTCGCAGGTTTTAGGCTTACAGGAAGAGGGACAGCTGTAGAGCTGAAGCAGTTGTTTATACAGAAAGATAAGAAAGATAAACCGCTGACATTCAGCTCAGTGATCTGAAGGAGTTTGGAAAATATGTCAGCTTTCATGTTTGGATTTTCTAAACTTAGTAATGTATCCTGTATAACTAGGATTTATTTTTCTTATCAGTTCAAGAGAAACATAGTCAGAACAGCCAGTAGAGTGTTACACACCCAGAAACTGGTTAACTGATCATTTATCAACCATTATCAGGTTCCTTGTATATGTTCTTCTTCTCAATTATGTGTCTCTGACTAACCAAAAATCCTGACTTGCATCTTTGTTTTTCAACATGTAGTACCTGCTGCGCGTCCAACTTTGACTTGTGTCATTTCCTGATTTCATTTTCTACAGTGTCGAGACACTGCACATCAAAGCTGACATGGTCTGAGTCCATGGACGTCAGTGACACACAAACATACATTGTAAAAGATCTAAGTGGCTTAAAGAGATTTCTCAATCAAGGACTTTACCTTAGTATAGAGGAGGAAAAGGTACAAACTATGAGATTTGAGGGGGGCAAACATTTAGACGCAAAATGTATAATGACATTTGACATCTTAGGTCTTATCGTGGCCTGCAGTTTCGGAGGACGTCACAGTGGCCAAACCCAGCCGGACTGGAAAAGAAAAGAAAGGCGCTAAAGGGAAGGAGGTGACTCATCAACTGTTGGCACCCCTTGCATTAGTCAGCTGGTGGCCCACCCATGAGTTAGTTGGATTTGTTGGCTTTCTAGGGAATCCTGGATTGTTTATTCCCAGCTCACAGGAAAGCCCACTGATATGCTAAAACTAACCTGCCATGGTATTTTAGCTCCTGCTTATCATTCAAATCACTTTAGCTGTTTCTACTCTCATTATACCGTGGCTACATGTCAGAGTGCAGTTCATTGTAATTCATAATGGGCGTTTCTTTTAAATACGTTCCCTCAGTATTATCCACATCGTCAATCCAAAAGCAATTGCATAATTAATTATTTTTACGGTTACATTATAGTTTATATTTTACAAAGTCTTAGGCTGACCAATATCCAGGGTCGTCTATTTTCGCTCATCCTACATTTATATTCTATTTGAGCCTTCCTTTTCAATATTATATTAACAGTAACATAAATTGACAAAAACAGGACAATTGAAACAGTGTATCATGGTTTCATTAATGTGTGGATTGGTGGTGCATTTTATTTAAAACAAATCAAGTTACTTTAAGATGTTAAAGGTTGAGTATGTAACATTTAGGAGGATCTATTGACAGAAATTTAATATATTATATTTATAATCACGTGAATTTAAGAATCATTATGTTTTTGTTACCTCAGAATGAGCCGTTTATATTGCTGCAGTTTGTGTTCAGTGGAGTCTGTTGAACTGCCACATTTCTACAGTAACACAGCGTTTTGCTGCCATCATATCCTTCAGGGTTGGAAAGGGAGGGTGCGATCTGTATTTACACTGTATATGAAATGAGTAGTATTTATTTAGTAATGTTATATTATTCTGAAATGTTGTGGGAACATTTCTAGCGGACACTTCAACAGGAACATTAATAACCCTAAGGAGGGCCTTCCTTTCTGTACAAAATAAAACATTAGGTTCAGCCCCAATCACCACCACAATTATTTACTTTAATTATTTATAGGTAAATGTGGTCAATAACATGCAGTAACATTTATTGCTCATAAATGATAGCGCTCATTTATTTCTGATGTGCCAACTAGCCCTTGACTTTAGTGTCAATGGTTATAAAGTCAGCAAGGATCGTTATAAACAGTCATCAGGTGAATCCACCAGAGTTTGCCACATTATCTCTGTGTAGCATCATTTCACTGCTTTCTTATTGTCCTCAGTCTCCAATCAAATCTGGTTCCACCAAAGACAAGTCTAAAGACAAAAAGAAGAAATCTTTACCAGAGCTGGTCCAGGACACCCCCATCAGAAGAATCCTTGGCTCTGTCCACGTCCCCTTGCAAAGCCTCATCAAAAGAGGTCAAAAGGTCAATGTCCTCTGTGACTTTGGTGCTTTGCACACAGAGCCTGAGGTGGAAGCTATACAGACCCCTGAAAAGGCAAGTTTACATGCTAAGTAGGTGTTTACACAGCCAGCACTTTACAGAGAGAGCATGATCATTATCTGGTCCATTCAATCACTGGAATCACTGGGAAACACTGAAACAGGATGTATATTGTCCAAAAGAGTGATGTTGACTATAAGATGAATAGAAACTAGCAACATGTGGGACTACCAAAATAATAATCCAAATGATATGGAGCCCGACTTCATGTGGGATTTTTTTTTTTCACTCAACGTTAGGGTCCAGGAAAGAAGATCAAAGAGGACAAGAAGAAGGAGGAAAAGGAATCAAAGCACAGAGGAGGCAGTGATACTAAACAGAGGAATACAGCATCTTCAAAAGGTACATTCATTGTCTGTATAACAGCATCAAATAACTCAGATTGTTCATTTTAAAATGTTTTTTCTGTACTGTAAAATATGTCTAGACAGTGAATATTATAGAAGATGAGTAAGTGAGGGGCACACTGTAAAATATTAAGAATTATTCAGTGTCCTCTTCTTTTGAGTCTGTTTAAAAATCCTAAATCCTGTTTGATGTTGTCATCTGTAGGCAAAGGGAAGGGAAGGAAGGAATGCGAGATGGATGTCCTTACAGACAACTCTGTGTCCGTCCAACTGGAACCAGTGACTGTGGAGTTGAGTGTGGAGCTGGAGAAATGGCAGTCTGCGTCTGAAGCTTATCAATTACTACATCTACACCAAAACTCCCAAAGCAAACAGCCTGTTTTATCTTAAACATTAAACCAGCTCACTATTATAAATGTGGCTTATTTTCAGTTTGACCTGAAGTTATTGAACTTGGCCAGGTTAGTTTTCAGGCTTCAACAATGGTACGATCTACCAACCGGTCAAAAAACTGCTTGTTAAAGAAACCGTAGACTTTAATGGCATATTTAATTTATTTAAATTTGATGTAGGCTGCAGTAATTGCCCTCCTCAAAGGTAGAATTTATACACTAATCAAGCTATAGTACCTGCATAATATTGGGCAGCTTGAGGGACATTTGTTTCCACCATATGGAGGACATTATATCACCTTTACAAACCAAGTAGCATCGTAATTATAAGGTGAGCACTACAACAAGCTGAACAAACATGTAGGTCTGCTTGTAAACGTGCTGTCAAACTTTCCTTTATGGCTTCATATACGAGTGTTAATTACTTCCTACTTTAAGCTTGCTCTGTGGCTGTGGACATCACAGATTTCTGTTTACCTCTAGTGAATTAACCCATCAGAACCCAGACCCATTTCTCCTTGAAGGGAAATTATGGGGGATATACCACAGACCAAGTAGAACTTATAGAACACATTTCTGATGTTTTTTTCAATTTCAAAAATGTCAAATATGTTTTGTGACCTAAAAGTCACAATGGGCATTTATGGTAAATAAATATTTTATTAATACCTAAATAATTTGACATTATTTTTTGTTTATATTGCTTCAAATATACTTTAAATTGAACAACAGGGCATATATTCATTCTAAATAAACAGTGAAATTAATTGAGTAGCCTATCACCTTCTTTGTTATTGTTACAGACGTCACATCCATGACAACTTTACGATTAAAAGCCCAATGTGTTAACGTACACACAGCGACTTGTTTTATATTATTTTGTTCAGAGAATATGGTCAGAACAGGTTAAATGCAATACAGGACACACTATTAAAGCATTAGAATTGTTAAATGGGTTTAAACTTACCATAGTAACAAAAAACAAGCTTTTTTTAAAATTCATTTCTGTTTACCAGTCACACCCACATTTTGGAGACTGTCATATGACTTAATGAGTTATGGTCAAGCATAAAGCTGTATATATATGGAAGATTCAAGAACATTTAAAGTGTGTGTCACCATGGGTTCACCGTCTTAGAAAGGCTGGATTACTTGATAGCCAAATGTCCTGGGGACTTTCCCACTATGACCACAAACCAACTAGGAGTACTGGTTGGTTTCTGGGGCTCTGTGTAAAATATTAAGTCATATATGTAGTGTGCTGTGTGCAGGACAGTACTTAAAGTTACATGGTAAAAGCACAGTGCAAAGAAACGGCTCATAGTGCTTTCAATTGAACAATCAAAAGAGATGTTTGATTTTTAACTCATACATAAATTTCATTTATTTTATACAGATATTCAAAACATTTGCCGAAGTATTTCATTGTTTCATACAGAAATCATCTTTTAATTGCAAAGAAACTTTTTTGGAAAGGCCCTGTCACTGGAACTGAGAGTTTTCAGCAAGTGTTAAGTGCTTGAAGTTTCATTGTTTACTTCTTACGAATCATCCTGCAGCTCCCTTCATCAAGACCATGAAAAAAAGTTCCAATTAAAGCCAAACAGCACTGGGTTTAACCGCTTCCCTCCAGGCAGGAGTGAGCAAATCTCTCCCGGTGTGTCCCCCTCACAAAATGACACACATACTATCAAACCTTTAAAGAGTACATAGTATTTCCAGGCATAAAAAAATAAACTATAGCTCACCAATCTTTTGTGAAAATTGACTGTTTTTCAATCAAGTAATTTACAGTTTCAAATAAACACCTTTTATGATACTATATTATCTTTGTAATCCCCCAACAAGCTGTGCAAACAATGTTAGGATATTGATAAATTAAATGATCTGAAGAAGACCATCGCTTCTCCCACAACAATACATCCACCGACAGTATCTCCTCACTCACACAAACCCAGGATATCAAACAGTTTCCGCTCAAGTCATTTACAAATACAAATAGTTAACTGCTGTTTATTATTTTTCTGGATGTATGAACTTTTGGAAAGAGATTCTGAGGAGACCATTCTCCTATAAGAGCGCTTAAGGACTGGCGTGGACAATAAAGACGCTTGGCAAAAACAAGCACAACGAAACGCACACATACAAACCAAAACCCCAAAAGCACCGCATAATCTAACATGATGTGCAAATATAGTGATTGTGCGAACGAGGGTAAAAAAAGGCTTCAAAAGGTCTGGTCGTCGTTACAGGAGTCGGTCCAGTGGCCAAAGACCTCACAGATGTCGCAGTAGGGCCGTTCTTCACCCTTACTGCCGTGGTAGGTGGTGTGTGGAGGGGAGTCGGGCATCTGCATTTGTGTGGGACAGTCCTCAGTGTCGTGGAGGTCGAAGCAGTCACAGATGTCACAGAACAGCCTTGGGGGAGCCTTCTTCTTCACAGGTTCTTTATCATGGCTGCAGAGAGAGGAAAGCGGCTCCATGTGTAAATGACTGTCCGGTGGTGAGAAAACTGTGCCACACAGCTGGCATTATTTTAGAGGAAGTCTAAGAAGGTCTGCTATGATGGGACTCACCTATCGTAGTTATCCAGCTCACTTGGATTATTCCCATTGAGGGCAGCAGCGGCCATTTTCTCCAATTTGTCCTTGAGTTCCTTATTCTTCCTCTGGAGGTCAACAATGACTGAATTCAGGAACTCAATCTGTGAAGGAGATACACAGCATTAGCTCCAGTGCTGCTGATGATTAATGGTTATTATCCAGTAACACATTTTCTTACATAATATTTATTTTAAAAAATGATATAGGGTCTCCCTGTGAGGCTCATTCATTATATAAAGTGCCAAGACTTTGCCTTAATCCTATTGGACTATAGGTAGTATAATAGTAACCATGCCTAACCTTATCCCCCCCAAATAATTAACCCAATTTTGATAATGTCGAATGACCACTGTGAGTTGCTAGCCAAAGAAAAATCGAAGCTTGGAGAGTCAGTAAAATACCCACTTATGACGTGTCTTACTTAGTAAAAGTAATCCTTAACAGATCTGTTATCTGCTAAGCTTCTATGATTAACTGCAATTTTACCGAGGAATTTCAACAGAGAGCTTAATGAGTGCGAAAGGTATTGAGAAATCAAGCTTGATTTGTCTTTGGAAGATAGTTTGACACCAACTATAATGTGACGAAACATGAGAGCCACAGTGACAGTGACAGAAAAACATGCACAAGTGAAGCTGATGAAAAACATTAACAAACCGCTGCCTGATGGTGGTGTAGCATTGCCAACATCAGAGACAGGGCAGAGAAGAGGAATTGGGATTTAAGAAAGAGGAGGGAGAAAAAAAAATTTAAATTCAAATTAGGACCTACTTACTGCCAGGCAACACACTCAAATCATCACTGATGCAGATAATACAGTATAACGTTTCAGAATAAACAGAGGCTGGAGGTTCTGAGAATGATGACACGGCATCATCCCACCACTGTGGGTGAAATGCTCCAATAAAACTGAGATATCAACTCATGTCTATTACCAATGTAAGAGCGGAGATGATGTCACAAGCTAGATATGCTTGTAAAGAAATTTCAAATCAATTTTACACCCATTTCGCCTCTGTAAACATTATACTGTAACAGCTACATGAGTCAACAGTTAAACTGTAAAGTTCAGAAGTATTTGTTAGTAAATGTCTGAGTAAGCAGCACAGTCATTTCACAAACAGCATTCAGTAAGAATATTTCCCTACAACTGCCCCAATATGATGAAAATGTAAATTAGACCGAGTTAGTTATTGTCAAACCAGAAGATTCTATGGGCCAGGGTAGGGAAGCATCTTTACACCGAAGGTATGAAAGGCAAAAACTCTCAACCTATCCAGGCTATGATTGGTATTATTTAGGACGAGAGGAAAGATAAAACATACCTGACTCTCTGCAGTCTCCTTATCCTCCCTTAGTTGATCCAAAACTGCATCACCTAAAAACAACATCAGGTACAACATTAAAGGGGAACTTGGCAACTCTAGCCATTTCTTCGCTGGTTTTCACTTTTGTCGTCGCATGTTTTCTCAACGAGCTCCCCCTACAGCTCTGGGACGTATATTTCAAAACACTGTCGTAAAAAAACTCACACCCTCCTCCCCCTTTCTACCGCTGCTGATGTGCATTTGTTGCCAGGCAACTTTTTCGCATAGAGTAATGTCTACCGAGATGGATAATACATTCATCATCGCTTGTTCTTATAGCCGGCATGGCTAACCGGTATTGAGGGGGGCGTGTGCGTTTATGTGGAATTGCTGTAAAGCAGTTTGTGTTTCTCGCTCGTTCACGCTTCTCACGATACTTCCTATTTCCAACTTAACGGGACGGTAGTCCCATATGGAGGACTGAAAGTGCCACAATTAAATAAATAAATACACCATTAAATAATTACTTAAATGTGTCACTAATTAATTAAAATTGGAATTAAATACATAAGTGATATTAAATGTGTCATTAATTAATTCAAATACCGATTCATTTTATGTAAAATACATATATAATTATTTCACTATTTACATTTACATTTCATGGTCCTATCCCAAGGATTTCGTTGAGCAGAAGCCTAATGTGACCATACCTTGTTTGTTCCTAATTATCTGCCTTCATTTCGTCATCATGTGGTTAACACACTTGTACCATTACATGAAGATGATTGACATCACATAATTTTAAAGGGGTAAAGTACCTGAAAGCATTGTTTGGCAGGCTTTGAAGGAAAAGAGCAGCATGACATACCATCCATGTAATTACAATCGCACTGCATGTTAGCAAGTGTCACACAGGTGAAGGCATTTGTTCTTTTTTTTCCCAGTTCAGTGGCACACTAAACTCCCATATCATGGAAATGCTGCTACATGAGTCTAAGATTAATGCCTTTCTTCATCATCTGTGACATCAAAATATCAGATTTCCACAGTTAAAGAAAGTAAGCGTGCGTGCTGCTTGTAGTTCAGTTATAAAATCTTAGTGCACAATGGAGCGTCTCTCCTGCCAGGTTGCTGCAGCGCTGTCAGCTGCTATTCATATTGGACAGAAGTAGAGGAGGTCGTACTGCTGTTTAAAAGTGGTTTAACTGGGGTGTCCTGCCAGCTCAACAGGAAGACCCCCGTTTCCGACACAGTCATTTTGACACTCTGTAAAGTTTACAGTCTGATATGGTGTCACTCTGTGTACAATGACGCAGCTAAAAAACTAAAGTGCAGAGACTTGACTGACAAAATGCACGTCATTTTGGTGTCTTCTCGACTGATGGCGTGAATCATCGACCTTTTGTGGGCGGCCCCAGAGTACACAACGTAATCTTTTCTTCTTTTTGAGGTCACCTCACTGAGAACTGATACCAGAAATATGAACTCTGGTCTGGAGTTAAGCCCACTCTTACCTGAGAACGTGTTAATGGTGTCAGGCCCTGCAGTCAGATCCTTCTCCAGTCTCTGAATACGCTCCTGTAGATAGGCCTTGTCCTGCTCCAAGGCCTGAATTGTGCCCTGCAGTGTCTTAACTGAGGCACTTTCCCCACGTAGGACAGCCAGCTGGGAAGAAAACAACCCATGCTATTCAATACTGGAAAAATACTAAATATTACTCTTTGCTCTATAACAAATAGTGTTATGACAACGAGTAAAATCACTCAATGACATGTTCATTAACAACACTTATGCAAGCACAAATTCAATTCAAGCAGTTATTCAATCTACCAGTCGAGCGCGAGTACACAGTCCTTTGAAGAAATGTGTCACTAGGTTTTCACAGGGCTTACTTGCTCACAGTCGCATTTTCAGGTCAGGAAGGTTGTAGGATCCTTTGCATACACATTCAAAATGAAAGCTGGCCTACAAGTGACTCATATCTTGACTTGCATGAATTCATTTTGCGCAAGCTCAACAGTTCCGTCAATAAGACAATGGGGGCGTATCATCATGCAATAGCTTCTCACCTCATTCCTCATGGTTTCCACCTGCTGGTCCTTTTCTGAAATTAAGGCACTGTTTTTATGGATGGACTGTTGGAGGGTCGCCTTCTCCTTGTCAAACTGCTCCTTCAAGGTGCTCTCACTATCAAATACACAAAACCAAATCAATCTCAGAGGTACAGTACACAATCACTCCAGGCAAAGAATATATGGCCCCAATTTACCACATCGTTTCTCAGCAGATGTCCAACTTTGGAATTCAAACTATTTACCTGAGATTTGGGTTTCACAAATTTGAGGCGACATACAGAAAATTAAGAGCCATTTCTTCTCTGGCAGTAAATATATTTGTATGTAATATATAATTGTAATATTATATCATGTATATATCATGTTGACTGTTGGAGATTCAGAGCACAATGGCAAAAATCAGTAATGAAAGCAGATATAAAACTGTTAAGCAGGTGGGATGCTAAATAATATGTATATAGGATGTGTTGTGCATTGCCTTAATGTATGGTCACATTACATTTCAGTCCTACAAATATTGTTTCCCATTCCCTTCTATTGAAGTCTGTATGACTGAACAATTTAAGTGTGCGTTTTCTGGTCACAGTGCATCTTTATTTAGCTTTGACCGAGCGGATGTGCCTGTTCTGCACGGGCACACTGCTGTTAATATTTTAGCTTCTTCTTTAGTTTCTTCACCATTCTTAATACACTATCACACTACCAGAGTACAAACTGTAGTGTCGCTCTCATACACTTTCTGATTGCTCTTATCAAGACTTATTTATCTGCATCACAAACGTGACATCACATCCTTTTTTGGGGCCGCATGTGGGAACATTTCGTTGAGCAGAAGCCTAATGTGACCATACCTTGTTTGTTCCTAATTATCTGCCTTCATTTCGTCATCATGTGGTTAACACACTTGTACCATTACATGAAGATGATTGACATCACATAATTTTAAAGGGGTAAAGTACCTGAAAGCATTGTTTGGCAGGCTTTGAAGGAAAAGAGCAGCATGACATACCATCCATGTAATTACAATCGCACTGCATGTTAGCAAGTGTCACACAGGTGAAGGCATTTGTGCTTATTTAGGGAGCATGCCATAACATATTGGTGAATTTGCAGAGATGTGAGAAACTGCTTGAATCACAAAATGATAGTTTATTCTCTTACCTTTGCTTAAACTCTTTTAACTGCTTTTTGAGTTTTGAGTGCTCATCCTTGAGCTAGGAAAAAAAGAAAACACAGTTCAAATCCAATAATGGTCAGCAGATCAATAGCTTAAACACAAAATGTTCTGATGCTCGTAGGTTTATGTCAGATTCAGTTTTTAAATAAAGATGTAAAGTGTTGCACCTTCACAATATCACTCTGGCCTTTGTGATTGTTATCAAGCTCCTGAGTCAGCTTGTTGTTTTCATCTTGCAACATCTGCAGGGACTGCGTCTTCACAGAAACTGCTTCTTTAAGCTCCTCACTGAATAAATACAAGTGTTAAAATCATCAACCCACGTAGACAACATATTATAACAGCAGCCAAAATGAAGGATATACTCACATTTCCTGACACAGACTCTTAGCCCTCTGAGTTTCTGTGCAAAGCTGCTCTTTGGATAGATTCAATTCTTCTTGGTACTTGGATTTGTCTTTCCTCAATTGTTTTAGCTAAAAACAATAACGACAAACATATTCATTTTCACAACTATATGACACACATATGCCAATTACCAATTTTGTCTGTCAAGACCCATCTCTTACCTGGGTCTCCACCTCCTGCTTGGAGTTCTGGAGCTCTTCCAGCAAGGATTGGGCTTTGTTCTTCTCCTGCATCAAAATGGCTTTCTCTTTTGTGAGCTGTTCGAGAGCCTCAGCAGTCTTGCCAGAGGCCTCTGTAGCCTAAATGGTGCATGAGCAGGATATTTGCTAAGAACAACGGTTTCAAATCAAAAGTTGACATCAACGCTTAATGACTTTAACCAGCCACCAACCAAAATAATAATTGTGCAGGTCATTTGATGAAGCTATTCATAATGCATTGACTTCAACCAATTCTCTCATTTTGTTATTCAATAAATTAACTGCATGCTTAATGCAACCTTAATGACTGATTTAGAATCAATTATCCAAATCTCAGTTCGATGCAATTTTCAAGTGCATTCTGGTTGAGAATTAATAACATAACTACACATATACAATTATACTAAGGAGGAAATAAATTAGTATATACTCTACAATAATCTACAACCTGTGGCCTCAGAACGGATTCTGACAACACATCACCTTTTTTAATGTGTCAGATAAAAGAGATTATTGGGGCTATAATCATAAATAAGTGTGATGTAAATGTGTGTGAAGAAATCTCCACTCCTTTTTAGGTAAGTCTATTAACATCAATTATACAATCAAATAAAATATGAAACACCATTACATGGTGTGTGTGATAAAGATTACTTTACACCTACATAATCATACCCAGAAGAACTTGTGTTAGATCACGTTATAAGCCCACAGGCAAAGGCTGGGAACTAAGGGTAATAAACAGCGGTTAGTAAATGGAAGATGAAAGTTAAGACACGAAAATAAAAAGGACAGGGGAAAGGGAAACAAACCAGCAAGCATGCAGTGATTAGGTGACATAGCCCCAGCCATTCTAAGGTACGTGTCAGTGATTACTACTGGAGGAGGTATACCTCAAGCTGCTTAGAAATGGCATTTTTTAGTTGGCACTCGAGCTGCCTGACTTGCTGGGTAGCTTCATCTCTCTCCACCTGCAGGGCATCCTTCTGAGCTGTTAGATTTGAGATGCTGGAGGAACTCTCTTCTTTCATAACAGCAGAAGCCGATACCTCCTCAACAGCCTTCTTGTATTGCTTTTCTAAAAGTCCTTGTTCAGTCTGTAGGCCCTTGATATCAACCTCGAGTTGTTTCTGTCTAAGGTGCAACTTCTCTACCTCTCCTAGGAGTCTTGATCGTTCTGCAAGCCAGTTTTCTTGGCTTGTGCGGAGAGAAGAAAGGTCCTGCTCCAATTTACACTGTCCAGCCAAAAGGTCCTCTTTCTCTGTGGTAAGGGAGGTCATCTGTTTTTCCATCTCTTCACGCTTAGATAAAAGCTGTTCTTTATCTTCAGTCAACCGACTAGTTTCTTGTTCTTGCTGCTTCAATTGTGCTTTCAACGCATCCATATCCACCATAAAAGACTTATTTTGCTCATCAACATTCTTAAGGTTGGAAGAAAGCTCTTCGTTTTCTTGTGTAACTTCGGACAACGCTTTCTGCAGCTCCTCAATTTGTTTGGAAAGACCATCCTTGTCAGATATCACTTTATTCCGTTCACTGGATTCAGCCTGTAGCTGGGTCTCAAGAAGGTGCTTGGCCTCTGACACTGATTTTGTCTGACATTTTAACTCCTGGATCTCCAGAAGCAATTCCTGTTTCTCTTTCTGCAAGGACTGCAATTTTTTACCAGCCTCAGTCTGCAACGATTGCAGACACTGACAATCTTTTGTAAGGTTATCAATCTGTTGAACAAATTCTAAATTACCCTTCTCAAAATCAACTTTTAGTTTAGTATGCTCTTGAACAAGTTCAGTTTGGCCCTTTTCAAGAACTTCAATGTCAGACTTGTGTTTTTGCAGTTCATTTTGTAGGTCAGCCTTTTCTCGTTTCAAAGAGGTCATCTCTGCTTCAACTTCGTCTTTTTGCTGTTTGGTTTCCTCTAGCATTGTTGTTAAATGAGACTTATCTTGAATAAAAACAGCATTGTCTTTGGAGTAACTGTCTAACTGGTCCTTAGTTGTTCGGATATCACTAGCTAGTTTATCCCGCTCGAGAGACAGAGTATTTTTGTCAGACATGGCTTTTGTGTACTTCTCCTCCAATTCTCCCTTCTCCCCTGCCAAACGTTCACAATCCATTTTCTGCTGCTCTAGCGCTGCATCCAGGCTCATCTTTTCTTTTCGTATAGCATGTAGAGCCATCTCAGTTTCAGAATGCTGAAGGCGAAATGCTTGCTTCTCTTGCTCCAAAGATGATAATGCTTCTTTAAGTTTCTCATTGGACTGAGACAGTTGCTCCGTTGAGACTTGAACCTTCTCCTTTAATTCTTCTATCTCTCTGAGGAGCTCTTCCTTCTCATTACATACTTTTCTTTGGGTTGCAAGTAAGTCTTCTTTCTCCTGCAGAAGGTGAAGCCTCTCAGAATCAGTCACTTGACTGCTTGTCTTGAACTCTTCCAGCATCTGGGCCAGGCTCATTTTTGAGGCTTTAAGTTCTTCACATTCACGGACAGAGATCTCCAAGTCTTTCTTTGTACCAGTGAGCTTATTCTGGAGCTCCTCCTTTACTGTCTCAAGGCTCTTTTTATCCAACAAAGCAGCACTGATTTCAGAGGACAGCTCCACCTTCTCTTTTGACAATGTTTCTGTGAGGGCCTGCAGCTGGGTATTCTTCATAGTAAGATCTTCTTTTTCTAAGTTCAAGGATTTAAGTTTTGCCTGCAACTCAGCATTCTTAGCATCAAGAGATTTTTTGGCATTTCTAGCAGAATCTCTCTCTAAAACTAGATTGTCCTTTTCACATGTGAACTTTGACCTGCTGTCATTGAGGTCATCTTCAAGTCGGTTCCTTTCTTTGCAGACATTTTCATAATCATCAAGAAGTTGCTTCTTTTTAGCCTCAATCTGCTGGATGTCATGTTGATGCTTTAAGAGCAAGTCATTCTTCTCTGTATTTTGTCTTTGAAGCTCCTCAATATGGGCCTGGTGTTCACTTTTAGCATTCTTCAGGTTTTTGTTTTCAGTCTGGACTTCCTGAAGAAGATCTTTGAGCTTCTCCAACTCCTTGTTCAATGAAAATCTTTCTTCATCTGAGCGCTTCTTACTGTTGAGTAGTTCCTCTTGAGTTTTTGAAAGCTTATCCCTTGTTATTAGCAGTTCTTCATTCTTTACTGAGAGCTCTTGGTGACTTATCTCAAGGGCAGAGAGCTTAGTCTGGACATCTGAAAGCTGTTTCTCCAGTATGCCTTTCTCAGCCTTAACAGCCTCACTTTCCTTACACATATTTTCCAGATCTAGACTCTGCTTTTCCAGTTTTTTGGACAAATGTTCAACATCATGCTTGTAGGAGTCAAGTTCAGCAGAAAGACACTGGGAAAATAAAGTTGAAAGAAAAAAAAGGAGGGGAATATATATATACACAGGGAAAAGAAAGATGAATCCAAAAATAAACCAAGCAGATATGCACATAAGTGATATGCAATTGGAAAGGTTAAGCAATAGAAGCATCAAAAATGGCAGAAGACACACCACAGCTTACACCACAATGGAAAAATAAAAGTGGAACATTTTCACTTCAGCCCTTACTTACTTTATATAAATGTATTAATTACATTGATGCCAACAACTTTCACTGGCATATAAACAAACAGTTTTAGACAAACAAAGAGTTGATCCATGATGTTCAAGTACTTTCTGTATATAATGGCGTTAGATAGAAATGAAGAGAAAATGTATACTTTATAAGCCAAAGTTGTCCTTGAATGTAGAAATACACACAAAAACCAAACTTTTTGTTAGAAAGTGAAAATGCTCTACTTAAATGAAATATCAGGCTAATAAACAATGCTAGCAGGGATACACAGGAAAAGCAATTATCACTTAATTTTAGCTCAACAGCTAAACAGACTCAACTTGAATCCCCAGAGCATAAATATCCATTAAACAGCCACAACAAAACTATTTTCTGTGAAAAATTTATTTGGCTTTCCAATAAATTGTCTTTAAAGACCCCTGCAAGCCCATAGCCCATGCTAAGATGAATATGAAAACAGAGGTTATTAGCCTTAATATCGCAGGAAAATTAGCAACTCATCACAAATAATCTGTATGGTGGTAATTAAGAATGAAAATGTTGATGACAACATTAATTCATTTACTGATGTTAAATGAAGACATAAATATTACACATTTACATATAGGTCTGCCACTTTGCTGTAAAGCTTGGTTTCACGTTCAGTCTTGGTCTTCAAACTGTCTGTCCGCAACATCTAATGTAATAAACATCACCTTTCTTGATGTATCAAATTATCATCAACAAAAAGGATAGGTCACACTTTTCCTGATAATTTTTAATGAGTGAACATTAGTATAATAATACCATCATACATCAAAAACCTTTTAACTTCAATTGAGTTATTTGCGGAAAATGTAAAACATGTTGATTAAACTAATGTGTCTACACTTTTGAGGGTTTGTTCTTACCTGAACCTGTTCCTTGTATGGCTGCAGCTCAGATACCAACTTGTCCAACTCCTGGGTTTTGTCCTTGGAGGAGGAGAGGTCCTGCTTCAGCTTGTCAACTTGATTCTGCAGTACCTCAAGTTCCTTCACATGAAGCTCTGAAGCCTGAGAGAGGGATTTCTCTTGTGAGGCCTTCAGCTCCTCAACCAAGGTCTCACCCTGTTTAACAGTATTCTCCTAGAAAACAGGAAATGAGAAAGGCAATAACAAGTCATATTAAAACATGTATCTACTTTTTTCGAAGCAGCCAGTGACTGAAGGAGACAGGTAGAAGATGCTACAAATTGTAATGTCTATAAAACTATTTCTGTCTTTATCTGAAATATAATTTTCAAACACAAATATTTTTTTGTGACTGCCCTACAATACTAACCAAGTTAGCAATCTTCTCCTGAAGGCTACTTATTTGAGACTGATGTTTATCTCTGGTCTCTTTCAGCTCCTGCTCTTTACGGGACTGTTCCTGCTGGAGTTGTTCATTCAAGTGTGCCGCCCTCTCCTTCTCCTCTGCTAGTTGGCTCTGTAACTCCTCGAGCCTCCTTAATGATGACAAAAAAAGAGGATGTTTGAGAAGATGTTCAGTGACAGGTTAGATAACTGAAAAAAAGTAAGTAAAGCATAGAATAAAATAAGATTTGCATATTGATTTTAACATGCCATAGTGAAATAAGAATCATATTGTGACATGATTGGTATAATTTGTGGAGTAATGGAGTGATATAGGAGCAGGGAACAATAAAGTGTGGTACCTTTCTTTCTGTATGAGGTCTTCATTCATTTTGGTCAGCTGTACTGAACTATCACCAGATGCCGTCATCATGTCTGAAATATCATTTTCCAGCTTGCTTTTGTCTTTTGAAAGCTGCTCAAGCTTCTCATCTGCAGCCTTCAGCTTCCTCTCCAGCCCTGAGTGAATCCAAGACGAGTTTGTTTATAGGTTTTACAGTTATTATTCAATGATAAAGGGGAAAAAAACATAACACACCAATAATACAAACTACTTAGAAAACATTTAACACAAAAGAATGCATTTCAAATATTGTCACCAGCAAGTTGACTTCTTAGAGACTCTGATTCTGTGGTCAGGGATGTGCACTGCTCTTCCTTATTACTGAGCTTCTCAAGTGTTTCTGCAAAAATAAAAATGTTACATTTTAGATGCTAGAAGACTTTGTAAACTGAAGAAGGCCGAACAGTAGCAGATGACAGGTAAGAAAGGTGGGAGGAAAAACTGAACGAAGAATAAATGCTTATTTAATTTACCTTGCATAGTTTTTGCTGATTTTGCCTGCTCCTCTGTGCTTTCAGACAACTTTTGTTTCTGTGGGGAGAAATAATATTGCATCAAATTTCTGTACATGATTGCACTAGAAAAAAGTACAAGTCAATATTGAGTGTTGTTTAAGATTTCTGTGGGTTGTACAGCATTTAAATGTGTCTAATGCAAAAAGGTACTATTATCTACATCCAGAAACAAGGCATAAGCCTCACCAGGCCTCCAAGGTCCTGTTCCAGGGTGTCCTTCTCCTGCTGTACAGTGGTCAGACGCTCCTGTAAAGAGAGGACTTCCTGCTGCCTGCCCTCCAACTGAGAGCTCAATTCACCAACCTACAGCACATGTCAAGTAGAAAATACAGGGGACAGAAGAGCAGAAACAAACAGAAAAGAAATATTAAAACAAAACAATCATTGTCTAACAATGCCATACTAACCTTACAGAAGAAATATCAACACCACCTCACTAAAACATGAGACACACTGAAAAGGAAGTATTTAAAGAGGCAAGAGGTGAATAAGAACCCACCTTGGCACCTTGGTTGTTTCCTTGGCTCTGAACCACCTCTAATTGACTCTTCAGGGTTTCAATCTCCTGGTTACATTGTGCTACTTGGCTGCGGAGAGCCACTATTTCTGCCATCTGCTCTTTGGTTTCTCTGACCGTATCTTGGGCCTGTTGTGCCAAACTTGCTTCTTTCTCCTCAAGCTCCTTTACCCTAAGTTCGGCAGCATGAAGCTTTCCAAGAACATCCTCCATCTCCACAAGGTGCTGCTCCTCTGTTTTTTCAACACTGGACCGTAGCAACTCCTCCAGTCGCTCCTTGTCATCAGTCAAAGACGACAGCTGTGCCTTCAGGGCCTGCATCTCCCGAGTCCAAACTGTGGCGTCAGCTTCATGTTTGGCTTCAGCCTCCTCTACAGCAAACTTGTGCTCCAATTTCAGCCTTTCTAGTGTACTTTTGGTTTCTACAAGTTCTTCTGTCTGTGCGCCTGCACCTTTGCTGAACGACACTTTCAGCTCCTCCATGGCTTGCTGGTGAGAGACGACGGCAGACTCCAACTTGGAACGCCAAAGTTCAATAATGTCGGCGTTCTCTTTCTCAGCCTGGCTTAAGCGCATCTGCATCTGCTCGTTGTCACCAGAAAGCCTTACAGATGTAGTCTGAAGCTGGGCAACTGCCTCACTGTGGCTCTTTTCTTGAGCTTCTAGCTTCTCCTTATATTTTGCCAACTCTTCTTGTTGTTTAGCTTCTTGGGAAGCCAACTGATCCCTCAGAGAATTTATCTCTTCGAGAAGGGGAGAAAGAGTAGAGTTTGAGTCCTCAGAGCCCAGCTGGGTCCCAAGACGTAGCTTCAGGTCAGCTACCTCTCTTGTTCGCAGTGAAAGGTCCCTCTCAAGCTCCATAATACGGGATCTTTCTGACACAGTAGCAACCTTTAAAAGCAGAAATCTTAAATTTAAAAATGCGTCCAAAACATATTGACCCACTGTACTAACAAAAGTGTGTTAGGGACTTAATCATACTATACAGTTACTGAAAGAATGAAAAACTAATTGGTAACTGCCATAATGGATAGCAAAGCACTTGGTAATTGTAAAAAGTAGGCTTGCTTTTTGATCCCAAAAACAAGATGTTATACTGACCTCTTGGGGCTATAAAGGGTATGGTCCAAATAATGGAAGTGAACACTGAAAGCATGTATGGCGCTATAGTAGTGTGTAGACATTTTCCACTATCCATTAAACTAAAAAATTCATGCCATGATTTAGGAGAGGTATGAACTAAGAAAAACCCTGAGGGAGCATTGACATGTTCCATTCTTTGTATGTAAATCCAGCTATGTTTATTCTAATGTTCTTTAAAAATGCATCTCTATTTGCAGTTTAAACTTAATATTTAATGACTTGGTTAAGACAGATGAATAATTTAATCAAAATCAACATTTTCTTAATAAAATAACTCAAAACATAACCTGTAAAAACTATGACCCGCATCCTCACAAAACTATAGGACTATATTTTTGCTGATACGTCTTATATCTATAATACCCTAGGGCAACACGAGGATGCGTAGTCTGGGAGGTGCAGCGGATTTTTGACTAGCAAAACGCAGAGACACCAAATAAGCAGGACAAATGGATGCTGGGAAGGACTTGGGAATAGAACATAGGATAACTGGGAAAATGATTAGCTGGGACAGGGAGAAGTTTGTCTGTCTGGTTAAGCAGTGATTCTAGTAAAGCAAGAGTGAGTTCAAGTTGGGTAACTTATTAGAAAATAGTACAAGTAAAAGAGCTGTCACTCAAGACAGCTGAAAGATGCACGTGGTTATTTTTTTTTTTAGTTATAACAGAAATTTTGTAACATAATGGAATTTTGCGTGGATCCATTTAAATGTGAGAGAAGTTAATATTTCCAAAATAGTCAACAAATGAATCTGCCACAAATTAGGATGCTGAATTTGCATATCTAAGCTTTACGCAGGATGGACTGATTTGAGCATTTAAATAAACCTAACATATATATTAGTTTATTATTTGATTTAATTTGTTTGTTGTAAAAGCAGGAGTATTTCTTAGGCAAAGCTCAAAAAATGCATTTGTGGGGTTCATTTACCACAAGCCCATACAAAGCAAAGCTCGAGTTGCTGTTTGGCACCTCTCGGTACCACTTGCAAATTATTGGCCACTATCCCCGGCCCAGGCCCTCTTTTCCAACGCAGCACACTGCAGAGCAGAATTCATTACCCTAGTGTCTTCTAACTCTCTTTGGAGTTTCTCAGCTTTGGTCTTTTCAAAGAGCAGGCTCTGTTCAAGCTCCTTAATGTGGGCATGCTCCAGTCTGGTCTGCGTCTGTTAGTAAACAAGGGGGAGAGGAAGAGAACACACCAGTGCCACCATCACATGCCAGCCCAACGCAGACAGAAAGGGAGGGAGACAGGAGAGAGGATGGAGGGGTTTGGACGATGACAATGGTGATGGTGTGTGTGCGTGTGCGTGTCTTTGTGTATGAGACTCGGGAAAGTGTATTGAGTGGGGGTGGGGAGTGGCGGATGAGTGGAAATGGGAGGACACCCCATGCAGAACTTTCAGGCTGTGCCATAAATAGTTGCATACTGGGAATTGTGTGAAAGAATGGTGGGAAATACGGAATGAGCGGCAAAAGAGGGGGGGCATGTGTTATGGATGTGCAGAATGAGTATGTTGATGGAGGCAGTTTAGAAGTAACCATGCAAAATTGACACCTGGTGAACAAAGCACATCGATTGTTATGATACATAGAAATTTAATAATATGTCAAGCCAGCAAGTAAATTAAGTGAAAATTATTTCCCCACATCATGGAGAGAAAGCAGTGATGGTTGTTTCCTGATCCCTATACTTCTTTCTGTAACGTGAAGCCAATGCACTTTATTATTAAGTTATTGTTGTAGATAGAAAGTCACTATAAAAAGATATGTTTCTACATTTTTTGTATTTTCAACTAAACCCACATTATGTCTTGATTTTGCACTCAGAAACTCATAAACCCTGTATCTTTTTGAATATCCACACTGCTTTCTCTCTTTGGTTATAAGGCCATTGTCCACACTGTACACAGTAAGTATTATAAGAAACCACCAGTTATCAGACCACCATGTGCAGGATTTGTGACCAACTTAACAAAAATCAATCAGTAAGATAGAAGCATGTCAGGCTCAAGAAACAGAAAGCATTCCCATTTCACTTCTTGGTATTGTGTCCTATGAATAAGTGTTTTATGGGATCTTAATGAAGCCTTTCCTGGCACAATTTTGTGCTTCTAGTCTTACATGTTACAAGTGTATGTAGACCTAGAGTTTCATTTTAAAAAGGGGAATAACACCAATTTTAAATGTTATACTAGTGGCCCAACCCAGGTAATACAACATGAACACAATCTGACAAAGTGAGCTGTCATGTCTAACTAAATAACTAACTAACTAATAAACCACATTCAAAGGTAATGAATGAGGAAAGAAGGTTATGATTATGAAACTATAACAAATACATTTTAGGGCTCACTGGATATTTTCTGTGTACTTCTAATGAAGGAATACACAGAAACAGTTGCACTGTCTATTGTCGATGGAGTAGGTATCAACTATACTGTAGCCTGGTACGTATATCTTTGTGTAAAAATAATCACATTTGAATTCTTAAACTGAGTGTTAGTCCCCCTTTGTTGAAGTGAGCAAACTGAATTCAGGTCTGTGACTGGGCAGTGGAATGACAAGGGAGCATCTCCAGTGGTTCCATGCTGAGCACTGGACCAACATGAAAGACGAGGACGAGAAGGAAAAAGAAGCAATAACGTCACATCACTGAACAGGGAGGCACTGAGGGTTATAGCATAACATTAGTACACCTTCAACAGTTTGAAGTCAATAAAGCAGTTGTGGCCTATTCGGAGAGATTTTCTGTCCGTGTGTTTCAAGCTACATGCAAGTTTTTAAATATATCCACAGCTGTGAGTAAGAAATAAAATGTTAGTATACACGTTTAAAAAGAAGATAAAGGGATACTCTAACCCTGTAGCCCTCATTTTAAACATCTATTTTGAGCTTGGATGCCTTCAGGGTAACTGAGATGATCCCCTGTGTAGCACTGTGGAATAAATAACAAATCCTTTGATCAGATATGAACACAGATAATAATGGGCCCCAATACTCTGCTTATCATTAGTTGGGATAAGAACATCACTCACTTGAGAAAAAGACAATGAGTAATCAGAGCCTACTGTATAAAATGACTATAAAATATTATGTGAAGGAAAAGGCTAAATGCATGCCTTTTCATAACAATCGCCATAGCTTTCATAATTAACTAGGAGAGCAAAATATTTTATCAATCCATAATAAGTAAACATTAATAAAAAAAATTTTTAGGTGGAGAGTTCCATAAACATATCATTTATCTTTCGACATTAATACGTTTTTCACTTGGCTAACCCTAGTACAACAATGAATTAGCCTATTAAGAAGACAGGTTTAGTGACCTGGTATGTATTTATTTCTGGTGGCCTGTTCTTGACATCAAAGCCACAGCCTTTCTGCACCACTGGGTGCATTTGACAGCATATCATCTAATGAAAGATGAAGCCAGTATCATGCAAACATTCCTACTAAGACTGCATAGTGTAATGTTTCTACTTCTAACATAAATGAGAGATAATGCAAATGCTCTGCCTGGACCCAACTGTAGCTCTGTGACAAGGGATACCAGTTAATCATGTGCAATCTTAAAGTGCATTGAACCTGCACTCAAAGAAACAAAAACATTTAAATCACTTTGCCATGGATATAGAGAAATGTTTGTGTGAACTGGAATCCTGAAATGGAGCTAGGATGCAAGGTGACTGAAGCACCTGCTGCTTCTGAGTTTATATTCAAATTTTATTTAAGAAAAGTACTAGAATTGCAGTCTGGTTTAATATTATTGAACTGATAATTTTGTTTGATTGTTTTGTTTTAAAAAATTCAATAAAGTGTGTTTGTTTCAATTCTGTGTATCTGTGTTGTGCATTTACCTCTAGGTCTCCTTTGGTAATGCAAGCTTCCTCTACACGGAATTGAAGGTCCTCCACCTTCCTATTGAATAGAAAGAAAAAAAATATCTTGTTGTTGTTCAACATATCTGCGGAACTAATGACCTTTAACTACAATGACCAAGAGCAAGGTTAGGCCAATTCAGGCACAGCTCTTTTCTCGTGGCGTTATAGGACTGTAATAGTATACACAGCATTATGATCTTTGCTGCCATTTTCTAATTTTCTGTCCAAACAAACTAACCTCATAATATCAAAACTCTGAATGACTGTCATGGGTGACTAGTCACACCTCTGGGAATCCTTACCTACGCTCCTCCTCCAGCTGATTGAGCAGTTCGACTTTGTCTTTGTCAGCAGCTTCTACCAAGGCACGTAACTGGTCCATCTTAGCCTCCATCTTCAACAGAAAGGTTGACATTGGACAAAAAAATCAATATAGAAGACGAGTCAATTATTCCCTAATTTATAATCAACAGGAGAATCATGCAGTTTTATTACGAAAACAGTGGGTGAGCTGACCTGCTCCTGATCATCCCTGAGCAGGCTAATTTCTTGCTCCATCTCTCCAACATGGCCAGTGGCCTTGGCAACTTCAGCTCTCTCCATGTCCCTCTCAGCCATTAGCTGCTCAATATGCTGCTGCTTTTCCTTCAGCGCCTCTTGCAGGGCTGTGGTGCCTGAAATCTTACGGTTATACCGTGACGATGTCTCTGTTAGCTATGGAGTGACAGAACACAAGCATGGTCAGAGTGCTGAGTAGGCACCACATTAAAATGATGGATGAGTACTTTCTAACACTGTTGAAACTCAGTATGTCCATGTCTCACCAGGCCTGTGCGGCTGGGCTTAGCGCTGACAGAGGATGCCACAGAGCTCATGGTACTGATGGAGGAAGCACTAGGGCTGCGCTTTAGCCCTGATGGTGTGGCCACTACTTTCCGAACTGTTGTTTTTGCTTTGGCTGGTGTGGTGGAAGGGAAGCCAATGCGTGTGACTTTGTGCACTGGAGCAAATAAGCCATACTTGGGTTGACACTGAAAATATCTGGGGACAGATTTGAATACAATCATGATTATGAAAGTCATAGTATATAGTTAGCAAGTATAACAAATTTTCTTTTAGTTATTAACAGATCCAGTGGATTTTGTACCTTGTGCCTGCCACTGCGCCGTCATTCTTTCCTAAAGGCTCATCCAATTCCACACCACACCACTCGCCTTTGGCGAAATCTGTTTCTCCAAGGAAACGTACCACCCCTGCCTTTGTACCACCAACCTTAGAAGAAAACAACAAATGTTAACAAACATTTAATATCCTCAACAGATAAGAGGATGACTAAAGAGCTTTGCCTGGTGAACCTGTGAGATAATTCCATTGAAGCAACAGAAACAAACATATACAAGCTTTGAGTAGAATGTGGCCAACCTGTCAACATGTGAAACTGTTTTTGTTTGAAATGTTCTTTTCTTTCATATATTTAAAAAAGGTCGAATGAGTAACATTTGGATTTCGAAAAGAAACTGATAAATATTCTTTGGCGAATCTACATCTGTATGTAAGCAAAGAAACTTTAAAAGGTTACATTTAAAAAATGAATTAATTTTAAATATAACTGGAAAAGTAAAACAATGTGTCCTTAAGCAAAGAGGAGAAATATGGCTCTGAAATAATGTACAAGTTTGTTTGTAAAACAAATATTTCTGAGTGGATCGTTGAAATAAACTAAAATATGGAAAGACTTGTAAAACATGACCCATTTAACAGTTTGTTTGTACATGTCCAAATGTTCTGTAATATTGCAATTAATTTCCAACATGCGTGTATATAACCATAATTAGAAGATCAAGCAGAAGTTTAAGTACATTGAAAACCTATTAACATCACTGCACTCCAGGGAAGTTATTTTTTTTTACTTTACCAATACACGGTCGCCTATCTTCAGTTCCCTTTCTCCCTTCTTGACTGATCCAGTCTCTGAGAGGTTGGAGACAGATTCACTGTTTGTGCGTGCAAGGTTGGAAGATGGTGTAGCTGGTGTAGCCGGCGTAGCTGGAGTAGCTGGCGTAGCTTGAGTAGCTGGAGTAGCTGGAGTAGTAGACGAGGCCTTCTTGGCTGCCGTGGTAGTTGAGGGTAATGTTGATTTTGTTGTGGGTGTATGTGAGGCTACACTACCAACTGAAGGAGTGGGCGATGAAGCGCGTGAGGGAGGTGCTGTCTGAGTTCCATTAGCCTCCCCTTCTGTGTGAGACAACTTGGATGGGCGGGTGAATATTCCTCGCAGGGCTTCGCACTGGAAGTAGCGCACCCCTGCCACCGACCCGTCATTTTTCCCAATTGGCTCATCTAAAACAATCCCTGCCCACTGTCCTGGGGCAAACTGTGTCTCTCCCAAAAACTGTATGTAGCCTGGCTTATTCCCATTCACCCATACTCGCTCCCCAGTCTGGAAGTTCTCCCCACCACTCTGGCCATCTCCTCCACTGGCACTTGCAGCCGATTTGTCGGCCGCAGCAACTTTCGCTCCTGCTGAAAAATAAGGAAAGAGGAAGGGGAGAGAGGAAGAGAAAAACGGTTTTTAAAACTCAATTGAGTAATTGACATGAGAAAGATAAATGTCACAATTGCTGTGCAAAATATCATGTGATTTGATTTCATGTCCAGATTATAGTAAGTTTATTCTTTCCTCTGTTTAAATGTATTTACTTACTAGCTTTACATTAAATCACTTGTTTTTATTGACAGGGTCTACTGTGACAATTCAATATTATTGTTTATTATCTTTCCATATATGTATTGTAACAAAATACAAAGAATGCTTAAATAATTGAGATCATATATACTTTTTACTAGTGATTCAAATGGATGGTTTGGGTATAGTGAAGTGGGGTTGTGTGGGGTAGGTAAAAAGCAGCCTGAGAGATAGACAGGAAATTGGGGGAGAAGGGGGGATGATACGCATCAAAGCACATGTCAGCCTTGGTACATGGAGCACAAATGTGAAGTTTGATTAGTTTGAGATCTGGTAACTTTCTGACCCAAACAGGTGATCTGCGAGTTAATACAGCGCACAGCACAGCTAGGTTTATGCGCAGAAGTTCTGCAGTTAGTGCTGCCAACGAGCACTTGGCTGTCTGACCTCAAGATAAAGCAGTGAAAATATTCTTAACATAGCATACACTTTGAGGTGGGCCTGTTTTATGTGGCTAAAATATTTCTTTCTGCAACCCCTGTCCACAGCGGTATATAGCTCTGCTTCTGTGCCAGTATCCCTGTCTGCAAGCGGACTGACAAATAAACTGACTATGGATGTGTATCCCACACAACACACAAAAGCAAGTGTCTAAATGCCAACAGCACAAACAATTAAACTCGGCTTGTTAGATCCACCACAGTCTCCATTAGACATGACTTCTTTTTCTTTTGGCAGTTAGATGTTTATAGGAGCATAAAAAAAACAAGGTTCTGAACCTCACTGTTTATTCATAAAAACTGGCTAAGTGTCTTCATCAAATACCAAGGTGGGTCTCCTGTTGTATAGTTTGGCTCACAGGAAGTAGGCTGTGGGGATAAGCCAGTCAGTGGCCGGCTTTTTCAGCTGGAATTCTCCTCCCCTTCAACTATCTTCAGACACTATTTTGCACCAGGCACTGTAACTGCATCCTGCACTTAGCATTACCCAAGACACTATGTGACTGATTTAAAGACATACCACACCTTTTCTCCACTGCTGGAACTAAAATTAAGTGTGGAGAAGTCCCTTGTGTTAAGATAAAACAGCTGTTAGTGTGTCTCATATTTTATGTGTTCTCTCAATCTAACGAAACTGTCTAATGAAATTGACCATCTCGTTTATCGGTTCTGGCTGGAGTTGCTGACTAAAGACAGCATGAACCCACAGAAAAGTCTGTTTAGCCACAGCCTGCCACAAGCTGAGCTATATCACGGCAAAAACTGGCACCAAGCACAATGTAAACAGGTCTGCTGACAAGTATGGGGACAGTGTGGCACATGTGACATGAGGTCACATTCACAAGCCCTATTGAAAAGATATAAAATCCCTTGGTACCACTCACAGCACTCTAACTACCAACAAAACAACCCCTGGCTAAAGAACATTCAAGGGCAAACATTGCACTGCCACATGTTCACCACAATTTTAAGAAGCTACACATGAAAAAAAGTTTCTTACCTGCGCTGGGGTTGGTTCTGGGGGCTGCTGTCCCAGGTTGCTTCGATATCTTGCTGGGCACTTTGATCCCACTGGGCTTAGCTGTGCTCATGTTTCCTCCTGTGATCTCTTAGACCAACAAGGCTTGTGTCCGTCAGTGGGTACAGACTGACCCCAGACCATGAAAACAAATGGTTGCAGCTCTGCGATGGCGAAGTTGTTCCGCACCAAAATCAATTCAACAAAAAATTAAAATAAAAACAAATAAAAAGTTTTAAACAAAAAAGAAAAAACCAGGAAAAGGGAGGAGGGAGAAAAAGTGCTGCCCACGAAAAGCACCCTGTTTGGAGAGACAAAAAAACAAAAAAAACATTATTTGATTTCATTTAGGTTTACTCAATTCAATTTTTACTAAGCACTGAGAGTAGAGATGGCTAATTAACTAGTAATTTAACAACAAGTTAATTAATCATTTGGGGAAATGTACTTTTCTTGCCTCTGATTCTGCTTAGTAACCTTGAAAATAAATAGTAAATACAAATATGCCTTGGAGGCATGTTTATGTACTTTGTTTTTGGTGCTCCGTTAATGGAAGCATTTTGTTTCTGTTATGACAACAAGCTCCTCAGCACACACCACGTCACAGACCTAAAAATACTCTGTCAAAGGCCAAATGATATGCAGTCTATGTTACTGCCATCATGAACACCTCAATAGCTCATCATCTGTGACCTTGACCATAATACACACAGTACCACAAACAAAGTCTCTCACTCAATCCATCATTCTGGCACGCAAAATCATGCAAATCTGGTTGGCAGATTTTTATAAAATAGGATTACTGTAGAAACAAGACCACCACCAGCAGCAGCAGCTGATCCTATTTGTCAGATTACCCTACCACAGAAACTGCACTAGCTGAATGTACTATTTAAACACAGTCCCTCTGTTGTTAGTTGTGTTCTGACATTGAGGCAGTAGGATTGTTTTTATACACTGATAGCCTTTATTATTTATATCAAACAAGAGCAAAACTACTGAAAAGCTTCGCAATCCAGGCCAATCTGTAGTACCTCAGACATTTCAGTGGAGGATTACCAACATGATCTCTACAAATCAGGAGCACAGAGAGTCTACAACACTAAGTCTGATGCTTGGTAGTGCAACCACAATCAGTAAAAATGAACCACACACAAGCAGCCTAAAGCAAGGATGAGCTGCTTTGTCAACAACATGACCCACTGCACAGCGTATGTGAACAAACATGCCTCTATAATTAAGCCTTATTGCAACCTTACATTTGGTTAAAAAAATAAAATAAAATCATGTTAGGACAATATGCATACAACCGTTACCAAAGGGACTTAAACATTATTGAATATAGTTATTGGATTTCATGTGCTGCTCACCTGTCTGAGAACAGCGTCACTTTTGGATAAATTAGTGAGAACAGGGAGCTTATTGACTAATTATTAACAGAATCATTTTCTGTTACACACTGCATGCCAGTGCCTCAGAGCAGTGCTTTTGCTTATAATTACTCTTACCACAAATACAGAATATTAAATGGCTTGGATATATTTTTAAATGGTTTCATTATTTTCTGTCTTTAGCACAATTAATGACAGGAAGATCCTGCGGCAAAGTAACTTAATGGTGAATTCAGAAAATGTTCTGAATGTTCTAAGAGGGTGTTCGATTGGAAGTGGAGGCAATTCTTTTACTTGTCCTTTGCAGTAAAATAAACCTATATAAAATCAACCAACCCAGTGCCTTCACACTTCTCCTGCAAAGTCTGCAAACTGTTCTGAGTCAGTTTTAAAATCAGCCATGACGCTTGACCTCACACAAGGTAGAAACATAATATAGAACTTGTTCAACGGTGTCACACAAACATATCTTTCATTCCTGAAAGGGCCAAAGAGCTACAGTATGTAGGTTCATCGAAACAACCGAGGAGACACCATGTCTCACACCCTCCTAGATATTTCTCAGCAGTGGATAAAGGGTGGCCATCAGAAGGCAGCGACCTAGTTCAAATGCAGTGTTCCAGTTTTCGCCCGCTGTGTCTTTGAATGATACCGACTAGTGCCCTCAGGTCAGGACATCTCAATGGCTGAAGACCACATGGTTGAAATTAAAGTCACACAAAAGGAGCCTGTATGTGACTTTTAAAATCTTTAGTAATTCATTTTGCACCAAGAATAAAAGGGAAACTTGTATCAGTACCTAGTCTGATTAACTCAAAAAACAGCGAAACATGAGAAGAAAAAGTTTCTAAAAATCATAATGCATTGTGATGTAGTAGCACTCCACCAGGATTTACTACAACTGTCTTGTGAGCATTAACAAGAGACGTTTCAGCTCTGATTGGTGAACTGAAGCAGTCAGCTGAAAATGATCCACTTACTCTGGAGAATTTCCCACTGCAGTACTGTTAATCTTTTGCCACTGACTCTCACTCTAATCTGTAGGTAGGAAGAAAGCCAAATCAACATGTTTTGCAAAAGTTTAAGGGAATAAATATGCTGGTGTATTAAAAACTAGAATTCTTAAATACATTAAACATTAAGTAGTAGCCATACCCAAATCCCATATAGTCTGATTTAACCCAATAGAAACGGGTGGATGGCTAGCTTGTAAAACAGAACTGAGATTCACTCTACTTCTCAAAAAGACAGCATAGACATAATCAGCTTCCATGTTGGTAATGACAGACATTTATGTGCTCAGAGTCTGTCCAGGCAATGAACAGTATGAACCGCAATCATCAAAACAATGTTGGACAAACCTTCACACAGAATAAAACAAAATCCATCTGCGGAAGAATATCTTCATAACGCTGTTACATAGATAACCAGCTGACTGTTCAGGGTACAATACGTAGAATTTACATATTTTTTTAAGTTGAGCATATCTTGCTGACTACAGGAGTGCAAAACCACTTAAGATACAGACGATAGCTGAATTTGCCTGTCTGTTTTGTAACGACAGTAGAAACTCTTCACCCTCCCAAGTATTTATTAACTGATGGGAGGGTGTTATTGGTTACACAATCCAGAAGGCTTTCATTCCACATTGTTTTCCAGTGGCTAGCCTAATATTAGCCATTGACATCAAGAATACTGAAGTGCACGCAGGTTTCTTTGCAATGTTTTTACAGGAAGTCCAGCTGTGACTAACTGGTCTAGTCTACAGGCCTGGCTGCTGAGACATCCCTCTTCATTTTTGCTTCACACAGACATTCATTGTGAGATTCATAAGCCTAATCCAGTAAAACTCACATACAGTTTATACCAAAAGCACAACCTTAAATATTCAGAAGTGTGTATTCACTGACCACGTAACCTACACTCCTACACACTCGTTATTGTCATCACAAGGCAAAGGCAAGCTCTGGTTCTTCCTTTTTTGAGGAAACATCTGCTGGGATGATTATGTAGGCCCCTGCTAGTAACGACAGAGGAAGGTTTAGAAAAGCATTAACAGGACATAAGCACAGAATAAGAGCCAGAAGCATCCTGTGCCTTCAGTATTATGAACACAGATCCACCTGTTTAAAAGAGTCTGGCACTTACAATTGTTCCCAGACATAACTGAGACCTGGAATATAACTATATGGCCGGGTAGTCAAGGCTTCCACTGCAGCCCCAATGTAATATCCAGACTTTCCAGAACTAGTATAACCTCTTCAATTAGAGCAGATAGGGTGTATTACATTGAGTTACTGTAAAATCAAACATAATGGGCTCCATAGTGTACGGAAATCAACTAATATGATACATACTAAGACAAGATACTCATAAAAATATAGATATTTCTGTAATGTTTCCTGTAAGACATCCCCTCACCATAAATACCATATTGAGAGGTTCAAAGACTAGTAGATAATACAGGACTGTCAGAGTTTGAAGGGGTGTTGTCTTTGTAACCCATTAAAGCTTTAACTCATGCCCGTCAGTCCAAACAAGTTAAACTGCTTCTTGCCTGAAACAGAAAGGCTTCATTATAAATACCAAAGTCACACCTTTAAACCGCACTAGTGTCTAATGCAGAGACTCCTCTATTGCACAGCTGCTTCACTGACACATTACACGGTGTGCCTGTGCAGCTTCCCAGCAAGTGGCCTACCTCGCCTTGTCAAATCTATCAGTAGCCAGCGGACTGAGAGCTGTCGATGAGGTGGCACATCTGGTACGAGGGAAGTCTGTAAAAACCCATGTCAGCTTAAGTTACCTTACTAGCAAACTCTCTGATGAGACAATATCCCGTTTGTTAGGAGCTATATCGGTAGGCACATCCACATGTTCAAACATCCGAACAATAACCCCACTGACCGACCACCGTCCTAAGCACAACAACCGAAGCAAATTCCACAAGTCCAAAAGTCTCCGCAATGTCACCGAAGCTCCGGTAGGGCACACTGCTGCTACAAGTTGAGAGTCGGCATGACAAATTGTTACAGATAATACCACCTGAAAGGATAGCTCGCCGTATAATGCTGTTGTAATAAGCAGCACGCTGACTGCCCCTGCCACCTCCCCGGCTTAATCCCAGTCTGTTATCACGATAAGAATAGACGTGATTAGTTGCTAAGTAACGTTAGCAACGAGGCCCGAGCGAAACCGGTGGTCGGGGGACCGAGAGAAGCTGCTTAGCTAGCTAGCTGAACTAACACCTCAAGTAACGTCTACGCGTTTACCTGAACAACTTCAACCGCTCGTTTAGTTCACCCTAACTACTTTTATCAGCTCAGAGGGGGGGAGGAAAAAAAAGGAGAAGTACAGTTCACAGAAATACATGACCTCGACGCGATAGCTATTACTGACCTGATGTGTTTCTGTGCAGCCTACGTCTTCTGAGGGGGGGAAAAGAAATTACACAGCTAGCAAGCTAAGTGGAGAACCACCACCACCACGACGACGACGACTGCTGCTCGGATCAGACACAGGCAGGCACAGCCCAGTTTACGGGCTGTCTGTCCAACGGCCGAGGGGAACGTCAACGGTAGGTGTCGACCAAAGATGATATGTTCAGTAAGATGGGACACTCCTCAGAGAAACAACTTCCACACACACACAGACACAGAGAGAGAGAGAGAGAGAGAGAGAGAGAGAGAGAGAAGGGCGCAGCGATTAGGAAATCAAAGAGAATCACATAAAGCGAGATCGGGGTTAATACTTTGCTGGCAAGGTACAGGTATGTAGTGGTGTGTGTTAATGCTGTAAATAAAAACCGGTTTTAATGGCTTGGTGCAAATAAGCATACACCCATTAAAAAGCTTTGTCAGTGTTTAGGAATGGATTCATTGAAAAATGGTCTACAGTTAACGTTGTGTATTAATTTCAGACTTTTGAGAGGAGATTCATTAGATGCATACTAATAGAAAAGTTGGAATTGTTCAAATAAAGTCAAATTTGGTGGGGAAACTAAACTATCTGAGGAAAAAGAAAGTCTAAATTAATCAAAATGTAACTTGCATTCGGAATTTTTAATATAAAGACAGCATGTAAAAGTGGAGTTAAAAATCCTAAGCATATGGCTGCAAGGTACTATCTTTATTATTATTATTATTATTATTATTATTAACACGAGTATAGACACCATCAGTTTCACTTGACTTTGCAAGGGATTAAATAAATCTGTCCTTCTCTGGGCTTTCTCATAAATTGACAACACCCAGACACGAGCCTTTGTATGCATGTACATAGCTATGTATTGTATGTAGCTGTGCGAGTATGTGTAAGTCCTTTAAAAGTAAAGTGCAAGTATTTTATGCGCATGAGTGTATATTGCAATAATATACTATGCTGACTTTTTAAAACTGTAAATTCTGTAAATATTCTCAATTGCATCTATGAAATGATTAGAGATACCAATTTTCCTGCTCCTAAATTAATTATATTAAAGACTGTATGCATAAGAATAGTAGTTTTACCCACCAGGCAACCATTTTATAAATGCCTAATAATGACTGACTGACACTAACATGCATAGCTACCCTCTAAAGTCAAACATATTGCTTTATTAAAGTTGTGTTAAATCTGTATTTGGACATTTTATGATGCCTTTTTGCTGGTTAATCAGTTTGAAACGGGAGAATGAACTTTATTTCAGTGGTGATATGAATCTATTTGCTGAATGGTACAATAAAGTCAACAACTTGGGTCAACTCACAAAGAACTGCTAAAGATGTCTAACAACTATATACACTGTTAGCTCACATATTGGACCATCTGTACTGTCAACATACAGAAAGTTAAATTAAACCCATTTCTAGTCATAGGGTGCCAGATAAAATAACGCACTGAAGCAAATACAAGAATGTTTACTTGATGATTTTAGAACAATTCAAGTGGGACAAAAATAGAAAAAGCCATGTAAACACCATATTAAAATTAATACAGCTCAGGAAACAACCTTTTACAAATGTACAAGAAAATAAACCAAATGAGTAACACTACTGCTACAAAAAAATTAGACTAATTCACCTACGATCAATTGCTGTGGCAGCATCCCTCAATGCCCCTGTGTCATTGTATGTTAACAGATCAAATGTATATACAGCATAGACAATCAACTTGGTACAAAATAATAAACAGCTAAAAAACATGCTTGATAGGATGGTCATGAAAATGAAAATATAACTTCTTGCTTAAAAAATATCCATGTATACTCCTGTTTCAATGCAAGAAGGTAAACCTTTATTTCTTCTTTGCCAAATTTCGAGGGGAACTTTTAAGCAAGTCTCTGATCTTAAGGTATGTCCCTGTGGCTTCAGCAACCTCAGTGAATTCTGGTGTATCTTCAAATGGAACGATGCCAGCTGCAAAGTTGCTCCGATGAGGAACAGCGGTTACCTTTTCAAAATGCTTAGGAGATGCACAATCTCCAGCCCCGCCGTTAGAGAAATCTGGAACAGGGCTCTGAGGATTGTCTTCCTGGTATTTGAATGGAACAGGGCTCTGAAGGTTGTCGTCTTGGGTTTTGACTGGACCAGGACTCTGAAGGTTGTCAACTTGGGCTTTGACTGGACCAGGACTCTGAGGGCTGTCGTCTTGGGCTTTGACTGGACCAGGACTCTGAAGGTTGTCAACTTGGGCTTTGACTGGACCAGGACTCTGAGGGCTGTCGTCTTGGGTTTTGACTGGACCAGGACTCTGAAGGTTGTCGACTTGGGCTTTGACTGGACCAGGACTCTGAGGGCTGTCGTCTTGGGCTTTGACTGGACCAGGACTCTGAAGGTTGTCAACTTGGGCTTTGACTGGACCAGGACTCTGAGGGCTGTCGACTTGGGCTTTGACTGGACCAGGACTCTGAGGGCTGTCTTCTTGGGCTTTGACTGGTTCTGGGCTCTGGGGGCTGTCATCCTCAACTTTGACCGATGCAGAGGCCTGAGAGGAAATCTCTTGAATCCCTGGTTCCTTTGGATTTTCGCTGCTATGACAAGTTTCTGCCGGTTTTGTTGTGTCCATCGCTTCTTCAACATTTTCCGTTTCTGTGTCTACATGCACAGGCGTGGAAACACTTGGTGAACTGGGTACAGGTGTTCCCATTACAGGTGTGTCACAGTCACTATTGGTGGCAGTGTCAGCATTTTCTAACGCTGCCCAAATGAGCCTCTGCTGCTCTTCCAGTTCCTCCAGTGACAGGTCATCCTCTGGTTCCTCCACAGTCTCATCAACTGCTACCCAGTTACGCCCCCGCAGAGCTGGAGAGCCGTTGGTGGGTGTGGGAGGGGGTGTACCTTTAGGAAGAGGTGGGGGAGTGGGTGTAGCAGGAGGAGTGCCATGGGGTAAAGGAGGAGGTGAACTGAAGCAAGGCGAGCCAGGGGGCAGTGGAGGTTGAAACTGGAAGTCACCTGGGCCAGTATAATAAGGTGTTCCTGGATCTGAGGAAAGACATGAATAAAGTCACCCAAAAATTATGAAGTGACATTGGCCAAACAAAGAGACAGCGGATTCAAGTATTCGTGTATATTATTCTGCATTTCAGCTATGAATAAAACAAAAGATCTGTTTATTTTAGCATTTTAAGCATTAAGTCAAGAGAATAAAAGAGAGGATATGGAGAAATCAAGAGAGGAAAGTACAGATTACTGTTGCAGTTTTCGACTCTTAGCTAGTTTTAAAACATATCTTGTGTTCACTTGTAAAGGACATTTAAAATGCATAGTGATGTGCCTGCTGAAAAGAGAGACAAAATTAACAGTTACCTGATTCAATATCCATATCTGAGCTTCTATCCGAGTTTCGATCAGGACTGGACCTCGTCTTCTTCCTTAGCTGTGGAGATGAGTCAGATTCGTGCCGTCTCTTGTTGCAGGTGGCACCAGGCTGTTGGCAAGAAAGAAGGACACGTACAATCAAAGTATTCAAGGGCTCTTCCCAAAATACATAGTCATCACATCTCTTTTTCAGTCTGTAAACTGATAAGGATGGTAATGTGAAAATCCAGAGCCTGGAATGACAGAGAAGACTCTGCGCTTTAATTAGTATGACTGGCTGTTCAAATTTTTTGTCTAACTGTTAACTGCAGCACTTCAGTTCATCAATCCTCTATATGAATTACATATATTTCTGTATTCCTAATGTTCTTCTACAGTTTTGTGGAATATGTATTTAGTGTATTAATATGTAATCGTTCTTTTGGAAATGTTTGTAAAATCAATCATATAAGTATGTACATACTATGCATCTGATTTATGTTGAATGATAAGGATGCAACCACTTAAATTCCAAGTATTTTATGAATGAATAACCATGAGTAGTGAGGAAGCAGTATCAAGATTGAGAAGAGCCAAATTCATGTTTTAAAAGGTGCTAAAATTACTGCAATATCTATTATGGGGTTGTAATAATCCTCATGTAACATTAAAGCCCTCAGTATCTTCCATCTTTCATTTTAAGCCACAGTGGTGTCACGGAGCACAAGTACAGGTCTGACAAATAGTACCCGAGGTTGCAGTAGTGTTGACAGTAATATCTGTAGTTTGGTTAAAGCAGTGTAAGACAGTCAGATATGAAGTTGTTGCAGGAAGCAGGTTTGGACTACATATTTTGAGAGGAAAACCCCAACCACTTGAGGGATTTTAAGATAGTTACCATAGGGAAGTTGTTGGACAGGTAGGCTGCGTAGTTTTGCTTCATGTGAATGGTCTGCATTGGAATAGATCCATAGTGCCTGAACTCCTGCAGGTAAAAAAATAAAGAAAAATAAAGAAAAAGTGTGAGATGCACAACTGTAGATGACATGCAGCCAAAAGGCAATTAACATTTTTACTTATATGACAGCATATTACCATTATAATGCTGACTCCTGACAGACAAAATAAATTATACACATATAGCTCAAAGTGACTCCATACTACAGGATTTGCAGAAATCAATTATATTCATTTTGTGACAGAAATATTGTATTTTCAGATTTTTGAAAAAAACGGAAGCTGTAAATAACAAAATGTTAATATACCTGAAATGTAACTCAGATATCTGGACTCACATAACTAGTGATACATTCAAGCACAACATCTGAAAAGATTATTGTAGGACTTACATCTTTGATTCGGTTTGGTGCAGGTACATTGAAGCCTGGGAAATCGACCAGTTTGGAAACATCATAAGAGATGTTTTGCGAATTGGTGTTGTCTGTTACACTGCCGTCATTTGAAACTAGTGAACAGATAAAACACGGATTCAGCTCAACCTCTGTACATTTCAAAATAATTATGTTTTGCACTCACACTGGTTTCAGTGTCATTTAAAACGTACCATTTCCATCATACATCGTTATGCCCGAGTTTTCCATCTCTGCCTCTTTGAGCCAACCTGGTGGGTAGCCCAGCTGCCTCATGCGATAAATCAGAGGAGGGAGGGTGTCGCCATCGATTCCCAGTGCTGTCAACAGTTCCTCACTGTTTAAAAGCACAACGTGGTTTAAAACATTCAATGACCATTACTTGTTACAATAGATATTGCATGCAATTAAATTATGTTTGTGTCTGTTGTGTACAAAATAACAATCCTACCTCATGACTCCAGGCTTGTATTTAGCGAACCGCTCCTCCACTTCGTCAGCATGGTATCGCTGGTTACTCTGCATGCCCTGGTTGCTGTTCTGATTAAACTCCTTTCTTCTCTCATTAATTGCAGCCATGTCTTTAGGCTAGGAAGGTAATAATATATAAATGTAGTAAATCAAGTTATGACCCTTCTAATTTTTAACTTAAGTATTTGCGTGTTCTTACCTTGGGACAGTCTCTCAGCTGATGCCCGCTCAAACCGCAGTTGAAACACATGGATTTGGGTCTACAAGGAACAGATCAGTGATGGACTCATTATATAGTTAGATACAACAACAGAACCAAACAGGGCAAGCAATAAACTGAATATGGAAAGTCAATAAAGCTCCATTAACAAGCCCAGACATACCTTTTGTCTTTCATTTCTATTTCCTGTCCATCTGTGCCAATGACTTGGTTGAAAACCTGGTGGTAGCTATGCAACAATTCAGGAAATTTTATCATGTTTGTGCAAAACATAAAATCATTCTCTTTTCTAATTCAACACCAAAGAAGTTCCTCTTATACACTGGATATTTTTAAATAAACTGAACCAGGACAACTATCTCAGAAAATTCTCATCTCGTGGCAAAACAGTTCAAAACATATGGCCTGACAGACCAGACAGACTTAAAGATACGTTGGAACGTCCCATCCATCTGTCAGCTGGGGGTTTTCATTCACCAGAGGCTGTCCAAGTTTATCAAGACTGAAAGTAGTGAAATATAAAACACTTCCAACCACCTACGAAAGAACAATAACAAAAATATATGAGACAATTTGAAAGTATCCCATATTGTTTTGCTATCCGCTTCAAATTACAGTAACGATAGACTCACTTTAAATGCTTCTGTTGTTGTTCTTACACTACTGGAAGACGACAGATCTTCATCCACAGCAAAAGCTGAATTCTTCATAGAGGGTAGAACATTTATTTATCTTAGCAAAATCATAACTGTATTGATGTTAATCACAATAAAATACATTTGGAGTATATACCTGAGGTTTAATGTGAAAGGTGGATTTTTTCTTTTCATTGCTTGGGTTCTGGTGCTTCAAAATCAGACTACAGATACAATCTTCAATTTCTTGACGACACTGCCTAAACGGGAGACATTTATTATTGTTTTTTTATTTTATGATCATTTGCAACACAGTTTTTACACACACACACACACACACACACACACACACACACACACACACACATATATATAAGGGTGGTTATTATGCTTTAATTTTATTAGCCGTATCGTAAAAACTAGTGTTGAGGTAAATGTTTTATCACTGACATTAAAGTGAGCATTGCTAAGTGTCTTCAATTCAACATTATACATGATAAAAGATTGCTTACTTTGAAATCATGTTGTTTGAATAAAGGATTTGAAGAACTGGCCCGTCATAGTCGTCATCTTTAATAGCAATGCCGCTGTAAAGTCAGGAGAAATACAGCATTGGTTACTTACCAGTTTCGTTTAATTTAAAGTGCGCATTATCTAATGTCAGCTAAACGTACCTGGGTCGTGTCAGGAGGTTCTGTTTTCTTCTCAAGCTGTTATGTGGTCTGCGAGTTAAGGAAAGAGACAGTAAAAAGCATACATATTGTTCAGGTTGAGACGTTTTGTGTTTTGGTTAAAGACACAGCCTGTGTTAGCCGACGTTAGCTGCGTGCTAATGTTACATCCACAGCGTTAGCACAGTGAGCGCAGCCGACACAAGGATATTCTCCTCCGTGAGTCTCTGGAGGTAGTCATCACTCTCCTCCAGTCCGCCCCGCGCCTGGACCGGCTCCTCTTGGTCTTCCTCATCATCTGTGAAGCGGACATGCGTCGGGACCGGCGGTGCGGAGTCATCAAGCTGCTCAAAGAGCTCACTGTCCCCGAAATCGACTTCAGCCATTTTTTTTTTAACCAGCTCTGCGGTACAGGACGGGAGTTCAGAGGTCGTAGCAGCTGCTCTTCGTATTCATTGGTCCTCCGTATGTCACGTGTTTGGAGAATACGTAGTGGTGGTTTTTTTGTTTTTTGCCCTCAATTTTGTTTTACAGGTTGGGTAAATCTTATTAAAAAAAAAAAAAGAGATGGCTGCTGTAGGTTAAACATAAACCAAGCACTACGATGAAGTGGCTTATTTTCCTACACAATATACAGCTGTGTATAGATTCTCGTGTCTTTTGGAAGAAAGCACTTCAATTCATAGCGGCTGTATGTGGTCTGTAAGACATAGTTGAGGGCTTAAAAAAACTCACAGTGAAATGTTTCTCTTCTGTTGAGCCTGCTCTGTTTGTGGACGTCGTTTGGTTTCTTTGCCTTCGTTTAACAGTATTCTGGTAACACATTACGGGTTTTATACAGGATAAAACACAACTGTGACTGAGGGAGAAGCTTAATTTACCTCCAGCAATGTCAAGTTGCTCAACTATCCACTTAACTTTACCGCAGTGGGACGGAGGCTCACGGAAAATTCGCTTTATTTACTTGGTGAATGTGACATCGTTCAGGCTGACAGGGTGTCCCAGCAAGGTGAGTGTGAAGTGTCACTGCAGGCTCAAATATGTTTCTACTCTTATAGCTTCGAGGATGTATTCAGAATTTCCCATATTTCCTGAAACCAGCTGCCAGAGGGTGCTAAACTAAACTAAAAGATGCATTTTCACATAATTTTTAGACTATAAAAACCCACACAGGTCGAGGTTTTCACATTACCCTCAGACTTTAGGAAGCAAAATGTCCTAATCTGGATTAGAATCAATCAATTTTAATCTAGATTAGGACATTTTAACTGAATATTGTTTCTAGAGGAGCAACAGTAAAGTTTACAACAGCAAAGTCACTGTATAAACTCAATAACAAGTCTAAAATGTTAATTAAATAAATAACATTCCTGATCAGTCAGTATCAGTGCTTCCTCCTGTCATCTCAGATTAATGGCAAACTAACACTTAGACTACATACAGACAGCTTTATTCATTATTAGATTAACAAGTGCATCCTGAGATAATGCCACACAAAAACACAAATTCGATGTAGTGTTTATTAGTGATTGTGTCATTTACACGAATACCATTTTAACACAGTTACTTCGCAAGAGATTGTTTTAATATAAAAATCTGTCCATTTCCCAACGTATGTTAGTGTGAGATGGCTTCATATGCATCATCTCTGTATCTGTTTCAGAGTCCGATGGTTCCTCTCTATTTAGGAGCTGATCTTTTCTCCAACACCGACATCCGCACAGAGAACCATCCCAGACACCATGCCAAGTTTGCCAAGAAAGGATTGGCAACAAAAATAAATTTTTCCCCAGGTAAAATGCACACTAAAAAACTGTACCAAGACATAATATTGACTTAACTTACATCAGTGCACAGTTATAATTCACAATGTTCTCTTCTCGTTGCAGCATTCAGGTTTCATGGGTTGAAGGTGCCTACTGTCAATAACAGCCTCTGGTTCTACAGCATTCAAGGACTCTTTCGAGTCGCCTTTGAAATGTACAGTAAGCAAGAGCAGCTTGCTGTGCTAGAAAACTTCCAGGTACAATACAGTTCAGCAGTTGTCTCTAAAAGTTACATTTAGTTTGTTCTATACTGTATACCCCAATTTCTTCTATCTTTTAATATGTGAATGTTTTTCTTTTGTAGGATGTTTGGAAAACGCAGATAAATGACAGCCCTCTGAAAATGGGTTACAGCCTCAGTGTGCAGCTCGACTTTGCTCTATCCAGCTGCTCGCATGAGACAGAATCAAGGAATGAAATGTCACAACCTCAGCACTGCCAGGTTGGCAGAGGATCGGTGGATTTATACAGCGGTGACACATCGGCAGATCACGATTATTGCTGTTTTCCCAAGAAGAACTTGCAAACTGAGCAAAGCCATCTAGTTGTATCCAAAGTGAGACAGAAATTGCACAGCTTGGATGACAAACTCTCTTCTGAGACTCCAAGCTACACAAAGCTTGAGACGATCTTGCTGCTTTTGGAGAACATTGATCGGTACATAAATGGGAATCTAGAAGAAAAGGATGTTACAGAAACTGTGTTAACCCTGCTCAAGGCCAAAGACTGGGGCTGTGTGTATTCAAGTTCCCTGCTTAGCTGTATAGGACGTTGGCTTGGCCAGCAGTTTCACGCAGCCAACAGCAGCATCAGCCAGAAAGTGGAGGGCTTTAAAGTTCATCATATTGAGCGAATTAGTGACTTGCCTCCTGCCGAGGAACTGGCCACAGAGCTATTCCCAGAAGCCATGCAAACACTGCTGCTTCATTGGATGGGCTTAAGTGAAGAGTCCACCCTGGAGAAGAGACACAGCGAGTACCCAATCCTGCTCCTTATCCTCGAGTTTGCCAATCACAACCTCATCACTGGTGTGGCTCATGTGTTGTACTCCAGTCTTATATGTAAATAATTATAAGTTTCCATGTAAGCATCAACAGAAATCCCTGGAATTTAACTGAGTATTAGATTAGTGTATTAGAGTACTGGATCCTTAGATAAATTGCATCCACTGGAAACAAAATACCTGGACCAGCAAGAGTAACTTAATCTCTACGCAAATTGTTAACATTTGTATTTTTGTATGTTAACTTATCCTTTCTTACTTTGGACAGTTTGTTTTTGCTACAGATTACTTCTATAACTCAGGCTGGATGACAACTCAATGTTCAATATATTGCAACATGATCATTACATGGTTATTATTTTATGTTTAAAAACTAATACAAATGAATGTGAAGACAAATGCGAGTTATTTGTTTGATGCAATGCTTAACTGTTAAAACATTTGATATCAGTTTGATCCTTTTGTATAATTTTGCCTTCATTTGTTGCAATATATATTGATACTGGAATCTAGCAACAGCGCAAACTTCATTTGAACCAAAATGTACACATAATCACATAAAATAAACAAAGTGATGTATGAAAAACCTTATTCAACACAAAACTAATTTATTTCAAGAACAATGTGATTACTCCTCAAGCACATCTTTGTCCAAGGCAAGCCTGAAGACAATATGTATTACAACCCACTGTTTTGTTTTTCCCCCAATAAGGAGAAAAGAAACAGATTCTGATGATGCTACACTGACTTCAGATACCTTTCCTTAAATGGATGTAAACAGTGTTCACTTGAACCACATTATATTCAGTTTATGTTCAAACAATCACATATCAATATATATTTGAGTTTAAAAAAAAAGCTACCACATTATTCAAACAAATGTCTAATTTTAACCAGTATCAACCAGTCAAACTGATGCATCCTTTTGCAAAGATGTACAGATTAATAAACACTGAGGCAAACTCAGCATCTGACTATTTACACTGTAATGTTCCAATATGTGAGATGTTTGTCTATAAATAAATTACAAATTCAGAGCAACATCCATGCAAGCTTGAGGGCTGGCGATGAATTGGTGGTCCTATATGATCAGATGAGTGGCAAAAGACGGCCAATGTTTGGCACTACATAGAATCCATTCCACGTGAGAATGAGGAGGAGAAGCCGAGGCCCATTCCCCTCTGGGTGTGTGTCTGAGACCGAGCCATCTCGTACTGAACGTCAAGGTTCCTAAACATCTCCTCCTGCTTTTGAAGAGTCTTAATGCCTTCATCAGTAATTGGTTTGGAAGCTTCAGCCTCATCGTCTCCCTATAAAAAGGCAGAAAATTCAATTTAATTCGGTTGATGGTTAGAAAGACGAAACACCCGTTGGTTAAGTAAAATACCAAAGTTATACTTACTTTAATACCCATTAGTTTGCGAAATTTAACATTTTGGTCCTTGTTTCCAAAGCTCAGCTTCTCCCACAGCTCAGCTGTCTGGGACTTGTCCTTAAATATTAAGAACAGAAATGATAAAAATCATGTAATGATAAGTAAATAAATACACATATTGTAAATCAAAATATCCTTTTCTAGTTTACATATTTTCAACACCCTATTTAAACAAATGGAAAAGCTGGGCATGCTTAAAACTGGTAGATAAATAACAAATAACAGCGAAATCTAATCTTACCCCCTCCTTCTTCCCCTGCCATAGCATTTTTCTCTTTTTCTCCTGCTCTGCAAACTTCATGGGGTTTACAGAGGACGGGTTATAGTAGCTGGGCACAGCAATACCAGTCTCTGCCAGTGTTTTTGCTTGAAGGGCTGCCATCTGTGCTGCCATAGCAATCTGAGGCGTGACCTGCGTCCCAGAGGCCAGGAGGGCTGCCACATTGAGGCCAGGGTTCGAGGCGGCGGCTGCAGCAGCAGCAGCTACTGCGATAGGGGCAGCCACTGGAAACAAAATATACAGAAAAGGTAAGTAACTGAATCAAATGAGCCAGGTCTTAAAACTTGGCTCAAAATGCGGCTCTCACCTGCAGCTATCTCCTGCTGTTGCTGCTGCTGTTTCTCAAACATTTCCTTCTCCTTTTGCTCCTGTAGTTTCTTGGCTCTCTCTAGCCTGGTAAGAAAAAGAGTGAAGACTATGTTACCCGTTTGGTTTAAAAGCATACTGTGTTCTCTGCTGTGTACCTAAAAGTGATAATATGCCCTGTAAGCAAAAAAATCATAGCATAACATGTTGGAGACATCAGCCAGACTTTACATAAGTATAAATTGAGCATTTTTTGCCTTTATTTAACAGGGGGCAGTACATATTTGAAAGGAAATGAGGGGAGAGAAAGGAGGGGCAACATGCAACAAAGGTCCCCGGCCAGACTAAAAAATATGGATGTTGAAATTACATGGTCTGTGTCTTAGACACCTAGGCCACCAGTACACCCCACCTATCATAATTTTATGTTTCCTTGTTTTCCTACCAATGTGATTTCCTTCTATGAACAATGCTCGCTGGCAAGTGCAACATGGATGAAAAGTCAGATTACAGCTAATGAACCTATGCTTGACTGCTAGCCATATCATCTTCTTAAAATGTCAGGCGTTAATAAAGCAGTAAAAATTGACAATGTCTGTAAAATAAGAAAAAAAAGGCTTTGTAACTGCATTTATGCAGATGCAATAAGAGCCACTAGCATTGCTCAGAATTGGCCAAAACAGAATGACCAACCATCTATATTGTAAATGCCCTGTAAGCTGTTGCCTTGCCTTCTGGCCAGGGCCTCTTGTGCATCCATAGCTGTGTTTCGGCCCCGGAAGGCAGGTGGATTAACAGACCTGCTTCGACTCTTTCTGCGCACTTTCTCACTCCTTTTCTTTCGCTCCCTGGTGGAACAACCAAAAAAGTTAAATCAAGATACTGTTGACATGTTATAAATGACATATAGAATGGCAATTATGCAGCACAAGAGTTCAATAATACAGGAAACGCTGACGCTTTAATTAAACCCACCTGCTCTTACTGCGACTTCTGCTATGATGACGGTGTTTGGTCCTTGAGCCTGAGCGAGACCTAGCCTTCTTCTTCCTGTCCCGGCTGCGCGAACGTGATCGACGTTTGTCCCTACTTCTGCTGTGATGCCGCCTGAAAGCAATAATACCCATCAAAGAAATTAAGAAATAATGTTCATTCGTGGGGCTTGACTTATATAAAGGTTCTAGCTAAAGCATCATCAAGGCAAACTCAACAATTAATTAATAAACTATAAATGCACCCGTGATAACAACACATTTTCCATTAAACAAGTTAGAAGACCATATTTCTTTATGCTGTTTATTGCCCAGACTAACCTCTCTCGAGAGTGTGACCTGGACGCACTGCGGCCCTTGGAGGGCCTCTTGTCCTTGCGTCTGGAACGCTCCTCTCCATTCTCTGCTGAAAGTCTCTCTGGCTCTTGCTGCTCATCTGTTTTTCTGTGTGATTTGGATGGCTTCTGAGAGTCTCTCTTTCGTGCCTGTTTTAAGAAGAAGTTGTCTCTTTCAGGAAAATAGTGCAACAAAAAGAGTTAGTACCATGGCTTAGAGCAGAAGGTATTTAATTAAAATTTTGACAAGTTGAAAAAAAAAATAAACCTTGTCATTTCAAATCCACTTTTACAACATATACAGAATAAAGTTCTGTGAAGATGATTGCAAGTGTGGGCTCTTATAGGAAACAGACTAAGTTGACTATGCTCATTTCAATTGAATCATAGAAATTAATCAACCCAGCCAGCCACATAAGTAGTTTGGAACCTCTCAAATATTTTAATAGTGTGCATGCAAACCTTAAGATGTGATTCTCAGGAAAAAATGAAATGTAGTTTGTCAGTTCAGCAACAACAATTTGTTACCTAAATGTTTTAAACATGAACCCACTGAGGTGGAAGTAGGGATGGGCATTAACTTACTTTTAACTGCTTCTCTACTTACGCCATCCAAATCATATAACACACAATAAATTCACATGGAAAACACTGGTTAACTTCCTAAATTAAAATGATGCATTCGTACAATGTATTTTTTGGCAAGTTTAACTTTACTATGCGACATCTTATGTCAAATTCTCATACCACCTTTATCTCATGTGAACACAGTTTGGAATGGGTCGTCATTAGTATGATGAGGCATATCACTAAAGAGGGGGACAGTAGTTATACAGACTCTTTATACAGACAAATTGGTTTTACAGGCAAAACTGCATAATTACATAGGCTATGAGAAAACATCAAGAGATTCTGTTTGGGTTCATTGAAAGATTAGTTTAGTTATGCCCATCCCTAGCTGAAAGAGATGCAAAAGTTAATTTTTTCTACCAACAGTGTGAGACAAATAGAGTTTGAATGGCAGATAGTTACCTGTCCCAGTAGTAGACATATTATTTTGCTATGTCAGCAGCGTCTTCTGTTCAGTCTCTTCGTGCAATAGCACGCTGAGTATGATTTATTGTAGAAATGTTATCATGTGATCTACACACAGGTTTTTAACAAAAAATAAAAAAAAAAAAAAAAAAAAAAAAAAATCTACTCTTCACCATTTTATATGGTTACAAATAATGACAGACATCCAAGGATGAAAGCTTCCTTTGAGACATGTCAACATAGGGAGGGTAAAAAAAAGGACCCTTTCCATGTGAGTAAGCCATCTCCATCTATGTCTTTTGTTCTTAACTTTGGTTATTGTAACTTGTCTAACCTAATAAAACATACTCACCTCGGCCTAAAACTAACAAGGACTACAACTTAAGGCCTTCAAAATCACATCACATGTGTTTCTACTCATAGAAATTAATGTATTAATTACCTCTTTGCTCCTGCTGCGACTCCGTCTGTATTTTCTGTCACCTGGAAACAGCAGAAAGCAGAATGCTGACACATATACATTTGAAAAGTTGTTTTTTTTAAGCAAACCTGAGATAAAGAAGAATGAGTGTGCAAATATGAAGAAAGACACAATAAAGCTACTGTATAAAGTGTTTTACACAATAGGTGGACCAGAAGAACAAATTTCATACCATGACCCTAAACTACTTTTTCTGGCATATTTAGCCCTGTCTGGGTACTGTTACTGAATACTTACGTTTTCGGTCCCTGGAGCGTGACCTTGACCGCGAATGGTGATGTTTGGAGCTTCTGGGAGATCTGGACGACTCCATGTTGTGTTTTTTTCTGTGATGAACTGGGGAACCAGTTCTGGTCAAGTCGACAGAGTCGTTGTCACTCGCCTGAAAGAAATGGATATTACATCAGCAGCAAGTCACTGTGGTTTAGTATGCTCAAGCATTGATGTCCTAGTTGTATACACACCCAAAGACAGTGTGAACTATTAGCACATAGCCCACTAGAGAACATAAAACGAAATATAAATGGGAATTACAAGGACACACAACAGACAATGACGATCTACACCATGCCAAATACACACCATTTTAATAATGTTACATCCCGAATTTATCTTTAAATACAAATACAGATGCTTTATAAAATGTTACTGGTGCCTTGATTAGTTAAACAAGTGGCTAATTGATAATATCTGTTTGTATAAGCTCTACCAAATACTATTTGAGGCTGATAGTTTATGGTAACAGCTTGGGAACTCATACCCCAAGTCTTCGAGTCATATCAATATACTCTTAATGTCTATGCTCTTTCTACAAATAATATTATAAACCACCTTTTGCACATTATTTAAAAACAACTTGTCAGCCGAGTGAATTTATTTAAACCGTTTCAAAATGTAAGTTAAGACGGTTTTAGCTGTGCTGCTGTGCTATTGTTTAAACATTTTGCATTATCTATATGAGATTTATCGTTTTATATATTGCACATTTTGCTTTTGATGCACTTTTATTTCACTATACGTGCTATGGTATACTTAAAATCAGTCCAGTCGGGTCCGGTGGTAAATAATTAATAAAAAAAAGAGACACTAATTTGGTATACTTCAGTCAATGTGCCAGTGGTTACCATCAATACAGACTAAAAACAACGCTTTTAAATGTGCTATCAATAGCACCAGCTTAGCTACATTAAATCTCACAGGTCACCACGATGTTAAATAACAGCTACTGAACTTTATACGGGAATGCCTCTTCATTTGAGATACATCCGGACCGAAATGTAACCACATAGGACAGACGGCGGCAATATAACAAGTCGGTTAGCCCCCATATGCTATCTCCATTAGCTCATCCCACTACGTTCGTCATTCATACTTCACATCACAGAGCAATGTAACCGTTGGCTACGTCGCTAAGCTAACCAACGGTAACCGCCATCTTTAAGAAAAAAAGATATCTAAATAGAGTCGCAAACTTATAATAACGTTATTCAGATGTCGCTGTATTCACGTATGTCTTGATTATGTAAGTACGATGGTACTTACCGACATAATCCTGGAGCACACTGTGTATGTAACGCGGCTGTTTTTGTTGACTGTGCAACACGGAGAGGTAGCTAGCTGCTAAACAGCCGTTGTCTAGCTCAGCTTATTTATACTGGGTTGCCAGGTTGCGTCTCTTGAATCCCCCATACCCTACATTCAGGAGAATTACAGATAGATCTGTTCAACCCAGCTTGAATGGACTAAACATGGATTTCAGTTCAGTTTTAACACTGTGGGTGCGATGTTTGATAAAATAGGTTAACTATTATTTCGGGCATTCATTTTTTACACTAGTGCCATAAATCCGTAGATGTAGCGAGTACACTACGGAAAAGATATCCGACCTGGCAACGCGAGACAGGCCCCGCCCCTCTGTGTGAACTAGAACTGTTAATATTCCCTAAACCTTGTCTGTCAGGCGGCAACCACATCTCAGGCTGTGCTCAGCCCAAACCAGCATAATCAAATCAATTGTTAAAATTAGACTACAGATGGATAAAAGTAAAATAAGAGCTGTGCTGGGTGTGTACTTCTGCCATTTCTAACGAATAATGCATGATTTGTACGTACCCTTAGAAGGAAGTTGTATCTGGAAGGCAAAACCGAGGGAAAAAATAATCCCCACACACCCCCCCTGTTAACCTACAGCAACCCGCCAAATTCTAAAGCTAACTAATCGATTGAGTTATGTCAATGCTGTGTGTTGTCTGATTATTTCAGCAGAGTGGTGAGTTATTATCATCTGTGAATAGATTGTAACCTGCCAGTTAGCCATTGTCCATAGATACCTGTTCACCTTGAATGTGTTGGTCTTAAAACTCGTCTAAAGTTAACGTTACTAGCATTAGCGTTATCACAACAATAAAGAGCGATACATAATGCCAGCTAGCCAGACTCATTGTTTATCGAAGTTCAGGTAAACAACTTCACATTGAAGTATTTTTTTGATATATATATATGTACATTTCTTCCACTTAGCTCCACGAAATGGCGATGTGGAGCGACGTTGAACTTCTGACCAACGAGGATACAAACACTGTCCGTATCGGCAGTGTGTCAAGGGAGGAAAATGGTAGCGGCTTGTATCAGGTGGACACACTGGTCAAGATCTCCACTGCTAATGAGGTAATCAATACTTGCATCTACAGCACACGAACTCGAGCGTGCTCTTATAGCCCTGTTTATTTAGGTTATTTAGATTAAAAATAAGATAAGATGGGCTTTATTGATCCCACACTGGGGGAATACACTTGCTACAGTAGCTCCAGATTCAACACAACAGATAAGCAAAGTACACATTAAGTACAAAATAGAATAGAAAAAACACTAGAATAAGAGTTGTGTGTACTCTATATACAAATATATATATATACAGCTTTTATTCAGATGTGATTGATATGGAGGATTGCATGGTGTACAAATACATTATTGCACAGAAAATATGTCTTCATATATCTAAATATGTATGTGAACTGTACAGTACTCATAGTGCAAGTAGTGATAAGTGTTGATAGATGCACAAACAGTGCTACATTATGTGGTTGCTGAGTTGTATATATTGCTGACAGTTGTTGGGATGAAGGATCTGTGGTAGCAATTTAGATATTAAAACTACAAGAAACTTCAGGATCCTCTATGTGCAGTCTGTCTCTCGAACTAGTGTCAGCACTGATCATGATTGGATGGAAATGCTGGTTCTTGCAGGTGCAGGCGGATCCCTGTCTCTCCTCCTCCAGTGGTTCAAACTGGAGCATTGTTGTTGCTGACAAGACGGTTATCCTGTTCGACCAAAGCTATCAGACCATCCTGCTGCTTCTTCACTTTGGTATATAACTCCATTTTATGTTCTTCCTTCTGTCTTCACGCTGTTTAGTATCAGTCGGATGTCAGTTTGTGTCCTTTAAGACGGCGTATGGTATGTGTCTTCATCCAAATCAGCTGGTCCAAGGATTTTTAAGATAACTGATGGGGACATGGCTTTCTGTTTGTTAACTTCTTGTTGTAGCTCTATAGTCCAAACAAAATCAGTTTGAAGATATTATAAAGGTTTAGACACACGGCAGATTTCACATGCCAAAGTTCATGCCTTTCCTACTGATGCAGTTTGACCTTTCACAATAATGTACGCTAATACCAAGATTTATTTTTCAGAAACTGATGTGGATGCCATTGACGTATGCCTGGAAGGTCAGTTTTTGGTGGTCTGTGAAAGAAATGGAAACCTTCATTTGATCTATGTTCCACACAAGAGGATCCTTCTTACCAGGGTATGGATGTTTTTTCTTTTAATATATATTCATAAGACCTTCTAGTGTAGGATTATTAATGTTTGATTCATTGTTGAGTGTTGTAGATGTATATCTATATATTTATTTAACTTGAGTTCCTAGAAAGTAAATATTTGCTCTATAAATAAAACGTATTATTATTATTAATAATATTAATATTAATATTACTCTGTGCCTGGCATTGAATTGTTATATTGTTACCTGTCTGATTTAACCTGTAACACTTGAGATGACAGTTAGTGGCACCAACCACGACAATCTTAATAACGTTGTGTCTTGTTTTCAAATGAGTTTCAGTTTAATATCATGGTGCGTTTCACTTATGTGCATTAACATCTTGTGTCTTTTTTCTGGGTTTGTAGCCTTTGGTAGAGAAACCATCCAGTGGAGATATGAAAACATACCGCTATCTCATCATAGAAGAGGACAAGGCATCCTTAGGTAAACTCTCTATATGAATATGAGAAGAAGGATTTATTCTGTGTGTGTGAATTTGATTTCTGAATGGTTGTTAATTAGATTTTTTATGTTGTTGTTGTTGCTGACAGGGATGTACCATGTGTTCCTTCTCATAAAGGATGGTTTCTTCCACATTACAAACCTTGCACTGGAAAAGATTGAGACAGGTATTAAAACATGATGTGGAGGAGCACACTGTAGCCCACTTTATGGAGCATACAGCTCATGTAGGCTGAGTTCTTACTGCAGTGGGTTCAATCCACCCCCCTTTCCTCCTTTCAAGTCTATCTTCACCTGTCCTATCAAAATATATCTAAAAAAAACTATGATGTGCAGTAGGCTTAGTTTTGTTGGAGTCATTTTGTTGACCAAATTAAATAATATTTCTTTTGTCATCACAGCCATTGAAAAAATGGATGTGGGAGCTTTGAAAGAGGTAAGTTAAGTCAATCTTCTTGTCATGCTGTAGCTAAATATTTTTTTTGAAGAGCAGAAATATAATCAGACTTTTCTTCAACTCAGCTCCAGACCCTCATCAAGATAGACTTCTGCTCCACCAGAGATTACCATGATGAGGGCTGCAGTACAGCAGTGATGTTCAATCTGGGCCATGAAATCCACTTAATGATTGGGGTCAGTGTCTTTGAGAGAGGTTTTATTAATTTACTAACCAACTTCAGTTATGATACATGGATCCAAGCATATTTAAAAAAACTAAATTAAATTAACTCTATTTATGGACTATTGTACTTCTAATATTTATTGCTCAATTTATTTCAGTCCCTGTTTTTCTGAATTTATTTAGCTTGCTAAGAAATGACAATGCACAAATGTACAATATTTAATTTAAATTCATGTATTGTACTTGAATGTAGATTCTTGCATTTTAAGATTTTCTGATGGAATTCTTTTTAAAACTCAGTTGTGTTTTTGTTCCTCAAAACAAAAACTTTAAATTAAGCTTTAATGTGTATTTGTGTGAACAACACATTTTTATAGGAATGGTAGTTACTCCTTATTAAAGCAGTAAAACAGCATGTATTTCTTGATGTACTTTGTCACAACATTGTGTATCTTCGCAGGGGGATAAAGAAAATGTTTTGACTCACTGGATGATGGACCCTGAGCAGGCCAAGATGTGCCTTGCTCACTCTGTCAACAATAGCTTAATTCCAGGTAAGCTCTTGCTTCTTGTACAGTATATAACTTTACATTGTTAATGCCTCTTTCGGAAGATGCTGAATATTTATTTACGTCTACATAACTTCTTTTATCAACAAGTGACAAATGTATGGGCTCTTTGGACATGGATAGGAATAAATATAGTGTGTAGTTGTAAAACAATCCTAGATTAAAATGCCTCTAAGAGTAGATTGTGGGATGGTCGTAACATATATTCTCCTTTTGTTTACTTCAAAGGTGTGAGGAAGATGGTGGTGGTGGAAAATCTCTTGTATGTTCTTGACACTGAGGTGAGTTTAGTCGTGTCGCCTGTGGCTGTTTGATATATCATTGCATGAGGTTCAATCAAACGTATTTAAGGTTTACATGGGGGTTGCTTTGTGTTTTTCTTCGGTCCCAGGATGCCTTGAGTCTTTGGGACCTACATTTTCTTGTCATGATTCACTGTTGGCCAGATCTTGCCATTCATGACTTTGAACTCACCACAGAATGCGTCTCTGCCTCCCTGGTGGCGTATGTATCAATGTTTTATGACATACTGTAGTTTACAGAGATATATGCCTCAATTAAACAATCTTTGTTAACAACATGTAACCTGTGTGTACCACAGCCAGGACAAGGGCAGCAATAAGATGATCACACTGACAAAACAAGACAACAGTCAGGTAGCAATACAACTCCTTTTGAAGAACCTATAATCAATGATTATGTCAAGTCTTATTTTGAACTCGATATGCTGGTTTTTAAAATTTTTTCAGATCAACTCGCTGCAAATACGATTTCTGCCGTCCATGACTGTTTGCTACTCTCTGGATGTTTCCTCAGTCTCCTGCCTTGTCCAGACAAAAATAAACATGGTAAACAATCGACACGTATTCAATTGTTATATGGATTTTGGATGTGCTGTTTCTAGTTGCTAATATTTCTGCACATCTAAGTCAGTTGTTTTGTCTTCTGATTTCAGGATACAATTTATTTAGTTGAGGGGATTTGTGAGAATCCAGAAAGGTAGGATATGTTTTTATATGATTACTGGGATTTTCAGCTGTGTCTTGAGGGATATGGTTAAAAAGTGGTCTTTTTTTTCCTTGTTCTTCATCAAGTAGTCGAGGAGAGCCTATATCTTCTGTTGTTGTCAGATGCTTCACAGAGGCTTTGCCTGAGAACAGGTACCTAATTTTAATTGGCTACATTTCTACATTAATTGCAGCTGTATAACCACAGT